TTATCTATTTTTTAAAAATGAAAATAAATATTTTTTATATTTTTAAAACAGAACCATGTGAACCAAATAAGCGAAGAGAATACAGCTAAGAAGGTGAAACCACGTACCATTCGCATTGAACCTGTCAATGGTGTGGCTCATAATTACAGCTCACAGACACTCAATGCTACAGAACAAGCCAAGGAGCTACTCAGACAGGAGCTTGCACAAGTAAGTATTGATAGTGTTTCATGAGGTCATACTCGTATGTTTCTTGTAGATAAATGATGTCATAAAGTTTAGGTTGGTCAGAGGCTCTTCACATTTTAGCCCTGTGAATTCATCCTGCAGTCTTTGTCATTGCAGTAATAACCTTTAAATGAAATTCTTGGTCAGTTACGCCTTAAACTGCAAATTTTTAAAGATTCAATTGGATTTGTTAACTATTTTCCATGTAAGACCCCTTTGTTTTACTTCACCCCCTCCCCTTAAAATAACCAAGCCAACCCCAAATCCAAATCAATACCAAAACCCATGTCCAAATAATCTCCTTTGGGATCGCAGCTTCCATGATAGTTAGTGTTCAAGAAAAAAATTCAAAAATGATGAATATGTTTGAAGGTTCTTATCTATTACTTTTCTTGATAGTTTCCCATCCTATAATAATAATAATAATAATATTAATGGCTTCTTATATAGCGCACATGTCCGCAACGTTTTGTGAAGCTCCTGGCGCTGCCCAATTATTAACCTGGATTAAGCAAGGCGGCCATTGCGGCGCTCTAGCATTTCAAGGATTTAATTACTGCCTATATAAAATTCACGTTCTATATTTTGATTCTGCAGGAGCCAGACAGACGGTTCACCTACTGCAAGGATTTCAACTCCGCCTCCGTCGTCCCCGTCAATGTGGAAGCCGTCAAGAAGGCAGAGGAGCAGAGGTCAAAGGGCGCGTATCAGACCGACGATGGTTTTGTCTATCCAGGGATACCGATATCCATGGAAAGCAATGTACATCCCATGAAACCAGACCCTGCAAGGAGGGATGAGCTGAAGGAGGTGAGTGGAACACAGGATGGGATTGGTCAGTTTGATCCCACCTGATACAGTCAATCCTGCTTTAATGACCACCTGTCTACAAAGACCACATTTTCTGCTTCCCTTGAAAATGGTTTCTCATTGAAACATGCACTGAAGGAACCTGTCTATAAAGACCATTTTTTGTGTTTCCCTTTGGCGGTCACTATAGACAGGTTTGACTGTAGTTACATGTTGTCTGTATATCTGAATGCAGCTTCAGGAATCGATAAGATTTGATATGCTTTCAGAGGAGATGCTAGTTGCAGGTTAATTCTTGTAGCTTTTTCTTATGTTAACTTGAAAAACAATGACCTCAGGGATATTAGGTTTCCCTATGAGCCCAGCCAGATTGCATTTGGCACAGAATTGAACTCCTCTATATTCCATTGATGGATGGTAGATCTCAACAGAATAATAATGTTTGGAATTGACAGCCTTTTATTTGGGTCAAAATCTCAATTCTCTTTACACAAACTCTGAATTATATTGTTCATTGTATCTGTATATGTAAAATATTAAAAAGCTATTGATAGAGACCTTACAACAGGGGGATGTTTCACAAAGACTAAGATCGACTTTAAGTAGGACTAAACTATGGCAGGCCATTCAAATATGCCATTGTTTGCTCTCACCATTTACTAGCAGGTCTCTCAAGGGACGTATAAATCGTCACAAATCTACAGAATTACATTTTTTGATAGTTCATTATTGAAGGAAAAAATATTGTCAAAAGATCTTGATTAAAAGACCAATAGTGAGAGCAACGAGTGGCATAAATGTCCTGCCATGGTTAAGTCCAAATTAAAGTCGACCTTAGTCTTTAATTGTGAAACACTCCTCAAGATTTGTAGTGTGTTTTGCCTGTTGTCCTATCTTAATATTGTGAAACACATTTTCTATTGACAGTCCTGGATTGAGAACATCCTGCATGACAATGTCCTGAAGCCAACCCTGGAGTACCGCAGCCGTTATGAATGGGAGCAACGGGAGCAGGATATGAACCTTTGGCGGAAACCTCTCCCAAGTGGCTTCCAACCTGTCCCGCCCATCACCATCCACCTCGCCGGTGACACCCTCAAAGCCGAGAAACAGGCCGTCAAGAACACCGAGCAAGACGTCTGGAGGTCAAAGGTCAAGGTCTACGATACCCAGATGCACTTCCACAGGGTGGCCACCGAGACGGAGCTCATGGCCGAAGGATTCAAGTCCAGCAACCAGATTGATCGTCTTCGTGGCCTGCTCAAGGACGAGGCTGAGAAGCTGGCCCTGCGGCAGGCGAACTTCCAGGACATGCCTGCTCTGTCGGTTGTCATGAACCCGTCGGTTGATACGGCAGCCAGGGAGGCCGGACTACCTATCCCTGAGATGAATGATGATAGAGCATCTATGCTTGGACAGAGACCCATCTTCATGCCTGGTGCCTTCCCTCATGCCAGCCTAGCATTGTCCAGTAATAGGATACCAATCAAAGATATGGAGCATGCCAAGTTTGAAGAACTCAAAGGATACGACTTCAGGTAAATATTGGGCTTACAAATCTGGACAATAAACTTAAAGTATATTCATTGATAATTGTTGAACTAGTTAAGAGTACTAATGAATAATTTCCCAGCAAATTCATCAAAACAGTATCCAAAATTTTAGGGATTGCAGTATTTTGTTTGAAATTGCCACAAGGTGTAAACATGCTTTTCATTTTTTAAAGTTGAATATAGTATTGTTCAAGCCTCTAAGGCGATGTAAAATTGCTAATAAACAATTAATTTAATGCAAAGATTTATTAACACAATAAAAAACACCTCTGTACTGTTTTTGTGTTTAATAATTTAAGAGTCACCCAAAGTCAACTTGTAGATATTCACACCACCTCATCCCCCTTCGGTTTTTCCACTTGAATTGTTGATTGCATCTTTCGCCCTCGTTTTTGTATCACTGACTGGACAGACTTTACCACAAAGATCGAGGACCCGTCCACAAGCGTCTCATCCAGCCCCTCGCCACAGCAGAGAGGGACAACCATCTGTTCAGGAACTTGCCTTCTAAGCCTTACAAAGCTGAGACTAGCAAGCCAAGACCGGGCAACGAATGCTTCCGGAACCCCCCACCAGGCATCTACCCTGCCCATGTGCATACAGAGTTCTACTACCCCGACAGGGAGAAGTTCCTTGCCATGGGCGACACACAGAAGAATGTGACACAGAAGAAGAAAGTACTTGAGTCGGCCATGTAGACTGTGTTAACTTAAAAGTTGATAATATAAATTTGTCTATTTTCTTGGCCTTTTAAAAGAATACTTCACCCATTTAAGGTGCAAGGGGAAGGAGTTTTAGGAAGATACTGTTTAAAAAATGCAACTGCAACAGTCATATCATGCCAGCAACTAATATTATATATAAATGTGCCTTTACTTTACTATGTGACATGAATGCTTCAAGTTTTTATGGTGCAACTTATAGATCATGGAGTTTGTGGAATTCAGTTTGAAGGAGAAAGAGAGTTTCCAAAGAATACAATTACAACAGTCTTGAAATGTCGAGATCTTGAACGTACTGTTTGTAGTATCAATGTGCCTGATTTTCAGTCTTACCAAACTCACTTCAAATGTTTCAGGTTACTAAGGTGCAAGTGATGGTAGTGTGGAAAGAATTGTCAGGACTAAGAAATGGTTTCAAAGAGTTCTCCTGTATTGTTTATATCAGGGTAGCAGCCATACAAATAAGACAATGAATTCAATTTTTTCCATAACAATTATTTGCATTTTACTGTATGCTATTGCTTCAAGTGACCTCTAATATTTGGAGAAAAAAAGTTTTTCTACTTCAAGTTTGTGCTTTTTATACATACTCAATTTGATTAAGAAGGTTGGAAAGAAAGATATTGATGTTTCATCATCTCTTCAATATCAGCTTGAAGAGTCTCAAGCAGTGGATTAAAAAAATGATAAGCAGTGTAAAGTTTAAAGCAGCAATCACTTTGAAATTTTGCCTTTCCATCTTTTGATTGGTTTATGCCATCATCATGTTTCTTCCTATACAGTCTTCATACCATCCTTTTCGAAACGCAGCGTAATATATCATCATCGAATTCAACGTAAAAACGTTCTGATTTGCTTCTTTTAGCTTTGCACATTACATGAAAAGCGCATAACAATCTTGAATACTTTGGGGGAAATAACTGAAGTTACTCAAGTATTGATATAAAGAGAAGTGTAGATTTGTATATATTTGTAAAAATTATGTATATTGTTATATTAAATATGTCGATTTGAATATATATTTCTGTATAATGTACATATTATATAATGAATGAGATACTCTATAAGAGTGGAATATTTTCTTGAACTTTTCACTTCCATGAAACCTTTTGATTCTGCAACATACATATTCTTCAATTTCCGTCCATTGTCTATTTATGCACAGCTGTTGAACTTGTTTTATTGCCTGAACACACATAGACTGTATTGCTTCCATTCATATCTCGTTTAAAAATGTCATATATTAGCTTGAAATTAAAAGATAGAACTATTTACTTGAGAATATATTTCATATGCACTTGGATTCTTCCTTATATCACTTTAAAATGTTGGTGCAATACTTTTTGTCGAAGTAAGTCTATTCCTGAAAGTGAAACCTTTTGTGAACATAGAGCATCCTCTTCAACTTTGACATGTGTTATGTGATGAACGAATCTATTTAAAATGAAAATGTTCAGCATCATAGCCCATCATGTTGAAGGGGGTTAAATTCAATAGATGCACTGAATCGCCTATCAGTATATTCTTCCATTGTTTAGATAAATCTTTTTTGTTGTTGTATGATTGCATGTCACCTTGATGATGCTACACACAGTGCTAACTTTAACCCACCATTGTTCAGAGCTTCATACATTTCCAGCACACCTTGTACAGTATATGTAATAAAAGAAATGCTAACAAAAAGATATCCGATTGCATTCATTTGTCTCTTTATTTCAAGCATTTAATAAAGACTGCATCTTCCTTGAAAATACAGATTCTATATCTTTCTAAAGTAACATATTTTCCATCAAAGTGTCCATAATCTTGACTTATTACAATGGGAGTAGAAACCAGTACAAAAATATCGTACAGAAATTGGCAAAGTGGTTCTTTACAATATACACTGTATGTTGCACATGGTAAGCATGTTATACATTGTGTATATTAAGAATTTTTCGTGGAGGGGGGAGGGATGGTGGTAGTGGTTGAGTACAATGAAATACTCAATTATCACACATGTTTCTGAAGAAAATTCATTAGGGTGAAAGCGATAAAACTTCTCAAATAAAGTCTCTCCTTTTCAATGGACTTAAACAAACTTACTGTGATAAACAATACAATGGCCAACAAATAATGTCTTCATTTTGGTCACACTTTCTATTACAAAAGCACTGTTTTTTCTTTTCTTTTACCAATTTTCCCTATTAAAACAGTGGATTGCACAATGTACTCTTGAAAAGCTTCCTCAAAATTGATAAAATCTTCTGCATCTACTATATTTTTATATTTTAGGGCAATTTTTTTTTCTTCTTCAAGTTTTGGAAGTTAAAGAGTTTGTCTAATATTTCAGAACTTAATAGATTGTTTGATTTGACTACAAATTCAGATGACCAGATAAAACTGTTGGGATGATACTGAGCTTTCTCTTATTTCGCATACCAGTGATTTAAACAATCTTTCTTGGCTTCACACAAGTACATGTAGTAATACAGTGTTATATCAAAGAATAAATGGTTTCTTGCAATAAGTATATATTTGGCTTCAGGCTTCAGTTTAGAATTAAATAATGCTTCTTTCTTCATGCATTCTTTAGATTATATTTCATGCAATTTAGTCTATGGTATAAAACAATGTTTATATATCTCTGTTACATTTGAAATTTGATATTTACAACATTGTACAACACAATTTAAATACATGATATCATTCATACTAAAAAACTTGAAGATTGGTGGAGATTCTTCTCTTCAGTTTTCAAATCTACAAATATTCGTTGTGAAGCTTATTCCACAGACAAATTAAATTAAACAGTAAGAAAGGAATGCTATATTTGTGACCATATATTTCACTTTCAAAAACTGTAAAAACTGTAAAAAAAACAGTTCACATGCCAGACTTCTTGATCATAAAACTACCATGTACTCGATCTAAATTCAACCCTGTTGATAATCACTTACCGGTAGATCATCTGAGGTACAGTTTAGTTGCACTTATTTTCTACAGGCAAATATGATTGAATAATTTACTCCTCATCAACTGTAAAAGCATATAACATATTTTGTCGGTATGAATCATATACATCCGCAAAGCAAGGTGACGTAAAGCACTTTCAATACAGTAATTTTTCAAATTTTTAAATTCAAAGGTAAAATAATAACTGCCACAATAAAATTTGTTAGTTAAAGCACTCTTATAATCTGTAATTGATATGAATGCAGCAGTCTTATCCACCACAAAGTAATACAGTTTTGGTAATGGACCATGTGCATTGTGCAATACAAGATAGATAATGGCACAACTTAAAATAAACGAATTGACCCCTTCCACTGAATTTTACTCTATAGAAGGAGGTTGCCTTACCTTCATCCCTTTCTACATGTGCAGTTTCTAACATGATAAACTCTAACTTGTAAAACTCATTACTATTTTAGAGGGTACTCATTCCCTGCAAAGCCTATATATCACGACGGGCGATGTATATTGTATCATCCTTGAATAGGTAGATTTGGTGCATGTACCAGATCTAAGCAAGCTGTGCCATTTCTCCTGTTAGTATGACGAACCTAGCTGGCCATAATGGCAGGTAAGTTGGAAGTTGGCGGTGCTGCGATAGCTAAGGAAAAAAAGAACAGAGATGGTGTAAAATATGGTTATGTCCAGCATTTATCATGATATGCAATCTCTCCTCCGCCCAACAACCTTTAAAGTGATTTGGTAACATTGCCTCAGATTCTGAAGAAAAAAATTCTACATTTAGCTCATGCTGCATTCATAATTATAAACCTTGAGGTAAGTCAGGAATCCCATGACTTTTACAAGCCAATCGCCTGTTTGATTATCAAGATATTTGTGATTTGGAAAATAGAAATTTCATTTTTTTATGTTTTTTATAACACTGGGGAAAATGAGTATGGTAAAACCGGTCACTCAAAGATTTTTACTTTTTTGAGGCACTTCATGATCGCGATTTGAAGCACAATTTTTTTTTAGGGCTTCAATATTACACCATATCACAGACGCTGATAACACGTAGGGTCATGCATCTTAGATTTTGCATTGTTAAACAATATCTCATAGCGATTAACCCAAATGATCCAATTATGTCATATCTTTTCTTTCCCTTTGTACCGGCATGGCTCACAAAGGGAGAGAACACAACACAGGAACAAGAAAAGAGTGTTTGAATTTGTGAATATGGAGTATGAATAATAAATCTAGCATGGACAAATTTAATATGGTCAAATCTAACATCGTCCAAAAGCAGGCACAGCATCGGATACGTTAGGCCTGTATTCATCAGTTCGAGATTGCCAAATATCCTGCTATTTGAACTATTCCGATCGCAAATTATCCAGTTAATTTGCGTCTTCATCAGCCCAAAGTTGCAATTAGCGGGACATTTGGTTGAGATAATCATCCCAAGATATCTTTGACTAGTTTGCAAAATATCCCACTATTTGTCCGTTGCGTCTTCACCAGCCCGAAGACTCGTACTATGCGCGAACGCTGAGAAAAATATATTGAGCTAATTTCTTGAGCTCAAGTTTCTAATTTTGAGGTCAAATCTCGAGCTGATGAAGACGCGATTTGTAACTTCGGATTTACTTCCCAAATCAGAAATAGCGGGCTATTTGGAAATCTCGAGCTGATGAAGTGAAGACAGGCCTATAAAAAACATTTCTCTTCTACAATACACAAGAGATAGCAAGTGATGCATCCTTCCTTACCTGGTGTATTGTTGGTCGCTGGTGCAGTCAGGGCTAGTCTCTCTTGTGGTGCGCCCTCTATGGCTTCTGATGAATAAGAGACAAACATGAATGATGGTGGAACAATGGATGCAAAGTAATATCACTGATAGATTCTAGATGTTTTCACCAGCACAGATGCTCAGAGTCAAGGCACTTAAAGGTAAAGACCAGTATTGGAAACGCCCAAATTTCAAAAAATGAAATGGAAGCTCTCATTACCAATCATGTGAAAGAATATGTTTTGACTAATACATGATGATAAAAAATTTGCCAGGAAACCACCTACTAATTCATATATTTGGTAAATTTGTTTCTGTCATGGTCTGTGAGAGATATAGGGTAGTCCCATGTACATCTTTCTGTGTATAGTGCTTGTAACTTTACGAAGAATGGGTCAAATTTCTTATCATTTTGATGATTCCAGAACCTTGCAGATGCTAGATGCTAGATGATCAACCTTTTCTGATCGATTCCACAACGTTTCTTTCACAATGCAATCGCATGACCATAACTGGTCTTTACCTTTAACTATTCACTACTGATTATGTTACCCACCATAAGATTATTCTTTAGATGTCATCTTGTTTTAAGATTTCCCAGAGAGTTCCAACACATTCTAAATACAATAACTTGTAATGTGTAATGTTGAATAGTCTACCTTTATATATATCAAAATTGATGTATTCTTAAACAATTCAAGAACAGAGAATTCAGGATATCTTGGGGGACAAAAATATATTGCCAACAATATAACACATCTAACAGCAATGACTAATTGTCCAACTATAGATCCCTTTAATTGGTGATCATGACTTTCAATGAGTGTTTGTAAGTCTTACTTGTAAATTGAAAATTTAATTGTAAACTTGTTTAACTTAGTTTCAACCAAATTTTAATTTTTTAATGAGGGACGATGTTTTGTTTTACAACAATAATATAAAAGATTTGGGGGGTGTTTCACAGAGATCCTAAGTTGAACTTATCTCTAAGTTGGACTTAACAATTATGGAAAGCCGGTAGCATCTATGAAAATGTTTTGTAAAAGTTATCTTAAAAGGCTTAAATTGTTGATCTAAATCATTTATATTTTCTATTATCATGGGAGATTTCATGTTCTTGATGTGGAATTTATGAAAAGTCTAAATACTTGAATTTTCGCTTTGTATTATATTTTATTTTAAGGCTACAATTGGCTCTCCATAATTTTTAAGTCCAACTTAGAGATAAGTTTGACTTAGGATCTTTGTGAAACACCCCCCAGATCTAAGGAGATTTGACTCACTGTTTTCTCTCTCTTCCTTCTCAATCTTCTCCTCCTGCTCTTCAGCGGCTGTCTTGTCAGCTCTGAAGAAGATCCTTGCACTGCTCCAACTGTAGTACAGCAGATCAAACTCCTATACCAAATAAAAAATTAAATCAACTAATGTTAGCGAAATCATAAAGAAAGGGCCTGAAATAGTCATACCAAATGTTGCAATCAGTAGCTTTGAATATTGAGCTGATAAATGCTTCTATTTCATCAATATTGATGCATTCTGAAATGTTAAACATGTCGTAAAAGTATGCAATATTTTATTTCCAATGTTAAAAAAGAAGGGAACAAAGAACATTAGAAGACAATGAGTAATAACCCCTTTAGATATATAGTACTGCTAAAAACTCTAATTGCACAGAATTGGTTTGATTGCAAGCTACGAAATTTGCTCATAATACAGATCAGTGAAAGACATTTCAGAATGAATCCAGTGAATATCTTGCAGGATGTGATTTTGTTAATGCTACCATGGCCTTAAGGCAGTTTAGCTAAAAGCAAGTGCAAAAAGTGCAAAAGCAAGCATGGTAGCACTTTGTATCCACCTTGAGCATCACTTGGGATGGATGTGTGTACAATATAAATGTAGCCTATTAAAGGGGGTGTAGCATGACGAGACTACGTGTCTTTCCCATGGCCTGACTCGGGGCCAATCAGGTATAATATGACTACGGACGACGCAACCGCAGTCTTCACTTGCGTGCAACCTACGCAAAATCGAAGCATGAGGAGAACTTCGGTCTGTTTTGCAAACTCGTGCAGTTGTTCAAAAGAGAGTTGTAGATGACATTAACCAGTATTTGCCATGCTACACCCCCTTTAATATGATTCTTACCCTTTGGTATGTGTCCAGTCTCTTGATGGTGAGTTGTGCTGTGTTATGTAGCTTCTCATCTCCTCCCATCTGCTTCCTTACTGTCTCCTGTTCACACGAAAAAAAATCAAAGATGGATACCATGCTTTGTTCAAAATTTTAGTCTACTTTACACTCTCGTACCATTTGTGTAAATCTCTCTCTCTCTTCTTTCATCTGAGGCAATGTTAGTTTAGAGCCTGTCTGTACTAGTTTGGCCAGGAGGGATTAGACCACCCAGCATGTTCTCTAAACAGGTCATCAACTCAGCTCTAAATTAACATAAGACAAAGAGGACAATGGGGGACCAATGGACACCACTTAGGGGTTGTTCTCTATATAGAGGGAGCAAGTATTTACAAGTAGTACAGTGGGGCTTTAAAAGAAAAGAGGCAATACAGGACTATACACATCATATTTCTAATGTCTAATCTACGAATTTGGTTTGATCAGGTAAGGTCGTATTCTGTGACATCCTGCCAAGTCTTACCTTGTCCTTGTTGTACTTGAACTTGACCGAGTGGAACCAGTGAAGGGAATCAAACTCTTGGTACTGGTCTAGCAGCTTCAGAATGTATGCCACGCCTTCAAATGAAACATTTATGTATAAAATAAATAGCAAGGGGCCAAGTATTGATCCCTGGGGTACCCCAATAGAGACATTTAAGGAAGAAGATAAAACACTGTGAACAAGAGTATGTTGAACTCTGATAGTCCCTAAACTATGTCAATATGGAAACTTTAAAACACAAACTATTCATCATCATCATCATCAACAGACTGGATTTGCATTTATTTGCTGAGATTATGCTCTTGCTTGCTTCAAGTACCGCGTAAGATAGAATACCATGATAAATCATTTTTTCATGATCATTGCTTGGCACAAACACTGTAATCAGTCATGCCATAAGAATATCATCAAGTCATTTGTGTGTGTGTGTAATTGGGTTCGGTTGATTAAAGATGTGTATCAGTCAGATATGATTATTCACGTCTGGGGACCGACCTTTAATGTCACCATCCAAAAGACGTGACTCAGTTTTGAACCGGAGTCGTCTGAGTTTGTTTGTAGGCGAAGACAGAGAGCTGACCAGGTGAACGTGCCACTAGACCAACTGTTTAACTGGTTGAATTTTAACATAGAATTTGATCACCGTTACCTAGATTTGATCATTGCTCCTTATTTCATGCTTACCCATGGCAAACCCATCATCGGTGAAAGCTGCTCCCATCTTGTTCTTCTTGTTCAACTTTTCCTTGGAGCTCACAGAGTACTCTACAAAGTTGAGTGTCTGCAGCAAAAATAAAAATAGAATCAATTACATCTTGGTGGAAAACAATTAATTAAGTATTTCTTGGAAAGTATAAGCTAGTTTATCACCTACACAATTTCGGGTGAAAAGGTTCTACTATTCAAAGACTTTTTGATGTAGAATTCAGATTTTTTATTGCTGGAGATCATTCAGATATTATAAGGGAATCTTAAATGTAAATTGTGTACCTTGAAATTTTCTTCACTGATCCTCTGTTTTTACATAAAAAGCTTTTTCTTTCATCATGTTTTGATTCATGAAAGTCTGAGCCCTGTTTCATAATTTTTTTTTATCAATAACAAGCTACAATAATTGTTACAAGCTACTGAAATCCTTGTATTTGATTGGCTGCGATCCAATTTGTCATAGTATCTTAGCATTTGTTATCGATAACAAGTTTTATGAAACAGGGTCCTGGAGTAGAGGAAACCTAAACCAGAGTTTTACCCCTAAATGTTACAATCAGTATGGACTCTGGAGGAATCTATAATTATTTGTATTCTTACCAAGGCAGGAAGGATGGTGTAGAAGTTCCTGAGATGCATGTTCTTAGGATTCCTGAACTCTGGTGAGAACACATCCACCAACATCTGAAATCAAAGAAATAACAAATGAAACCATATGTAACTAAAATCAATTGGATATAGACAACGTGGTCACAATCTTGCTTGAAACTGACCTTTATGGTTCTTTCATATGAACTTTACTAGCCAAGCTACACTTTTTATTTCATTAACTAACTGATGATAACTGTTTCATCTTGCTCCAACACTTTCATCATATGTACTGCATAATGAAACTACAGAGTCAAAATTACTTTCCTATTTCTATGAAATACATGAATGCTAAACAGGTTGACATATTCACTGGAATATGAGTTCGATAAAAATCTCACCTTGAAGTACTCAGTTCCCTCAGCAAAGTTCTTTGTCAGGTTTCCGATTACATTGTCAAGATTCCTGAGCAAGAAAGAAAGACAGACAAATGAAAAGAGCGATGTTAATTACTGCCACTGACAAAACAGGTGTTCATTTCATGTTCCTTCTTTCTCAAAAAAGAAAAGAAAAATGAGTATTTTACTGTTTCACGGTAATTGAATTGAATTGAATTGATCTTTATTTCAATCATCATAAAAACATCATAACAAACATATAAAATACAAAACATAGCGTACAAGTTAAAGAGAAACATTTACAATACAATACAACAACAAAAATATATATGAATGTGGAGACAGCTAGTAGGAAAGTCAAGGGCTTTATTGGTGCTGCCACCAAAACAGTAATAAAGTATAATACAGTATTATATTGTAGTTTGATAAGGTGATTTTAAAAAATGTAATAATGTGTGTGAAGTAGTAAAATATTTAAATATTTCATTAAACAGTACAATATTTGAATAGTATATCACATAACATCTTAAAAATAGAATGCATAGAGATAAATATGACCATGTCACTAACTTCCATAACAGACTGGTATAACACATTTTGAGGTAGAACCTGGACTTTTGATATGAAAGCCTAGAACCAAAACTTGATATAAATCAGTGTTTACTTTCATGAATCTACATCAAAGCCCTTTTCTGAAGTGAAATAAAAACTTATAATTAGGATAACAATAAAGCAGACATCAGCATGGATAGCGTTACCTTGCAGCTTGTGTGACTTCAGGTGATAGCTTCTCTTCTCCAACCAGTTCTTCAAAGCTTACAATATCCTCCAGGTCTGGTACAAACCTACAACATTAATCAAAATGAGTTTCTTAGTATGACACTAATGCACCAACTAAACATATGAATGCCAAGTTGGTTTCAACACTCACTGACAAAAATGAAGAATAATTTCTTTTTGTTCCTTGAAATTTATCCTTTACAAGAACAGTTTCTTTATAATGGTAACCCCAATGGAAAATTAATCAAATGAAATACATTTGGCAATACAAGTGTAAATTTACAAATAGTATATCATTCCATTTAAGGTATAAATCTATTAAACATAAGAGTCAATGAGCCTTAACCACAAAATTACACTTTCCCTATTAAGTACAAACACAATAGACTCATCTATCTGGGCGATAACCAATCCCTGATAATGTTTAAGTCTAGTTCTTGCATTCTACATGACATAAGTCATATGGACAGAAAAAAGGCTCTAGTACATACCTGATGGCATTACTGCAGCATCTTAGACCACCTGATCGGATCATCCTGATGTACCCCATCGCATTACCTATGCAGAGAAAGAAGGTGATTAAAGGAAGAAATCTTAGAAGATGTTAAACTACCCATTCATAACATTAGCATGCCACCTTCAATGATTTTACCTATTGGCCTTTCATACCCCACTACATCATTACTGTAACTGCAAACCATCAGTATGGTATAATACCAGCATGGATTTATTGTATAAAGCAATATTTGTTTGTGGTTAAGGGGGGGGGGGTAGGGGAAGCAGGGACCAGATGCCCCCACCTCTTTCCCCCCCACCCCCATGACCTCAAGGTAATATTAGAGAACAGACTCACCAATCTGACTGAGAAGGTTCCTGAACTGATCCAGATAACTGTCGCCCTCTGGTGTCAGACCTAGCTTCCTGATGCCCTTGTTGAACTTGTCTGCTCGGTCAAAGGGGTACATCTGGTTCATCTCCTGTTTGTTCTCTCTGAAGTACCTCAAGTCCTACAGATAAAAACATTGTCATTATACATGTGTATACCTCATCTACCTCTAGTTTGAGTTCAAGAGGGGATTTAAGTACTTTATAATGCCACATATGGTTAATTTTCATATGCTCATCACAAAGGCAACAATATGAATACATAATACCATGAACAATAACAAAACTGTATCAGCAATTTCAAAAAAGCTAAAATATAGATTCTGGGACATATCTGCAAAGGAATATTCTTGCACCATCATTTCAGCTACTTTGATTACAACTGATGAGGGAATACCTTTTCAAGTTTTTAGTGGCCATATGGAAAATGAAAAATGTTTTACTATACTTCCTTCAAATGCCTGTATGTCTTTACAACCGAACTTCAAACTACAACTAATAGGATAATTCTTTTTTCAACAGTGTTTATTCACTTCACAAGATTTATATGTGAAGAAGAAAAAAAAAGGTTTTTCCATTCACTTAACCTCACACCTACATTTGGGTATTAAAGAATGTTAGATATTCTCCATGACTATATACCAACCTTGATGAGTTTAGACTTGATGTGTTCATCGTACATGAACTGAGAGAAGATGAAGAACTTCTTCCGAAGGAACTGATAGGTGAAGTTGACCGTGGTGTTCATGATCCCTGTACCGTGGGTACGGATAGAGTTGGCAATGTGACGGATGTTGATGGTGTTGAGATGTTTGTTGTTGCTGGAACGTTCCACAAAGATCTAATCATATGAGAGAAGAGGATGAAATACAGACAATTATAAGCACTTTCTAAATAATGGGTCACATCTTCTCTCTGGCTTATTGAGAAAGGGATGAAAGCAAAACTGAGTTATTATGATACTTGGCAGACTAATACTTGGCTTTACTAGAAGGCAGTGAAATAGCATTTGCACATACAATGATCCAAATTTGGCACATATAATGTTATCCAAGGGGGGGGGGGGGGGGCATTACCGTTTTAACTTTCTCACAATATTTCTTTATACCACAATATTGTATCAATTGTGAACACATACAGCCCAACAAGAAGATGATTAAATTATGGATTCCATAATTCCCACCAACTATATACCTCTACAGTACAAACAAAATCTGAACATTTCTAACTATTTGGTTTGTGATGTCATTAGTCACTCTCCCTACTTTGCTTCTAATAAAATGAGTAGAGAATATGCATAGAAAATAGTTTACCTGATTGTTGACGTTGTAGAGATACTTGGACACAAAGATGTGAATGTTCCTCATGATCTCCAACACATCCAAACCCTACACAGGAAAAAGCGTTTGAAATACATCACTAACCAAGGTACCACACATTGTCAAACATCACTGTCACAGTGAAATACAATCTCTCTTCCTAGCAATACTCTGTGGTATTTACCTTTTCATTCCACAACATTACTTTCCTTTACAATCAAATACAACTTCCGTTGTATCGCTGTATCATTATTTTCCCCATTTCCTTTTCCCTCTTTTAACACTCATCTTCAATTCACTTTCATCTTTAATCATTTCCTTCCATATATAATGTCTCTCTACATGTACACTCAAGTATTTTTGTTGATTATGCAACTTTAATACTTATTTATTTATTTATTTATTTATTTATTTCTGATATTTATACAGGGTGGCACATATCACCAATTTGGTGGTCTTCCATGAGGCCCTGTTTGGTAATAATAAAACAAATATCAAACAAACATCAAACAACATCAAACAAACAAAAAAAACATCTATACTAACAAACATCTATACTTACTTGTTCCAGAGTCTGTGTAGGTAGATGAGCCTCTGTCATCGCCAGACCGTACTTCTGTGCTGCCAGGTTACGCATCTCGGCATACGTCTTCCAGTCATGCAGCGCCACCGTGGTCAGATTGTAGAAGGTCTTGTCCAGGTAGTGCGTTACATGGGCTACAGAGAGAACAGAAAGAGAAAATTATTCATGACAAAAATGGTTGTCAACAAAGAAAAAAGTTGAAAACCTTGAGAAAACATACAAAACGGGGGCCCCATCTTATAAAGAGTTGATATCAATCGCAAGTTTTGTGTGATGATATTAATCGTAACTATGTACATAAGAGATAGGAGACAGCAAACTTGCGATTGATTGGAGGACTAATTAATTAATTTGGATCAATCGTAACTCTTTATAAGACGGGGCCCAGATCATTCATCATAACCCTATTTCCATGCTCCAGAATACACACATAGTATTCTTCCCTTGCATCCTTGTATCTATTTCTTTACATTCTTTGACCATCTGATTGTTGTTTATTCACTTATCCACCCAGTCTCAGATTGTAGGACAAGGTCTTCTCCTTTGCTTCCATCATCCAAGTACTTAGATATTATTTACAAGTATTTAGACAGTCTCATCCACAGTGAACAGCCTTTACATTGGCCATCAAAAGAACTTGCCACATAAGATTATTCACCAAGAGAGAAGGTATATTTGTAGACACATGGCATGGATTGTACTTTTTTTTCCCATTCTGTGTCTGTTCCATCTCCAAAGCCCTAGCTTGTGAACTAAGTTAGACCTAGTAATAATATTGTTTTTAAAACTAAAGATGACAGAATTTTGTTTTTCCCCAATTTGTTTTTTGTTTTTTGTTTTTTGTCTTCAAAATAGGGGTACCCCTCATACACAGAGATTTACGGTACATGTTTCAATGAGAAACCATTTGCAAGGGAAACAAAAATTGTGGTCTATGTAGACAAGTGGTCACTAAATCAGCTTTAACTGTAGTTACCTTCCCACTTTTCTGACTGTTTTACTGACTCCTTGGACACCTTACCTTTGATGTCGATGAAGTAGCTGAAGAACCTGATAGGTTTCATCTTGAGGAAGTGTGAGATGTCCTTCAGGGTGACCTTGAACGGATTCCTATCATCAAGCTGGAGGTGGTTGTGTATCGAGAGACGCAGATCAGTCTCAACGGCACGGCACAGTGGCTCCAGCAGATGCTGGATTCAAGAATAAAAGCAAATAATATGAAAACATTTGACCTTCCTTAACCTAAGCCTTCCGCACCATCTGGGAGATGTGTGATGTCTTCTGCTTCATGACCTCAAGCCAGATATTCCTATCAAGTCATATGAACACATTTATTGTGCTAATAATTGATCTGAAGGAAACACAATTGAACCTGCTTTAGCAGCCACCTGGGCATAAAAACCACTTTCACTAGCCTGTTTCTGTTTCCCTCAAAAAGAATTTCCCACTAAGAAATGTATCAAACGGAACCTTAGAATGATCATCTTCCTATACAAATTTAAGTGCTCTTTATATAAAAAGTGTTGACTACACTAGACAAATAGGATAATGTAAAGTGCTCAAATTCCATAATGAAATCCTCAAGTTTGACTGCAACAAAATATTTTCCTTGCAGTATGGATCAATTTGATTAACATCTGAAATAGCTGAAAAACTGACCACAGAATGTATCTTAAGCTAGGATTGTTTTTATAACAGCTAAATGATGAAAATCCCATTTTTATCAGATAAGCACACTTACCTCTTTGAGTTGTCCATTGATTTCCCTATCAAAGCAATTCAATAGCACTCCATTAGAGTCTAGATGTCTGGTCTGTTTCATGGGTGCTACACAGTCCGCTAAGGCACCCATCATGTACTACGAATAAAAGGGAGAAATACATTCATGTCAGGAACAAGGCTCAAAGTATGGCACTGTTAGCAAGAAAACACCTCAAGATGAACACCATCAGACAATGATGACGATGATGATGACGACGATGACTATGACGATGTCGATGAGGACGATTACATTGACGTCGATGAAGATGATGACGATGAAGATGATGACGTCATTATCCCCATCGTCATCATCTTCATCATCGTCAGCATCTTCGTCATCTTTGTCATTGTCATCATCATCATCGTCATGGAGATATAATTGTTGTGCTTCACACATGATGACTGTTTCACCAAACATATTTTCACCCAAAAAAATTAAAAGGATTATGTGATATGTGGTGCAACAGGATATGAAATGCTGAAGACCAAGGTACTTGGAGAGACACTTGATGTAGAATTCTGATTGGGTCACTGAACCTGTTATAAACTGACAGATGATCATGTAATATGTGCAACCTTAACGTGCTTGGTGTTATTTGGTCTGACCCAGGTCACTGATATATTCCATGATGTAGTAGCCACTTCCACAATATGCACATGAAAGACTTGTATTATCATCTTCTTTTGCGAAAGAGACAGAAACAGTGCAAAGATCAAACAGTGTCATATGGCAGATAGGGATGGACAGGGAGTGAGAAAAAATGGCACAGATAGGGAGGGGGAGGGAGGGGGGGGGTCGTTTCATAATAATACTTACATGTAACCTATGAGCATCCACTGCATTCTCAAACCTATCTGCCAGGTAGAGAGGGAAGACTACACGATGCCAGTACAGGAAACTGCAGTTACATGCTTCCCGCAATCTGTCATATACAAAGACATATACATAACAAATTATACAAATATTGCTTTATAGTAATTAGAGGTGAAAAGGCAGATTTTAAAAAACCTGAAAAGGTTTAATTAACAATTTGTAGAAAACCATATCCTAGATCACAACCATGAATGTGAAGAGCATTGTTCCATCGCCCAATATCTAGTCAAAGGTAAGGAACAGTGACGTTGCAAGAAATTGAAATGAATAAGCAACTTTTTCAATGGTCCCAGAGATGAGTGTTATTTTCCTTCGCCATTCACAATAAAATGCTCTGCGATGAATTGCTCATGATGAACATCCCTTCAAATGTATCTCTATACTGTATTTCTCCCTCTTGACAAGTTACAAATCTACAAGTGCCTTTGAATTTGAATTTATTAACAACATAACAAAATGTTACAAATGTATTCAAGTGGGTAACAAAATAACAACAATTAAACAGTTGATGTTGTATACATATCCCTGTACATGAGTTACAAAAACAAACAAAAATATCTATAGTCGAACCAAATGTACAAATTAAATAAATCGTATATATCATGTCATAGCAAACCTGTGAATTAGCCACAACTTAATAATACATACAGATTTGGTTGAATTCTTTAAAGATTCATAAAAGTGTGGCTGGAATTGAAATTCACAGAGTTCCAATGGTGATGGCATATAAGTGATTCAAATAAAGGATATTTTAAACTTAAAAACTTAAGGGAGAACCAAAAGTTAGCGCGAGTGCTAGTCGGGATTGCCTTGAGGCCCTACCTTGTTCTGAGGTCACTGATGGCAGCAAGCTTGTTCATCAAACTCTTGAAGGACACCAGCTCATCGTCCTTGAAGCATTTCTGAAAATCGGCATATCAAAGCAATAGTTGGTTTTAAATCAATGTTGCACGTTACTATACAGCCAAATTGAACATAATGATATGAATACATAGCATATTTTTTATAAAGTTGGCATGATGTTACCTTAATCCCGTTAAAAGTCTTATAATTCCATAGTAGTATTGTTATAGACTCACCATTTGAGTGCCTACAGCAAGGGAAAGATTGGCAATCAACCTCCTCTCTTTGGTGGCTGTAAAAGACAAAACAATAAACAATCAATGTGAAATAAACACATCTTATGCATAATGCAGACAGTATTAATAAGAAAAACATCAGTGTTAAGTTCTTACAATTAAACACTTATTAGATTTAAAAAGTAGCTAAGCATCTTGGGAAGAAATCATAATTTTCAGAAAGATATTTCCTGATTAATGAAGTAGCTCAATCTGGTGTGCAAATAAGTTACACTGGTTTAGTCATGTAGTTAATGTTGCCCACTTTGCTTCACGAACAGCCAAACCAGAAACTTTCACAAATTGTTTAATACGGCAGTTTTCTGGGCAAGAATCTTGGGGAAGTGCACAAAATCAGTGTTATGATTCATTCTGCAGCATGAAAACAAATCAATAGAAGTCAAATTACCCCCCCCCCCCCCCTCCCATTTATTGAACATGACAAAGCAGGGCCCGTTTCACAAAATTTTTCATCAGAGACAAATGACAGTTTTTGTTATAAGCTACTGAAATCCTTGCTTTTGATTGGTTATCAGCAGATTTGTCACTGATTTTTGTCATTTGTCATTGAAAAAAGGCTTTGAGAAACGGATCCCAGGTCTTTACTTACATGGACCATTGAGAGCGTTCTCCACCAGCACCAAGGCAGAGAGAGCATCCAACCTCTTCTCACTGTACTTCTTGTCTGAGATGATACGTTTCTGCAAACATAAGAATGTAGCATATAGGCATTATTTAAGTATGAACTTATTATACAGTCGAACCTGTCTATAGCGACCGCCTAAGGGAAACACAAACAGTGGTCTTTGTAGACAGGTTCCCTTTAGTACATGTTTCAATGAGAAACCATTTTCAAGGGTCTTTATAGGCAGGTGGTCTTCATGTGCAGGTTCCTTTAGTACATGTTTAAAAGGTTTCTTACTGTTCTGATGTAAAACAAGATTATTTTTTTAAAAGTAACTTCTTGAATCTTCTGTGATAAACTACCTTTGCTGTGTTGACTGACGCCAAGGCCATGAACTGAAGATGCTGTATGATGTGTGTGACAGACTCAGCTACAAGCATGGTACGACGATGGAAGGTGTGCTCAATGCTCTGTCAAAGAAAAAAGTGATGAGTAAAAATTCATTTTCTACAAAACAATGCGACAGATTGAGTTTGCTTCAGAAAGGTTGATAGGTGGACAGCTTTTAACATTTTCCCTCTCCTACCTAGGACCTAGAACCATTGTGCAAAAAATGCACTTTGATTACATTTGTATGCTGCTGATTAGTGATAAGAAATCACTAAAGAAAAAAAGTGTTAATCCTGTATAGTGTGCATGCAATATAACATATAATACTAAATATCATAATAAATACTTTTAACCTACTTGTATTAGTATCAAAATGTCACATAGAATTTGACAGAAAGTCACATTTATCACAAATGGCATTATATTGGAACAAAATTTCACATCAATCTATATTTTACAATATTGTATTATATATATATCATATTGAATGATCTAGGTCCTAGAACAGTCAACTATACCGACCTTAAGCATCTCGATGAGTCTGCACAGAGCAAGGACGGCTGTTTTGGTCATAGGTTTGTTCATGTGAGCATGAAGGTTCATCACAGTGTGAACAAGGTTGCTGATGTTGTATGCAAACAGCAACCCCTGCAAGACAGAAACATACAATATCATGATGAAGGTTGTGTCCACACTATGTAAAAGTTCATGGATTTATACTTTCACAACAGTAAAGAGTTATCGCTTTTGGAATATATTTATCACAGACAACAATTGCTTGGTTTGTATTTACTAAAAGACGTTAAGGATATATAAAACTGTCACACAATACAAAATGACATATTATCCAAAGAAAGTGACTTTAATAGTAAACATGGCTTTACATACAATACTATACTCCTTTAACGATTTACCCACATCTGTATATCTGTCCCATATATTGTCTACTTAAAGCCGAAAGGGAACTAACTCTGTGTCAAAAGATGAATTAACACCCTTCTAGCTCCACACAAGCGATATATCAGAAATGTTTTTAATTACACAAATCCTGAAAAGTGCATTCCACATATTACAGCCAATGTTCCTTGATGTGTAATAGAAAGAGCCATTACAAACCAAGAAGTAACATATCTAACTCACATGTATGAAGAGAGTGCACTTGTGTGTGAGGTCCTCTATGACAGTATTGGCTTGAGTTAGACTGGATTCCATACGAACCATCCAGGAACACACCTGCATGTAGTACACCTGTACCTCCCTGTAGGACAAGAATTTTGGGCGAATGTTTGAAAGGTTACTATGACATGTTATATATCATACAGAGAGGATATAAGTTTAAAGCTATTGTTAGTTACCTTATGAATTGTTATAGTGATTTTAGAGACAGTTCGTGGATGTGATCTTGAATGGTGGATCCTGCACTGTTTTATCAGTTGTTATATAGCTCATACCTCATCATCTCTATAAGCCTGTAAAGACTTTAGGAATTATTAATCAGCTGTGTCCCTGTTGCTGTGATAAGGCACTGTGGTGTTGATTGAATCCTTTTAGTTCATGCTTCTTTCTACATGACAATATGTTTAGAAATGTAATGCAACAACAAAAGGGGGACTTTTTTTTTTTTGGACCATTTTTTTTTTAATGATTTAGTGTTGCAAAAAAAGAATTGATTAATACATTGATTGAGCAAAGTGATCAGGTTATACTTGGAATATTACTATGCTCATCTGTCAAAATATGTTATATTTCAATCTTATTAGTGTTATATGGATAGACTCATCAATAATTGTGTGTTTCATTTACACTGGATTGTTGACAATGCTACCACAAATAGTAACATTCAGGATTTTGTAACTTACTTGAGTAGATTCTGGCTCTTCTGTTGTAAGAAGAGACTGGTCTGCTGTAGGACATGATGCTGTGCCTTCCTGTCAATCAACCTAGCTACATGAGGTGAGAGACTCTTGAGTAAGAACTGGTTGGCTGACCAGACGATGTTCGCTGTCAATGTGATGGCTGGAATCTGAAAGAGTATCATAAAATGGTTACATCAGGGCCGCGTCTTATAAAGGGTCGATGTTAATCGCAAATTATTTGCGATTGATATAAATCGCAACTATGTACATAAGAGATAGGAGACTGTAAACATGCGATTAATTGGAGGACTTGCAAATCTAGATTTAGATCAATCGCAACTTTGTATAAGATGGGCCCTGATGTCAACCTGTATATAAATGATATACTATGGGTATATGTACTTCAGAAAAGGTGCAATAAAATGGAAGACTAGTTACAAAACACTAAAATCTGATTTGACAACCTACAGGTTTGCTAAAAAATACTAAAATCAGATTTGACAACCTACAAGTTAGCAACAAAAGAGTAAGATCTGATTTGACAACCTACAAGTTAGCAACAAAAGAGTAAGATCTGATTTGACAACCTACAAGTTAGCAACAAAAGAGTAAGATCTGATTTGACAACCTACAAGTTAGCAACAAAACATAACCTATAAGTTAATACCCTTCTGGCTTTTAACAGGCATTACCATCAATTCTTGGTAGTAATAAGCATCTAAAAACACAAAGCCACATCTTCAAGACACACACAAATTACAGTATGCAAGCTTACCTTTTTGTAGACATCCCAGAGAGATTTGAAGACCTTTTTGTCGATGACTCTGAAGATCTGATAGTGGAGTACATAGAGACCACATATACCAACATACTTCAGTCTTTGGTCTGTCTCATTCACCTCACCTGTTCAATGAAAGTGGATAAAAGCAATTTACCTTGTGCTCAAATTTCTCATACCTTAATCATGCATGACATATTTTTTTAAAAGGGTTAATTATAAGAGGACAATAATACTCTTCCTCTTTCAACATTGTCTACGGATTCCAAATTTTCACATCAGCTTGCATGCACCACGTTGGGAACAAGATTTATACAGGGAAGAGTACAAATGTAAGAATACCAACTTCTTGTAAGGGTAACGTAATTTCAAACACATTGGTCATCTCCTGGAATAATTAAACATTGGGCCAGTTTGGGGATCATTTAGAAGTTTAGGGAGTCACTTTTATCAGGCTACTGCAGGAATTATGAAAAGGTATCCACTAGCTAGAATTGATTCATTTCTTCACTGACAAAAAAGTCATTCGTGACCTTTGTCCTGTACTTTGGCAGATGCCCTAGATTAGATGCTAATGTTTGCTTCCGTTATGACAGAGCAATTAAAGTTTTATATTAGCTCAATAAATGAACATGTACATAAAATATTGGCAAATGTTTGATCTTAGTCGCTGTTACCTTTTTCAATTAATTCAGTTTATGTAAAAGATCACATCGTAATCATGTCATTATTTGCTCTGGATATGACAGAGCAAGTGATTGTATTTCTATAGTCACATTATTGAATAATTCAAATAACATAGTGATAAAATGTTTCATTTTTATTTATTTATTACATTTTTTGTTGATTCTATTTGTTCAAAAGATCACATTGTAATGTTAACAATGTAACATCAGTAATGACCTTGCGAACACCAGTAGATGTTTTATATCAGCTGTATAGACTTTTTCCCAAGGCCAAATGAATAAATGAATATTTTAAATGATGTAGCATAAACTATTTTTGACATCTTTATCTATATATCAAGTTTTTATTGATTTCATAAATTTAAAAGAACACATACTCAATATTAGCGTTTGTTTATGACAGAATACACGAAACCTTCAGTAACCCCAATAAAACAATATTCTATAAAAACATTTTGGGATTCAATCCAGGTAATTGGCTAGCTTGTTTTTAAGTAGCATCATAAATGAGATGAATAGTGGAGACTTACCAATCCTTGGATCAGTGTTGGCAAACATGGTTCTGATATTGTAAGCAAACTCCTCGGCGAAGTAGGTATTCTTCGACACTGTCACTCCACAGTCATCAAAGTTCTGCTCAACACAGTTCTGTTCATGTAAAAAAAAATGATCAGAAATTACCTTTACTCCCCATTTCTTTCATGAATATGGAGGTGTCCTTTTTTTTCTATTTAAATCATACTTTCATGATTCACTTAAAAGCTGCCCCACTGTATGAAATCAATTGATCTCCTCATTAGCCTCAGTGTATCTACATTGAGCAAAATCTAAAATTTAACTATAAGGTACAATACATGTTTGATATTTCATATATCAATTATAACTTACATTTCAGAGTAATATATGAATTTGCATGCTTTCAAATTTGTCTTACATTTTGTGCAACAGACAGAATGGCTATGCCACAATAGCATGTTTTAGAACTTGGCTTTGAGATGACTTTAGGCTTAAATTCCTACCAAGGCCCTGTTTCATAATTTTTTTTTATCAATAATGAGTTTCAAGAACTCTTATAATATATTGAAATCATTGCATTTTGATTGGCTGAGAGCAAATTTGTTATAGCAATTAGACACTTGTTATTGATAACAAGTTTTATGAAATAGGCCCAGGACTTGGAAATTAAGGGTCAATACATGACCAACGAGCAGGGGCGTACGCAGGGGGGGGGGGGGGGGGGGGGGGGGTTTGGGGGTTCAAACCCCCCCCCCCCCCCCCTTTGAAAAAAAAAATAAAAAAATATACCCACGGCAAACCTAAATAAGGTGACCTTACCCCCCCCCCCCCCCCCCAACGAAGAAAAATGTCAAATTTTAAAATTTCGAGACACCAAAAAAAAAAAAAAAAAAATGTCCGCTTACCCCCCCCACCCCCCCCCCCCCCCCCCCACTGAGCGACTTTTCGGCCGGCGCGATTTTCAAATTTTCGGGAGCAAAATATTTTAAAACCCCCCTTGAAAAAATCCTGCGTACGCCCCTGCCAACGAGCATCAGTGCATCAACTTCATTTCAAAATTGGGACCTAAATATATCAGTACAAGACCACTGCTCTATCACTGGCTTTTGCTCTACCACTGAGCTGTCTCATCTCATATTTCAATTCACTTTCTTAACCCACTGGCTAAACTGGGTAGTTCCTGTACTAAATCTATTGGAAAGTGATAATTCAGTAGTCAACAGGTTAAATCTGATAAAAGATGTTGTATTGCCCTTTAGATGCCAAAACATGGGTCGGTGGGTCGGAAATTTTTCCTTTTTTTTTTTAACTTTTAAAAATATTTTTTACTCCCTCTTTGCTTTGGGCTGATGTTTCTCAGTTTTGAATGCTTTAATACATTTTTTTTCAAAAAAACGGTAACAAAAAAAAAAACGGTAAAAAAAAGCCGAACATAGATTTCAAGATTTTTGGGTCAGTTCCAAAGGGCAATACAACATCTTTCTTTTAAAGGCCTAATAGGAAGGGATATATATGCAAGTGTCCTGTAGGCGAACTGACAGGTCTGCTGCTACGATACTAACCTGGAAGATCATGCCATCTAAGAGTTGACCCTGGAGTCCCATGAGGAGCTTCTCAAACGGTCTCAGCTTGGATTCCTCCATCCCAAACCTCTGAGGGTTGTGATGCACCGACTTCAACATCCTAAAAAGAAAGTTCATAGGAAACATTAAAATATACTACAAAGATAAATATGAAATGATGATGATGCATTCATTTCTAAATATCTATATATTATTTTAGCTTTGTAAATGTATCTTTTTTTAAATTTCAACTTTATAAATATAGAGAAACAATAATCTATAAATATTTCTTGATTTAGAAAAAAAATTGTATCAACAAAATTTTTGATTTGTTTTATGAATGTGTACCTATTTTATATTCTAGTTTCTTTCCTTCTTCCATCTTCCTTTTTTATCACTTTGTTTGTTTGTCTGTCTGTCTGTGTGTGTGTGTGTGTCTCTCTCTCTCTCTCTCTCTCTTTCTCTGTCTCTCTGTCTATGTCTCTCTCTCTGTCTCTGTCTCTATCTCTATCCTTCTCTTCTCTCTCTCTCTGTCTGTCTCTCTGTATGTCTCTTTCTCCTCACATTTATTTACTGAACATCACCTCGATATAAAATGGTACACAATATGAAAACATATTTAATTTCTAACTTACCTCTTGTAGAGCGTCCAGTGATCCCTGAGTGTTGCTTGATTGGCAACTATCTCATCGAGTGTGATCAAGATACGCAGGAGCTCACCCAGGTACTCATAGGTTGTCTGGAAGAAATATTAAGTAAGAGTATTGCACAACCAGTGAAGTATACCTTCTTATAAATTCAAGCTATGATAATCTGACAATTAAAGGTATTCAACTCAGATCACTTTCATATTCTGAGATTCCTTTTTTTGTTCTACATATTTGTGACCTATTTTCTGTCATTCTTTCCTCCAGACTCATTAATTACAGGTAATGAAAAGCTATCAACTTAATATCATTTTATCTTAATTTCAAAAGAGTGAAACCCAGAATATTCTTGATTCCAGTCTTTGTAAACAACTTAGGTATTTAAGTTGTAGTGATATAGCACATTTGCAAAAACTGCTTTCTCTGCTTCTTCAGTAGTTGAGCAAATTTACTTGTTTTTCAGTTCACAAATTTCTCAAGATAAAACGTAATACATTTGAAGAAGTTTAGTACATTCAAAGGACTTATACTTACAAGAAAATGGACATGAGTAACATCAATGATCTTGGGTGCAGTCCTGCAAAATAATGAGAAAAATGAATAAATGAGAAATTGAATGATAATACATTCAGTTACAATATTCTATATTCATCTCACTTGTCTTTTAATGACAAATATATGCTACTAATCATACAAAAGAGTATATTATTAATTACACAGTCGTATTTCAGGCATGACAAAGGGATCATAGTACAATTAATTATTCATGCATATGACAATGCTGAACAAAGAAGCTTTTAGCTAGAAAATTGTCAAAACTGACTTTGATTCTTTTTTTTGGTTGTATATCATGATTTCAGTCAGTAATTTTTTTTTTTAAATTAAAATATATAACATAAATTTACATAGACATTTCCTGCCAACCTTCTCACAAAATAGCAGAGTACAGTTTGTACGATGACATCTCATTTATCAACTTACTTTGCATTGTTGTACAAGGCAGCAAGTTGGTCCACCATGTTCTTGACAACTTCATAGCAACGGTTCACGTAGCAAGACAGCTCCTAAATTTTTAAAAGTCGACAAAAAAGGGAAATTTCATGAATGACACGGGCAACACCTGCAATCATTTCTCTTGACGATGCCATCTTATGGGACATCAACATGAACATAGGTAAACATCATTGTGCAAATTAACAAATCGTTTTGCAAAATTATTAATGCTAGCAGCAATGATAACAACACTATCTTGATATCTCAAACAAAATGATTTTTTTTTGGTAACTCTCATTCAACATTTTCCTAAGCTATTTCCCTTATAAGCTTTTTTATAAGTAGTTTCAAATGAAAACTAATTAACTTACTAAAAATTAATACAAGTAGCAAAATATTAAAAAGAAAAAGATTAGCTTATATCATACTGCTGAGCACGTCAAGGGGGAAGGATGAATTATGCCCCTTTATGACTACTTTAAGATCTGCAGCATCTGGAAAGCATGATGTTTAATAATCTTTGAAAATCACTTCCATGCCATAGGAAATCCTGACTGAGAATTTTGAGTGTTCAATAATTTGTTTGGACTAAGCACAGCCAGGTCTTACTTCATGAAGTAAAAGCAATACCCACGCTGTGAAATCGTTCCCATGGAACATATTCCATGACCACTTTAGCAATGCAAGAAGCACTATAAATCAAAATTTAACATTTTAAAGTTCATTTTATGACAGCTGCTAAAAAAACTTGGTGGCACACTGGGATTAACGCATTTCCACATGAAGACATGACCTACATGGGTATAAACACATGAGCTCTTCGTTATATGCGTGGGTGGGTTATATCGCTTACTCCATACACCTCCATGTCCTTGGGAGTAGACTTAACTTTGTCTTGCAGCCATGAGGCCACGTTCTTAAATGTCAACGCAGTGACACACAGCTTCCTTTATGATATACAAGCCGTCACTCAACGCCGACACGTATGTAACCCTGATTGTTTATCTGTATACATCAACTTCTATGTACAAGGCATGTACTACTGGTATGCTGGGCCTAGGTAAGCCTTACGATGAAGGTCGAGAGTAAACAATCTATACACATGAATGTATGACGGCATATGAGTTTCACATGCATGAAATCATGACCATCTGTCTAGCATGTACATTTCTAGAATAACATAGTGATTATATTTTTCATTAGTATGAAATTCCAAACAAAGGTTGCAATGGATAATTCCACAACTAGATAACTTTAAGCAAATCATAGAAATATGATTTTTTTTTAAATTTTACCCATCATTCATTGAACATATAGGAAAAGCTCATCTTACCACCATTGTTCACACATGCATGTGTGCACTTATAAGAACATCCATAAAAGTTACCTACAAGACTACAACTTTTTATTTACATAACAATTGGTTAACATACACAATTATAATCCTCACACATCCTTTCATTTTGACCGTATCATACATGACATGATTAATGTGACTACCGCCCCCCCCCCCCTCCCTGTCATAAGGAAAGGGTAATTAAGATTAAGTGGGTAAAGTAATATAGTTTTCTCACCTGTAAGAAGGGCATAAGACGTCCCATCTGAACCTGTGCCTCTCCTTCCTCCAAGCCTGTCTCAGGTTCTGCTCATTTAAAAAAAAAAAATGAATATAGTGTGCATGTTGGGAAATCTCTCTTATATATCTTATTCCTTTTTTTCATCAGTAATGTAGGATTGCTTTTACAAATCCAAAACAGTTTGCAGCAAATTGGAAATAAAATTGTAAAGACTTATCTGGACTTACAACATTCATACCAACTAAATAATACTTTAAAATGTGGCAACTTAAAAGCAGCATTGATCTTTAGAAATAATTCAAATTGAGTATGAGAGTAAGACAAGTTGAATTTGATCATTTGGAATTCTTAGCACCCTTTTAATGAAATATTTTATACTTACAAGCTATTAAAACACACATGTTTCTCAATTGAATATAATTTTTGACAATTATTTTCACTCATGTAGCAACATTTAGTTTAGCATAAAGAAGTATTAATTAAAAACAATGAAAACTTCAAAAGTTTGAAATCGGTATACAACAAGCCAGGTTGATTTTAATGGGGTACATTTGCAGGGCAGATGACACACATTTCATTTCACAATACATTCCATATATGTATGGTAAAATATAGAGCCATTTTGAGATTAAATCTCATAGTTTATGGATTAACATCCTAAATCCTACACAAATTGGCCCCTTGTTACATGTACATCCTACATGTATATCTCAATATGACCTCATGACACCCCCCCCCCCCCCCCCTCCCCCACACCTGACATGATGCCAAACGGGGTACATGAGTCAAGATTTGCAATCCCCTATGACCACGACTAACATGTGTCATAAATCAACTGGGGTTATCTCGAGATTTCAGTACCTTTTCCAAGCCCTCTCATGATTGGCAATTGTCTTTCATCTCCTTGCTAATTAATTAACACCTAACTGAAATATATTTTAGGACATTTTTCAATTGACCAGCTACTTAATTCAGCGACATTTTCCAGCTATTTCTTTGAAACAACCCTAAACACTCCCCAAATGAATGGTATTTGAACAGTTTTTTAAAGATTCCCTATTCTTACATACATTTGTAACTTCACTTCAGTGACAGAAAATTCTTTTTTGAAACAAAAAAAGTGAAAATGTTGAGTTAAAGGTTTTTCAAAACACACATTATGAAGTATCTCTGGTGTTTTTTAATAATAATAATACAGACAATTTCCATGCAAAGGGCTGTAACTATGACACTCAAATGTGTCTGAATATGCAGAATATAAATGCAAGTGTTCAAGGACACTGATTCATAAATCTATCTTTTCTGTTTTTATATTTTTATTGATGGTTTTACACTACCATAAAATTTATTTGAAAAAAGTTAACAGGTGCACCGTAAATGATTTGGGTAAAGATTCACATATATATCTCATACTGTACAAAGATCATCAGTCATAAACTATTTTTTTTGAACAAACTAAAACAAATTGATTGACACTCACCTCCTTCTCCATAGAAGATAAGTGCAGGGTAGAATTTATGTTGAGCCTTGAAAAAATGGGTAAAAAAGTATTTTTAAATTATGCTTAAAATGCCCTTACAATAAAGACAAGATGATCGAGCTAGGTACTACAGAATACATGTATTATTCTCCTTCAATGAAGTTGCTTTGTTCCATTGGTAATGCAAACCATCCTTACATATATGGAATTGAACTTAGACATGATATTTAAGGACTTCAAGATAACTAGCTCTTTCTATTTTTTTAGTGTACGCTAATGAAAAAAATACTGATAATACAAACAAAAATTTAAATTTAAACAAATATTGTCAAAATGTTTTTTTGGGTTTTTTTGGTCATTTTATATACTAATAACAAAATATCTAATAATCATTATGAACACAATACTAAAAGGCTTACCAAAAGTAGATTTTGCTTATAAAATTTGTCAATGATTTAGAGAAAATCTTTCATTCTAACCAACGAAAAAAGTGTTGCACTGTACGGGATTATTTAGGTTCAACTTCATCGCATTTCACTATAATTCACAAAAACTTGTTATCAATAACAGTAACAATAACTGCTGTAATCTACTGAAAGCGTGGCATTTGATTGCCGGCTGAGAGCAAATTTGTCATAGAAATTTAAAATTGGTTATTGATAACAAGTTTTATGAAACAGGGTCCTGAAACCAACTGAAGTTGTTGAGGGCCCCTGATCCTTGACAACCCCTATCAAAATGAACAGAAGTCTATTTGCATGATGAGACAGACATCTCTCCTGTAAACCTACCTCATATTTCAGCTGCTCAACCTCACAACAAAGAGATGCAAATACAGTGATGACTTTGTTGAAGATCTGTACATAGACACAAGGATCCAAGAAACAAAGTTCACCAAGAATATAGCAAACTTAACAAAAAAAATCACATGGAAAAATAGATGCATGTAAATATTCTACATCATTACAAAAAGAAACATGAAACCCTCTTTTATATGACCAGCGATGTGTACTTCATTTTTATCTACGTGTATGCATGCCACTGGAGGGTCAATAGATTGGATGCATGCTTCAAATATTGTCTGATTCTGGGTGGCAATGGTTGAGTCAAACAGTTGAATAACAAGTTCACTTATTTTCAAGCAGCAAATCTGATAACATTTTAGAAATTCAAAAAATAACAACAAAAAAGATTGCAGGATCAAACGTCCAATCTCCATAGATTAGATGCATGCTTCAAATATTGTCTGATTTTGGAGGGCAATGGAACTAGGGGATTCATGATTCATGGGTTGGGTCAAGCAGTTAAATACCAAGTTCACTTATTTTCAAGAAGCACATCAATCTAGCAGTTCAAACAATAAAAAACAAAATGATTGCAGCATCAAATGTCCAATCTCATCTTCCACTTTTTTTCTTTCTTTTTTTTGGTGAAACAATACTGGCCATTTATTCAAATGGTCATACATTCTTTTTCTTTAACATAGACATGTGTGTTGACTCAATTTATATTTGGTGAAAGTTGGTATATGTATTTTCCATTGACTATTGTATCAAACCATCAACCTGGTTGCCATACCAGATACACGCTGTTCAATAATGAGCAACTTAAGTATAGTACTCCTTCATCAACTATCTAATCTTTTTTCATCATTGTCCAGGAAATCGTTGCTTCATTCATGCTCTTTTAATACCCAAACAGTGCCAACGCAACGTGTCGTTTAGTCCGCATCGAGGGCTTCGAGGCGCAGTCCTCCATTCCATTCCATGCACTTGTTGTATACTTGACATGCAAGGAATAGAAAGAACTTGTGTTTCTTGCATAAACTATCTTATCGTTTTTTTAATGAATGTCCAGGAAAACGTTGCTTCATTCATGCTCTTTTAATACCCAAACAGTGCCAACGTATTACGTGTCAATTAGTCGGCATTGAGGCACAGTCCTCCATTCCATTCCTTGCACTTGTTGTCTACTGGACATGCAAGGAATAGAATGGAAATGTGTTTCTTACATAAACTATCTCATCGTTTTTGTTATCGTTTTTTTAATCATTATCCATGAAATTGTTGGTTCATTCATGCACTGTTAACCAAACGGCGCCAACGCAACATTTATCAGCTCCACATAAACTATCTCATGATCATCGTTTTTATAATCATTGTCCAGGAAGTGTTGGTTTGTTCATGCTATTTCAATACCTAAACAGTGCTAACGCAACTTGTTTGATTGCTTGGCATCAAGGCGCAGTCGAGGGGCAGTCCTCCATTCCATTCCATGCATTATTTGTCTATTAGACATGCAAGGAATAGAAAGAGAATGTGTTTCTTATGATTTTTTAATCATTGTCCAGGAAAATGTTGATTTGTTCATGCTTTTACCCCAAAAATACCAGGGCGCGGTCCTCAGGGCGCGGTCCTCCATTCCATTCCATGCACTTGTCGTCTACTGGACATGCAAGGAATAGAATGGAAATGTGTTTCTTACATATACCTTGTTGTCAGTCTTGATGAGGTCCAGCAATGAAGTCTGTTCACACGGCAAGTACTGTATTAAAGATCAAACATATACACACAAGTTATAGGACTGTTTGGATATTGCATGATAGAATTTTGTCCTTGTCAGCACTCTCATTGATCATATCCTCTTACAATTAAAAGGCTCAGCACTAGATCAAGTTAAACAGTTAAAACCCTTCTAGTCTATTCAAAATATCTGACCTAAATTCATTGTTCTAAAAATCATAAAAATTAAGTGTCTTGATCCAAGACTGTTTGTTAATCAGCGAACATGCCTTGAGTCACCTGCAATATATCTCTAAGATTTAAAGAATCACAATAATTGTCAATAGCGTTAAATTCTTGACCATGTTAACACAACAAATATAATTTTAACTGATATTAGTAGGGAATATGATACAGTTTAAGACCAGTTTAAGGTCACAATGCTCTTTGAAAAGTAATTGAAACTTATTAAAACATAATGAAACTAAACAAACTGCAGTTTTACCAAGAAATACAGTGTATTGCATGTACTTACTTGTAGTGAGATAGGATCTAGTGTAAAGTCCCACACATCCCCTACGGATTCGTCTAAGGCATCTTCAATTCCTTTCAACTGGGTGGCATACTCTTCAAGAAACTTGCCATACTTCCTGAGCTGCACCTCACCAACAATTTCTGTTCAAAATATAAATTTCAAAAAATTTCTTTATCATGATGTTGTCACTCAAAGTGTGTATTGAGTTTTTACAGACGTGTATCAATCAGATATGACTATTTACGTCTGGGGACCGACCTTTAAACGTCACCATCCGAAAGACGTGAGTCAGTTTCGAACCTGCGTCCTCGGCTGAATCAATTTGTAACTTATATTGTTAGCTGGATTACATACAGGTGCACGCCACAATGCCCAAAAGGAAATATCAACACAGGTAAATACTGTCAAATTTTCAATTGAACTTGAAAATATATTCTATCCTGACTTCATTCACCCTCAAAGAGATGTGATTTCTTTGTAGTATCGTCGTTCATATCACTGCTCAAGTTAACGATGATGTCTGTAAAAAGACTTTTACCCCATGGTAATTCAGTGGCATAGAACACTTCTAATGCATACGAAAGACATAAAAACATACACAAGTAGGTACTTGTATATAATGGACAAAAAGTATTCTGTTTGTTTCTTCAGGATTGGTCCATAACTACTTCAATTTCAGAATATAAATCAATTCTAATTTGTTTAATTGATAATAATATTCCACTTTTACATAGCGTTTAATACATCAATGATGTCTCTAAGCACTTTACAGATATATCATTATTATACCTTTTTTTTAATCTTACACCTAACATCTAACAATTACATGTACATTTTTTGTAATCGCAGACTTTAAAATAAGAGATCACTTGTGTTACTTTATATTTACTGTCATTCAGACAATCAATATATGGGCAGTCCACCCTAATATCAAGTTGGTTTTAATAAAAGCAGAAAAATATGAGAAACAAATAGGAGAAAGTTTAACTACCGTAATATCCAATTAAAGTTATGAATTTTTTAAATTGTGACATACATGTATCTTGCGAGCTCCTCCCCAAATTTGCTCTGTACATTTCCTTAGTCATGGCATTAGTTTCATACAAGTGTTGTAGAAAAACTTGCAAATTATATTTAGGGTGAATGCATAATCGACAAAAGCAAAAAAAAAAGAAGAATTGAAGCTTTTTAGTACAGAGCAAGATAAGTCGAAGAGTTGCCAATTCGTGATTGATTGATTGCACTTTCAAAAATTCATAAATTTCTTAATTTAAATTATTTTTGCTCAAAATTTCACTGATCTATTTCTCAAATTTTTCTGCTCCTATTACAGCCAACTTAACTTAATATCAGGGTTGACTTTCCCTTTACCTCTTCCACCCTTGGATTAGTTAGAATACCATATTACAAGTACACTGCAGTTCAACACAAAGGTCCCACATATCTCTGCACTCTGACAGACCTGTCTTGTCTGATAGTTTCTGTGTTAACATCAACCGGAGCAGAGCGTTTTGTCACAGGAAGCTACAATTAGGGCGTAGGGACGTGCACAGGGAACAACCTTATGGTGTCTTGTACATGTATGCTCCCTGCTTCGTTTAATATCAATGTACCGTAGTTTGAATGATACATGTGTGCTCACATCCTTGGATGACGAACTCAATATCTCAATAAGACTAATCACTATGTATAGCCTAGTGGTCAAAGTGAAGTTGCACTGAGTCACCAACAAACATATTTACGGCATTTTCTTTTACATGAGGCTTGACTCAAATCAACACATCCAGTTTTAAAAGTAGGTGCAGATTACCACCACATCATATTGCATTAACAAAATGAATCTTCAAAAGAACAAGCACCAATCATCCATGACAAAAACTACATTTATACTAAAATAAAATCCTTGATTGAACTTGTAATATTTGCTAGATAATTCATTTAACATAATTAGGTAAATGTACCAAGATCATCCATGTTTGGAAATGGCAAATGTTCATACAATACTACTTCCATTGAGAAATGTAAAAAAAAAAAAAAAAAAAAATCCACAACTGATGAAAATGTACAGGTAACCCTACACTATTTAGACACAATAATACAATGCATGCTGGTATCAATTTTCTCTTGATGAAGCTATGGTATTAGAATTAGAACTAATGTATAATATAGTAAGTCATCTCCTTTGAAATCAAACAGCCTTGATAATACCTTTTTGTCATTGTTTTATTAGCGTCACTCAAAAAATTGATTTTGATTGAAATATACTGCCCTAAATTAAAGGTAATTTTTTATCCTAACTTTTTAACTAAATTACTCCGTCTCCTGTCATATTTGAAAAAATTGCAAGCATTCCCTTTTTTTTTTAAACATAAACTTTATTTTTTAAACATAATTTAAAATATTCAATTCTTGATCACACATGTACATAAAATATATCTATCATTCACAAATATACATATAATTTACATTCCTTCCTTTAAACAAGAACTGATCTTGAAGTATGTTCAAAATTTTTAAACCCTTTTATAATGACATTACACAAAAAGATTAGTAATACTCCCAGCATCTTGTTAATCTCATAAGCCTGCATTCTACCAGACAAATTCCATCCAATCTTAAATTTGTAAAAGTCTGTCTAATTTGAATTATACTGTAAACCAGTCTGACCAGTGTAAATCCAGGAAGTCAACTTTGAACTTTTTTGAAATTGTTCTTCTTTTTACTACAGATCTACAGAGAAAAACCACATGAGAGAGTGCTTGCACAATATAAGATAATGGAGGTTTCATAAGTTTTTATATTCTTTCCTATAAAAAAAAAAATCAACATTTCAGTGTAAATTTTACAGTACTGCTGATGCATATACATGTATATTGAAATATTTTGCTTGTGACAAAGTAGTATGAAATTATTCCTTTTTCTAATTTGTCTCATTCTGATGCAAGACTCTTTTACTCAATCTTTCTTTATTCCATCATGTAAAATACCAATGTACACATTTTTCTTCACTCATCATCTCATACACAGTTGATCTAAGACACTGCTAGTTAAAGTAATTTTTTCATTGCGCATGTACAAATGTAGTTGACATTGTTTTTAATTTCAAATTTCAAATTTTGAACTGGTAATATCACTGTGACATACTGCAGGACAACTTTACCATTTGTTCAAACACACACAAAAATGTCAAAATATATGACACAGGAGGGTCTATTCTTTTCAGTGGACTTGTAATAATATGTTGTCCATAATATATTTTGAGTAGTGCCCCAAGGGAGAAAATGCTTACCTGAAGGAGAAAAACTAGTATTAAATGATGTTTTTAACTTTTTATACACAACAATTAGAGAGTTGTCCATGCATACATATGAATCACCATTCACTGACCAAATTACCAATTTGAGATTTGCATATATTATTGGTTATCTTACATTTCAAACACTCTTAATTTTTGTCTTACTGCCTGGTCCTATTTATTTCAAACTTTCACATTCTGTTTCTCCTATTTTTTCTGCAGTCAAACAAATGAACTCATTACAAAGGTTAGACACATATATTTCACATTGGTGGCTGACCCCCCCCCCCCCCCCCCCCCCCACACACACTAAGGATAAACCTCGCGTGAAAAGCATTGAGGACTCAACATTAACAAATTATTTGGGAAATAATGGTAATGGAGGGAGGATTGCAAGTCTTTGACTCTGGACTCTGGACTGGACTATATAAAATGGATTCATCAACAACGATGGTTGAAGTTTATCTTCAATATAGCATCATTAGTTGAGTGTGATCAGACGTACCCTGAAAATTTGCTAAATTCAGCAACAGAATAGAATATAAGGAATTAAATCAGATCAAGCGTAAATGTAATACAATAGAGTGTCTTGTCCATTTTAAGTGAAATGTTAGGTGCGCAGGCATACCTAGGCTCCCCATCATACAAACGTGATTTGGGTTAGTAAACCTGTCTATTCCACCATCAATTCCTCACTTGACTTGGGGTCAAGCCTAAGGTTAGCATTAGGATTAAGGGGGAAGTCCATCCTGATGTTAAGTTGGTTTTAAAAGAAGCAGAAAAATGAGAGGAACAGGTCAGTGAAAGTTTGAGCAAAAAAAGATTAAAAATGAGAGAGTTAGACTATGCATTTTTTGAAAGCGCAATCAATCAAATACAAATTGGAAACTCTGTGACGTGTCTTGCGAGTTCCCCTTCCTTTTGCCCTGTACTAAAAAAAATTGAAAAATTGAAAAATCGTTCAGACATTCTACTATTAACCAAGTCACTTTGTGTTGGCTCCTCGACAATTAACTCCAGGAAGCTCCGACGCCGACGCCTTTCAGAGGGTGCACCGGCAAGCGATTTAAACAGCGGATTTGGCGACATTATCTCAAAATATGCAAAGGGAGTGATTCCAATTTTGACTTACTAGGTTGCTCGACTCCTCTGGGCATCTCGCAGGCCACTTAAAATTATAATTTGAAGAAGTCTTCACCATAATGAATCAACAATGCATAAATGAATCGTCAGGGTAGGACGAAGAATCACCCCCTTTTTCCCTTCAAAGACTTCTTCAAAATATAATTTCAAGTGGTCTGCGAGATGCCCAGAGGAGTCGGAGCAACCTAGTAAGTCAAAATTGGAAAACTCCCTTTGCATATTTTGAGATAATGTCACCCAATCCGCTGTTTAAATTGCTTTCCTATGCACCTGATGCACCTGATGCACCATCTGAAGCTCCGGAGCTTCCTGGGGCTGGGAGTTACTCGACAATCATGACAATAGGCAATAGAATCAATTTCACAAGATGTCTAGCTAGTAAGCTCTCCTTGAAATGGTTTAAGAAGATCAGGGACATCTCTGTACTGTAGTTGGCGGATAAGGTTATGACTGTCTTGTCGCTGGTTTCGAGAAACGGGCCCCCGGGGAACCACCCCCTTTAATTCAGCCTCAACATCCGAGCCTCCGCATCCATACACAATAACATTTTAGATTTCTCTATGCCTATGCGCTATGCTTACACTTACAGCACGGGCGTCTACGGCCCGTGAAATCGGCTCGTTTTCAACATAGCACACTGAGCACAGAGACGATATTTTTGCCTGTATGCCACACATATAAAAGGAATGAAATACTCACTCAAAGAACCGTCGTCAAATTTATCGAACTCCCAACCAGATATAGATTCTCCCGTCATTTTAAGTTAAATGTGCAGACTTCAATTCTCAGGCTCTGCAAAAATAGATCACGGGATCCGGTACAAATTTTTGCCCACAGGAAATTCACTATATATTTGACTCGGCCAATATAAACTCGGCTTGAACGAAGACTATTCGGAAAGCTGCGTCTCGTCCCGCCCCCTCAACCCCCTCTTTCTCTGTCTGTCTGTCTGTCTGTCTGTCTCTCTCTCTCTCTCTCTCTATCTCTCTCTCTCTCTCTCTATCTCTCTCTCTCTCTCTCCCCCTCTCTTTCTCTCTCTGTCTGTCTCTCTGTCTCTCTCTCTCTCTCTTTCTCTCTTTCTCTCTCTTTTTCTCTCTATTTCTCTCCAGTCTTTTTTTATATATCTACCTCACACTCTCAATTTCCTTTAAATTCCCTCTCCTCCTTTTCCCTCTCTCGATCTCAAATACCACTTCAAAAGGAGTGAGAGACGACTACTAGTATTTTAGAACTAACCGTGAAAGAAATGATATAGCCTAGCTAGCCCTATATACGTATAACATTTCGCATATAAAAAATAGCCCTATATAATAAATGGTAATTATGTTAAAATGTATCATTAAAATAGGTTTATTGGATATGAGCTACATTGATTGAAGACTGAATTTCTCTTCGAATGCTATCATAATTATTATGTACCACAGGTCGATGTAGCCGTCACAACCGCTCAGGCTGATCTACATGTGCATCAGAAGTTTCAAAGCCATAAATGGGCGTCAAGATTATGATATCCCATGCAATTAAGCAGTAAGAGCATTGGTTTAACATGACTAGGTGGGTTTCCCCCACCCCTTTTGTTTTGTTGGTGTAAGTTGATGAGACTGCTTGCATGTGCAGACCGTTTATATTAATGATTATCACAAGGCTTTGGCTATAGGCCTTTCTTTATGATTTATCATCAATGTTGTTGCACAACAACAAGCATATTTTGGTCAGTGCAAATTCCCGTGGAGCCCGCCCATGCCCTTGCAGCTCTTATAAAAACCACATTGTGAAGTTCAATTTTTTAAAGTTTTTTTTTCAGTGTTTTATTTTATTTTTTCAAATGTTTCATTCTTTCTTAATTTCTTTTGTAAATCTGTTTTTCTTTAGTCCTGCACCCCCCCCTAACTTGGCCAAATTATTTTTTAAGCTGATCATCGCATTCATGTCCTAAAGTTACCCACTTATCTTTTGCCTATTTCTATATCAAACTTTATCATAAGGTACCGGTAGATTATTTTTGTAGGCCTATATTCTAATGGATCTTCGGATTTGATCAGGTGCCGCCCATTCAAATTATGTCATTAAAATAAAAAAGGAAATTACTGAGTTAAACATAAATTAGTGAAATAATTGATTTCTCCCGGGAATTTCTCAGTTTAATCAACAAGTATGTTTTATTAGTGCAGCAGTGAATGATCCACATAGTCCCATATAAGGGAATATCCGAGGTGTTTTTTCCTCAATTCGTGAGAAAACATTTAGAGCAGCGAATAAAATGGGAGGGGGGGTCACGAGCACTGATTTGTTTTTCTCTCCCCAATTCCTGCGAAAATATGAAGCGGCGAATTAGCCAGCCGGTGAATAAGCAGGGGTTCTGCATGGGGACAACTAATTTTGTTTCCTCAATGGGGTGGGGGGCCGGGGGGGGGCCGGGGGGCATAGATTAAACTCAGATAAAGGGAGTCTTTAAAATGCTAAGAACACCTAAAACACCCCCTGTTTGCCAAACACCTAAAATACCCTTCCCCCCCCCCCCCTCCTCCCCCTTCTTGATACGCCAATGGTCCCATATATCTTTGGGCCTATGATCGATATAATGAGTGGGTTGATTAATAAGTGTTATGCATGCTTTTAAGTGGAACGAGTTGTCATCAAAACTTTGACTGAGTTTTTAGGGGTCGATATCTGTTTTACACTCAGAAAAGAAAAAGGTACTGCGCCATCTACGTCTTAAATCAGTTAACATTTAGCAGCAGTACAGTGCAGAAGCAGCAGCAGCAAGTATCAGCTAGTAGCTAGCAGCCTACATCAATCTCGCCGAAGCTGAATTTATCTTGTTTCTTTAGCCGTGCCGGTCTTGCTCGTGAGTATTACCTTTATTTAAAACACCATTGTCTTACTCGATTATGATTCGAAATGTTAAAAGTATAAACTCCTGTTGTAAATTAACTTTGTAGAACACAAAAATGCATTCGAGACGTAGCTCTCGCTGCCGGTGCAGAGTCATGCATGATCATGAATGAGGCTTTTGTTGCGTCATTGTGCGTACGTGCAATCTCGTGTACCTATAATGTGTGTTACCAAGGTCGAGTTGGTGATGCAAGTTTGAGTGAAGTAATATAATTTGTGAGATATAACTTTTAAAGGCTTTTCTGTCAGTAACCCCTTAAGTCCTGGATGACAATTTGGCATGCTAATCAGTCACCATGAAGTTGATCTAATGTAAGTGATGAGTTTCTAATGAAAATTGATAAATATAAATCTAGACCTCTAGATCTATATCTTTTCATGAATAATTTTTTTTTTACTTTAGGTCTATGACTTTCAGTTTCATTTTAGGTAAAATGTAATTTCATAATCATATTTTATTTTGGTTCATCTAGACCCTTGATTATAAATTGTATTAAAATTACTGACATCAACATCAACTTTTATAAATATGTTAAAAAAGTTATTACTGTATTTTATGCATATATTTTCCCTCTTTTCAAAATTCCAGGCATATCCTGTCCTCGACATCTTGCAAAAATCTGAAGTTTGGAAATATATTGAACCAATTTAAGGAGTTTGTCTTTCCATCGATCATCGTTTCAAAATGTCCAGGCCTGTAATAGAATATGAAACTGAGTCGGCGACTGACAAGCTGAAAAGGAAAGCCCTTGCCGATCCATATGTACCAGTTGGTGAGGTTCAAATTTTGGTTCAAATTTAATCTTTTTTAATAATTTTAAAAACAAATGTATACATTAAATAAAGGAGAGATGCACTTGATCTTATTACTTATAATTCTGTTGAGAGACAAACAGATGTTAGCTTTGACACAGAGCTCACAACCTGCTTGGTCTTAGGCCATGTAAAATTGATTTCATGTTGATCGTCCCCGCCCGCTTCCTTTTTGGGGGCCGCCTCCTATTTTTTGTTATTTGTTATTTTTTTTTTTTTTTTTTTTTTTTTTTTTTTTTTTTTTTTTTTTGATTTTTTTTTTTTTTTGAAAGAAAAAAAACATGAAAAACACTGCTAAAATGGCTCTATTTCTGATTTAAAAAAAAAAAAATTGTCGGCGGCCATCTTGAAAAAAAATAGCCTCGACTGTCAGGGAAAATGTACCGAGCAGCCATTTTGAGCGGCCATTTTGAAATATCAAATATCAAATAACATGGTACACCCTCCTCCTCTTTTTCAAAAAATCCGGACGATCAACATGTAATCAATTTTACATGGCCTTAGTTCAGTTCAATATTTTTTTTCAATTTAATTCCTTCTTAAGAAAAAAGGTGTACAATATAAAACATTCAAATTCTGTATTATATTACAAATAAATACATATGAAACAGCATAAACATAAATTTTACATGATTATGAATGATGATATAACAAAAATTTGGTATAGCTGTTCAAAAACCCTACAAGGGTTTGTCTCGATCTTGAGACAGCTTCAATGTAATATATGATTTGGTAGATAGATCGCGTGGAATAAATGTGTGATAGTGCCAGTAGAATAACTATGAATTATAATTCTTAAAAAACACACTCGATCATTAACGTTATTAGCATACCATGTTGCCTCGATGCATGTTGCACTTTCAGCATAATAAGGACAATTTATAAATTATAGTGTATATACATACATGTATATGCCTTGAATAAAGTGTCTCTTTGTCTTCTTAGAAGTGGTTCTTGATAAAGATTGAAAACTAATTTAGTTATTTTAACAAATTTCACATAAAATCACATTGAGATATATATATATATATATATATATAGGTAGAAAAAACAGAATTAAAAAAAAAAAAAAAATGCTTTTGGGGTACTTTTGATATTTACCTTTATTATGTACCATCATTTATACATTATCAATTTCAACTTAAATGTCATATTTCAGTGCAGATCTTTATCGATGTATCTTTTGTATTTGTTTCCACTTCCACAGGTATCTTGGGATTCGTTGGTGCCTTAGCATGGGGTGCCTACTCGTACAAGAGCCGTGGGAACACGTCCACATCCATCTTCCTGATGAGGCTTCGAGTTGTGGCCCAGACTTGTGTGGTGGGAGCCATGGCCGTTGGGGCAGGAGTGACGATGTGGAAGAGAAGTTCTCCAGATAAGGAGACATAATTCTAGAGATCACATACATGTACATGTATGTGAAAGATATGCTAGGATTGCCAAATTGAGGGATAGGAAAAACGAAGTTACAAACTTCATTTGTGTCACCTGTTGCTAAAATGAAGTGCCGGTCTCTGTGTGTTTTCTTAAATGTAAAAGACCTAACATTTTTCTGTCAAGTTTTGATGTAGATTTGTAACACCAGGGACAATTGAATTTCAGTTTTATTCATAACTTTTATTTCTGTAGTATATGAAGAAATCATAGCTTGCATGTGCACATTTATGGCATATTAAATTAAGTAGAGTGATAAAAAAAACATGATTTTTATTTTTAATGCCACAGAGAGATCAAAGTTACAAAAGTTATATAATTTCAAAGTCTGCTTGATGCATATTTATTTCCTTGCTTTGACAGCAATAAAACTCTTTTAATATCTTTATGGTGATGAACATTCAGAAAAAGGTAATTGCTATTTATGATTTACAAACCAATAAAGAGAAACAGCTCAAAAGTAAAAGACGTGTTAGTCTACATTAATGTACAACCTGTAAGAAACTGCACTGACATAAAATGTGTAAGAGCTAATTAAAAAATTTTATAATTATTTATTTGAATAAAGTGAGCATTCTTTAAGGCTCATGTTTAGGGCAACATGCTGATTTTTTTTTAATGTTTTGAGTCGAGTCATACTTATCCCATTTTTTAGTGATTCCTTTTTGTGCAAATTCTATGCAGGAGACTTCAAAATGGAGGGGGAGATAAAAGCACAATAACATGAATATATCATGTGCTTTTCTTGCCAGAACTATATGTTTCCTGTCATTGTGACAAACAGGAATCTCAGTAGAACTTAGGAAGCATCCTGAAATATTGTAATGGCCTGATCGCACAGAGGCCATCAAACATGAATGATATCTACCATGAGACAGGTTGCCTGAAAAATGTCATTTTCCCTGACAGTTTTTATGAGGCAAGACTTTAGAACTTTGATGACTGTTTGCAGAAAGGATATATACATGTAGTTGCATAGTTTGTTTGAAATGAGACCAAATGGATAATAATGGTTGCAGTGAAAAAAATGTATTGAGAAATGAGATGAAAATTAAGAAGTATGTAGGATACAGTTGGCTGAAATGAGATTGATGTTCATGTATATGTAAGGTTTTGTTAACTTTAACATGTTTTCATCTTCCAAGTTTAGCATTGTCATTCGTATGCTGCGTGATAAGATATTCTTACTAAAAGTTATTTTACGAAATACCGTGCAGACCGACTCATGATGGAATGTTCCCGTGAAAGAGAAATGGAAGTATGCATTGAGCAAGATATTTTTATGATTCAGCTGAATGGAAGTTGAATCCTATCCATCTCATTTAATGTATAATCACCTTGTACATTACTTTTAATGAATGTGTGTGTGAGTGTGTAATTGCTGAATAGAATAAAATATGGAAACTTATTCAGGAAATAGCTCTTGAATTTTAATAATTTGCCAACATTGTATGTACCACAATTTTTCAGCATTCAGTAAATATCAAGAGAAATGTCAGTGATGATGTAAGATTTTAGGTGCTGTTTCCCGTACCGGTATTTCTGTTGCTTATGCCATGCTAAAGAAATATTGCAATACGATTACATCTAGTATTAATCATGCTTTGTGCAAATCTTTAATTTTGTTTTTAGTTATTTGAATGTTCATGTAATCAGCAAATAATGTTTTCTTTATTCATGTAAAGAGTGCCATTGTCAGTTTTGACCAGCCAAATTCTACTATTCTTTCTGATTATTTACATTTGCAGAAAGCAGGGAGATATGATTTTCATTCCTTGCAGAAAACTTGCATATATTCAAGATTGAGACTTTAAAAAGAAGCATGGTTTCCAACTTTCTTCATAAAATCCGAGTACACACGTTTGTAAAATTGGTTGCGCTGTAAGGCCTAAATGAACCATCTCAATATTTTACTTCATTACTGCTTGTAAGCAAATTCTATAAAGAGTAGGGGAGCTGGAAGACTGAACAGTCAAATTCTGCTTTTGGCCAACATGCTCAACCAGTTATTATAGCCGATGCTACAATGTCTATCAGCTTTGCTTTGCAAAGGTAATTTAATGCAATTTACTGCAGAGAATAAGGTTCAGAAAATCCCAGTATTCTGAAAATTAAGGCCTACACTTGATTTCAGAAGGCATTTTAAAACAATGTAAACTTATAAAGATGAGACATGTAAAACATGTACCTTTTCCAGTAGTATCCAGTATATATCTCATTGTATTTTAGCAGGATTCGCTTGTGAATGTATTTTCATAGAATATACATGTATATGTACATGGCTCTATATTGGTTACCAAAATGGATCTGTTTTTATGGTAGTATAGTATGACTGTACTTATATAATTTTGTGCATATGCTATAAAATAGAGAGCTAATGAACAAAAAGTTTGTTTATTTTCTTCTATTATAAGCAATGAGTGGAAGAAGGGTTCAGATTATAAGCAATGTTCTTTATTGCGTGTGTGTGCTTGTGTGTGAGATTTGCAGAAAGAGATTGAGAAGGGGGGAGGGTGGTATAAATATATAATTCTGGTACTTTACCTTCCTAATAAATTCACAGCAGTTACTTTGAAAGTAATACACAGTATGGAATAAACCAAAAGAAAAGTCGGACACAAAGGAATATTACACAAAAGTGACTAGAAAATTTATTTGATTGCTACAAAATAAGTGAAATATTAGAAAGCATGCTCACATAGTTTATAATTCTAGATCAATAAGGAGGATTATATACATAATTATCAGCAGATATGTGTAGGCATTTGTCTAGCTGTAGGTACAAGTTGGAAATACACGAAAGTATGTATTCCTAAGACATTCTCAAATTTCTATTGCTTTTCAATACAGAAAAAATTTCACTGGCATGCTTTATCAGATCTCAATAAACAGATTAATTGCATATAGCTACATTATATCTCTGATCAGAATATTGGAGAATAATAATAAGGTTTCTATTTGTTACAATTACTTAAAAGTACAAGATTGTTCAAAACTTCAAATAGCATAATGTCCATGTACATGTAATTGCCACTCATCATCTCACGTCAAGCAGAAGCCAAGGATATAGGTTCATTTTAAACCAGCTGTATTCCAAAAATAGATATTTACTATGTTATAAAATTGTTTCAAATTTTTCTCCAATAAAACAAACTCAATATAAGGGAATACGTTAATTACATTTGGGACATTATTACATCGATCAAAGAATCCACAAAGGTGACATATAATTTGCTGTAGTTAATTGCAATCCCAATATGTGTCGGGGGGTGAAAAGAGGCATATAGCCTTAATGAATACCAAACATTTGCCTGGAACCTGCAGTCAAAAAGTGTCACACTCTTGCATCAAAATTATTCAGATGAGATGAATAATGAATTAACTTATGAAATAGCACCATAAAAATAAATCTTAATTCAAGATATACCTCACACGCCAGATTTTCTGTGTCAAGATCTCTGATCTTTAAAAAAATCTATGCCCCCATGCAAAATCATTTAAAAAATTAATTTACAAAAATGTCCTTCACTTGTTCATGCTACATAAATATCAATCACAAAAAGTTAAAGCAAATACTTACAAAAACTAGACATCTAAACAAAAATTCCCCATTGTAATTGTTCCTGATGATCATGCTCACAATCTTTTGCAAAAGCTAACTTTCTCACTATCATATTTCTCTAAGCAAAGTCTCTGCATCATATTTGGGAGTTAAGTTTCAACCACATACTGCAGCAGTGTTTGGGTTGCAAATTATGAGCTTAGCTGTAAAATTAACAAATGTATATTTGACAAATCCTTTCTTTTTCATGTAGAATCAGCTCTTCAAAATCAATTGTACCCCCTTAAATTTGTATCAATTTGAATTAAATTGATTTACATATTCTGTAATACTGATGACCTGATATGGGATTTTTTTTGTATTCGCTAAAGAATATAATTTACATAATTTCAATGAAAGAAACTTCTAAATACACAATAGGGCATGCAAAAAGACAGGCAAACAATAAATATTGCTATAATTTGACAGCTAACAAACACAATAATTTAAGTTGGGATTCTACTAATATTTACAAACAGCTTTTAGGAAAGAAAAAAAAAAAAAGCTAATTAATCTTCTCCATTGTAATTTAACAACTTATGATCATATATTAAATGAACTCTAACTTGAATGTAAACAAATTGAACTGGTAGAAATACAAAATCGGGAAGCCAACTAAATGAATATTACCATTTCTATCATAATAGAATGGTATGTTGTTCTTCTCATCTCTGTGCAATACAAGATACAGTTTGAGTGTGACATTGTTAGAGACAAAGTTCCTTCACAGTAATTAAATGCCTATACATACACATTGTTGACTTTAAGGAAATCAAAGCACAAAATATCATGATATTTTTAAAGTGACAGCACTTAGTAGGTATGTCAGGTGAATGCTCTGTCGATCAAACCCAAAATGTATGTAGCATTTTTATTCCAATACTACACTTTTCCTCTTAGTCAATCAAACACAAGAATTGATGTAGCATTTTTATTCCAATACTACAATTTTACTCTTTAGTCTTTAACTTGTACGTAGAACCTAATGATAGATTGTATGTAACATTATGCTTGCACATCATTCAATTTTCTATAAAATATATAAGTTGGCAGTATGGTGTGCCATGCAACTTTATTTTGTCAAAAACTATTTTTAATAATCAAAATACATAAGTAAAACCAACAATTTTTCATCAAATAGTCAAACATTAAGACTTAAATCATCAAGTGTTAACCCAAAATCCTGACTCATCTGCTATATAAATAGAAAAGGAAGCCCACACACACTTCATTTTGATAAAAATAAAATACATATATATTTTTTGATTGTAATCTGAAGAACCACTAACATGTACCTTAATATAAAGATTAGATGAGAAAGAAGAGGAAAAATAAATCAATATGAAGCTTGATCTACAATAACGTGTAAAGTAACTAAATTTCTTTCTAGAAGTTCCTTCTATTTCTATCTAAACAAGAATACTTAAATATCATAAGGTACAATTATCATTCAGAACAAATATCTTTCAATCAATACATCAAGATAATAATAAAAGAAAGACATGATTACATGTCACTAGGCAAGTTACTGACACAGAAGATGGTGGTATAAAAGGGGAAAATCACTCAAAATTTGATGCAAATAAATATTATGAGGGTAAACATACATCATTTTGAAGATGAGAATATTGATTGTTATACTTGATTTACAAATACACATAGAATTACAGGGGAAAGTAGATACAAACTGGGGGAAAAGAGATAGAAAGAGAGACGGAGATAGAGAGACAGAGATAGAGACAAAGAGAGAGGGAGGGAGGGAGGGAGGGAGGGGAGAGGGAGAGAAAGAGAAAGAGGGAGAGGGAGAGAGAGAGAGAGAGAGAGGGGGGAGGGAGGATAATTAGCAGGACAAAAGTGTGTTAAGAATGGACAAAAGCCTATTCCTGACTTTGCACATGGTTAACATCTATCTCTCAATTCTATTTGGCACTTTTCACCTTACTGCTTACAATTTTGCTTCAAATTTTGCTTTGCTGAAAAATGTCCTTTCTTTACCAAATGACATCATGAAATATGTCAACCATTGTCCTGCCTGTATGTAACTTATTGGTCTTTTAACTGATTTATCTATTTATCCAACTCATCTTATCTAATTCAATTTGTTAAATAATAATCCATTACCTTGAATAACCATTGTCTGTAATAACCAGTAATCCTCATGTTGTCTACTACCACCTTGTTCAATCATGCACAGTGGGTACCTAACAATTTGTCAGTAATATATACAGAAATGGCTACCCGGTATTACACAATTTGATTACCTGTAGACATCAAGTCATTACCCTTTTTTACTGTTGGACAAATTTACTACCGGTATTGGACAAATTTACTATTAGACAAGAAGATCATTGCATCCAGGAACCCGGGAGAGACTTTTAAAGTAGGGATACTGAAGGATGCCTTTGCACTCACAGGACCCCTGCCGCCCAAGCACCATTAGCAAGTTTTCTTACGGCGACGCAAGTGCTGACTATGGGGTATTTAAATGAGCTCGCCACTCTGTACTCCCGAGGCTAATACGGCTGAATACCGTCATAGGTTTGGACGCTACGTGAAAATTTTCGCTCTGAGTGCGACCACCGGCTAAGATTGGCGTTGTAGAAGGCCACGTCGCCGCTTGCGAAAACTAGCTAGTGTCTAATACCAAGTGATCTGCAAGACTGTAAGCAGCCGCCGGCTTCCAGCTCCATGTTTACATTGTATGATCATAGATGAGTTGGTGTTGTATTCCGACATTATAAAAGGGGGGTTTAGACCAAGGGGGAACCTACTGGCCTGTATTATATTGTTCTATAATGAGATGTTCCATCAATTTTCACTTCTTGCCATAGATCTCCCTCCTGCTGATCTTCTTAGCCTTGGCGTTGGTCTTAGGAGGAGGTGCTGCTCCTGCTTGAACATGTCTGCCGTACAAACTGGACGGGAAACAAAAGCAGATGACACGCTTTGAGCTCCAGATCATGAAGCTTCTAGCTACTGTAAATCATATTCTAACTTATTTTCGAAGTTTTCTTAGACAAATGACTCGACAACTAAACATAGAAGTTTTGACAGAATGTATATATATACAGTGAAACCTGTCTACCGCGAACGCCCAAGGGAAATACAAAAAGTGGTCTTTGTAGACAGGTACCTTTAGTACATGTTTCGATGAGAAACCATTTTCAAGGGGAACCAAAAAATGTGATTTTTGTAGACAGGTGGTCACTAAAGCAGGTTTGTCTGTATAATCTTATGTGATTTCTTGGGACACAATCATGACAACCGAAATTCACAAATACTAATTCACAAAGTCTACCCAGCTCCATTTTGATTTTAAATAATCAACTACCCGTTACATGTTTTTTTTTCTGCAGTTTTGAGAGTTGACATGGCTCCACATATCCCTTTTTCACAGAGATTTGGCCTGCAAAGTTTTAGGGTTTGGAGGGTTTGGAGTTGAAATTTGGGATCCCGTGTGCACCAAACCCATTAATATCAACCCCTGGTTTGTTAAACAATGATATGCATTAGGTTACTTACTACTTGTATGTTTCTGATCTGATGTAATCAAAGACATGCGACGCGCCCACTTGGAACTGGTCAGCAATTGGTGGTACCCAAGGATTGTGCTCTGCTTTCATGATGTTCCTACCAGTGTACAGATCAAGTTTACCTGAAAATACAAAAGACATGCATAGTGCTCACCAAACATTATCATGAAGAAATTAAAGTGACACAGTAACATGGCCTCAAAATGTGAAACAAAATCCTGGATTTAGCTCATGCTGCATTCATAACTATAAACCTTTAGGTCAGTCAGGAATCCCATGAATTTTACAAGCCGATCGCCTGTCTGATTATCAAGATATTTAAGATTGGAAATCGAAATTTCATTTTTCCTTTTCCTAACAGTTTTTATGACACTACAGACTATTGGGGAAAATGAGTATGGTAAAACCGGTCACTCCAAGATTTTTACTTTTTTGAGGCACTTCATGATCATGTTGAAGTGCAATTTTTTTAGAGCTTCAATATTACACCATATCACAGACACTAATAACACGTAGGGCAATGCATCTCAGATTTTCAGTGTTAAACGATGCCTTTAAGAAAAGTAATATGGCCCAGTGTAAGAGATGAAAAGATGAGTCAAAGATTACTGCAGAGATTACTGTTGGACATCACTCTTATGAAGTCTATTGTACATATACCGGTAATCCTGAAAATAATAAACACTTTAATTAAACATCTCTGTTGTATGTAACACAAAGTCACACCAAAGTCATATGAAATAGAAGAATCCTTCCTCTGATTATTCGATTTCATATCAATGTTACAAAAAACAAAACAAAAATCCTTTTATGTACACAACATATTCACCAGTCTATCAAACCAACACCTTTTAACCAGTAAGAAAGTCAAGATGTAAGCTCTAAAATGTGTACATTTTAGGACTTTGTGTACAGAAGTAAGCTGATCAAAATGTTTATCATCCACTTTCCTGACTTCCTAGCATAATTATTTCTAGACATTTTTTTTTCCTCAACCCCTCCCCCCCCCGACAAAAAATCAATAAAAAAAATCGGGGGGGGGGGGGGGGATTGCATCCAACAACATTCCCCCCCCCCCCCCCCTCTTTTGAGTAAGAAAATTGAGGGAAAAAATCAGGAAAAAAATCAGGAAAAATAGGTTAAAATCGGGAAAAAATTGGGTAATTATCAGGTTTGAAACTTACCGAGCTCTGGGGGCAGAACTGTGATTCTGTTGCCTTGAATATGAAGCTCCTTGAGCTTCACAAGCTGTCCAATGGCTTTAGGGAGAGCGATGAGGTCATTGTCTCTTACACCCAACTATATTTAGGTAACCAAGGTAACAACTTGTCATTGATCAGCTCAAAGAATGCAATTGAAAACAGAATAATGTCATAGAGTTTATCAGAATAATGAGGAAAAATTATAGTTTATGATAGCATACGTGATGAAATCATGAACGGGGGCCCATTTCATTAAACTTGTTATCTATAACAATTGCTAATTTTCTATGACAAATTTGCTCTCAGCCAATCAGATGCCATGATTTCAGTAGCTTATAACAGTAGCTTGTAACTTGTTATTGATAACAAGTTTTATAAAACAGGGTCCTGATGTGAAAAAATGTCATGCAAGATTATTCATACTCTATTTAATTCACAGTTTATAAAAATTACTGCAAGGACATCTATTTAGGTAAATAATAAGAACCTTGCACAAAAAAAGACATAACGATATTCAAACAGGTTATCTTTTATTTTCCAATAACAAATATACTGAAAAATTGCATCTAGAGGCACAGTACAAATGTAATTGAATCAGAACCAATTTTTGGACCATTAAGTAAGTTTATCATTTTAAAACACATGTAGTTTATTACTTACCACTTCCAACTTAGTGAGTTGACCAATTTCTTCAGGAAGTAATTCAAAGTCATTGTCGCTCAAATATAGAGCCCTCAGTGTGTCTAAAATGGAAAAGTATTAACAGCTATGAAAACATTGAACGCATCACACATTAACTAAACCTGCCTCCTAAAAATGATATAATAAGATTTGGAGTACCTGTAATATCACCAACAATTCTGCTCATTTTGTTGCACAATAATTGTATTTTTAGAAAATTAAATGATATTACAGAAGCTACATGAGATTGATGGAGCAGGAAGACTGAAAGAAAAGATTTAAAATATAATTACAGAATTGTTGACAGAGTTAATGTTGGAAATTTGGAAGAGTATATTCACAGAGAAATAATGAAATTTCATCTAAAACAAAAATGACACATTTTCAGAATACAAGACAAGGAGAATGAGAAAGAAAGTAAGAAAGAAAGAAAGAGAGGGAAAGAAAGGTAAAAGAGAGACAGAAAGAGATAGTACCTATTTATCACTTACCCAATAAGAAGAAATTTCCAGGCAAGCTATTCTCATTGAGGTTGTTGTATGTGAGATCCAATATTTCTAATTTGGGAAATGATCCGAATCCTCTTGGCAAGCTGTACAGTCTGTTCATGCTGTGATTGAATTATATTCAGTCAAGTTCATCCCATTTAATCAATTTTACAAATCTCATATACCACAATTAGGATAGATCATAGCGTATTAAAACAAAATAACTATATAGACATACATATATTACATATGGATCACTCATTACTATTGTAATAACTGTTTTAAATCATAAATGTCAGTTACCAATTCAAAAACGATAAAAGGGAATTATCAGAAACAAATAATTATCAAAGATCTCAATAAATGTATAAATAACCATTAAAAATACAAATTAATTATCGGACAGAGGAATTCAATAGAAAGTATGTTAGTTATCTTAATTAGCCTGGTAATTTTAAGTAGAATGATTGAGACATCGGCAATACAGTCTGTCAGGTGTTGTTTTCCTTCTTTCTTAATCTACAGGGTAAATTATTTGCACTACTCTTCAGTCTTCAGTTTTAAATGACTGATGAATGATTTTGATAATTCCATGTTTTGGAATTCATCTGCTTTATATGCCTTGATAATATGCAAGCAAAAATTCTTGACACATTTATAAAATTCATCGAACCCAATTAAGCTCCCCAACGGTTAAGTATTACAGGGCACATGGGGTGCAATTTTCAGTCTTACACAGTTACATTTCATAGTCATACGGTTATACAGTGTATTAAGCGGTACCCATTGGTCCCCCATGAATGATCCCCTTTTTCTTATGCTAATTGAGAGCTCATTTGATGAGATAACCATCTGCCAGCACTTTCACAGTCTATTTCTATTGTTTTTCTTCTTGCAATATCCATTACACTGATGCAAACTACATGTTCCTTCTAAATATGTGTAGTATGCACCATACTATAATTCAATTAGGAATGAGTTTTACACTTTCTCTGGATATACAGTATCATCACCAGAACCCAAAAGGATTCAAATAATTGTGACATAATGTCAAGTTTGTCAACAGTAGGCAAAAAGACCATAGAAATGCAATATACATGTACGCAGACACTTACCCAACATTTAGAATTTTGAGATTTTGCATAGAGCTGATGTTTGTAGGAAGCTCCTCTATGTGGTTGTTGAACAGATTGAGTACTTCCAGACTTGTCAGCTCTACTAAATGTGGTGGGACAACTGGAGAAAATAACATGACATGAATCACATGACTTAACATAACATATTCTACAATTAATTTCAATAAAGCCAATAATTATTACAGTATCTGCAAAGAAATGGTCAATATCTAAACTTTTCATTTATTAACTCACATTGTCCACCCACTTCATATTCCCTATAAACTATGAACAGAGCAGACGGCATGGAAGGAAAACTGCCTGCCCTTGTGCCTTGTAAAAACAAATGCTTAGATTGAAAAACAGGCCTATATTTAAACAACATCACCTTTTATTACAAAATAAACATGTTTAGTATATATCATCCAATTTCTGCTGCAGTAAAAAAAACTTCAATCATATATATAAAAAGAGTTGTACAAAGAGATTTATTATCATGATTTAGGCTACCAATTTCCTCAAGGTTTAATATAACAGGAAGTAGGGAACATTTGATCTGCTCTTCCTCTACCACATTTACTCCAATTACACGGGCCATAGACAGGAAGAAAACAGGAGTAGTTACAAAACAGTAATAGTATGCAAGTCTTGTGAGAGCAAGCTAGACAGATAGCAACACAAAGAAACAAGTGGGAATGATAGAAAGAGAGAGAATGAAAGAGAAAGAGAGAAAGAGAAAGAGAGAGAGAGAGAGATAGAGAGAGGGAGGGAGTGAGAGAGAAAGAGAGGGAATCATCTTTTTAGTACTCACCATCGATCTTATTGTGACTCAAAGTCAGCCTCACAAGGTTACTTAGAGAAACTATGAGAGAATATATAGAATATTTTTCATTATAAAAATATATCTAATCAACATTGATTAATTATATGCCATGGATATTTCCTTAAAAACCTTGAGAAGATGTAAACATAATGGATACCAGATTTAATACCCGGTAGGTCATACTTAACATTATTCAATTCAGAATTTTAAATTCAATAGACAAAATTAATGTACCAACAAAGAATTATGATGAAAGAGTTTTAAAGTTGATAAATTAAACAGGCACAGTCATAATACATGACTAAGCACATAATATGAAATTTCTACAAATAGTATTCAATATATTTATGTATCATACCATTTATATAGGCCTAGGCCTAGTCTATTTGTATAAATTTAAAAGATTGAAATTAATTTAGGCACAACAAAAAAATCATCAATCAATTATCATTTTGGAAAAGTAGCACTTGTAATTGTGGCCTAAAAAAAGGGAACGGTCTCTCTGTGAACAAACATCATTAAAAATATTAATGATCACATTTATTCATTTGTCATATTAGTTATTATTACTTTATTAGTGTACACAAGTTACTTAACTTTAGTTTAACTTTTAAGATTATTGGAAATAACAATAAATTAAAGTCAGTTAAAATTGAAAATAAAGTAAAACTTAGTCTAACATAGACTAGATCTATTCATACATCAAATACACTAAACAAATATGTCAAAGAGACCAGCACCAGGAAGAAATTAGAAAGTCTCGATCTGTTAATATTTCTTTACAATGACAATATGACAATGAAGTTCAATCTTCTCAAGAGACAAGCCAAGCTAGACAAGACTTCTAGAGTCTAGACGACATCAAAATAAATCAATGGGACTGTAGAATAATACTTACACAGCTCTGGAATGTCGTGCAGTTTTGAAATGCTCTTGTCCGACAAATCTAGGTCCTGATGCTTGTTGTCTCTTGCATCATCGACCTGTTTTTTGACAGATTTAGACATTGTTATGACTAATTTACTGTATTATTGATTAAAATATTGACATTTAGCTTCGCAAGCTTCGACTCAGAAGGGTGTAAACCGGAAGTTACTTCTTCTATCTTGTCAATCTAATTCAATAATTGGATAGGCTACTCCGTAAAAAAAGAGTATGTTATTCAAAGATCTTTCATCCTTATAAAGCAATTAGCATGCTATACTTTCATTTTTATCAAATTGAAAAATGGTATATATAAGTATTTGATACATATGAAATGTTCCGAAATGTTCAGATATGGGTTTTGTATGTACAAGTTCAAAATTAAAAACAACATGGGTCTTGAATAATCTTATGGTATGCACGCTCATGTAATCGAAAATTGTGTTTTCTGTCACATTACGGTAGATATCAGAGTCGAATGTAAAACGGCTGATAAACAATGTAAATAGGCCTCTGCCCCCTGGACCCCATCAGGAGCCCTATGGCGGGCCCCTGACTGCTCATCTGACCATAATTAAATGCCTAAATCCCCTGAGCTTCATGTCGCTCCGCCCCTGGACACCACATCAATTTACGCTCCATTTCGCTCTACCTGATCCTATATATTTTAGCGGCTTAGCCCCCCGCCCCCCTTCCACTTTGTAAAACATTCCGCGGGGTCTGCATGTAACATGTAAGAGTGGTGGTGATGCAGATTTATTTAATGCCCCCCCCCCCCCAAAAAAAAGACCCTAATAATGGCATATCGCAAATTTTCCGAAATGGACATTAAAAGTATTATCACACATGGATGGATGCAGGCGCTAACGCTGGGGGGGGGGGGGGGGGGGGATTGGATTTTTTTTAACATGTGTATTTTAGAGGAAACCCCCCCCCCCCCCTCAAATTTAGTTTTTAATAAAAAATAAATTTAAAAGAAACTGTTCTCTTTTTTTTTCGTGCTAAAGGGTGACCAAAAAAAGGTGATCTTACCCCCCCCCCCCCCTCAAACTGAACGAAATATCGGTCGACCAAATTTTTTTGGGGGAAAAAAATGTGCTCTTACTCCCCCCCCCCCCCCCCCCCCCCGCCTATTCAGTGGCTGGCTGAGTCGTTGCGAAATTTTTAATTTTCAAATTTTCAACCCCCCCCCCCCTCAAAAAATTCCTGCGTTTGCCCCCGCCCCTTGGATGGGACCTATTAATTAAAGTGTGGGGCTTGGGTTAATTTGGATACTTTGTGTAACCATAAATAATTACTACCTTTTTAGATTTAATTGAATAGCAATTTATTTTGTTGAAAGATAGTTTGAAGTAGTCACAAAAAATACAAATGAGCAACTAACAAATTTACACTTTAATTGATATCATTGTGACAGGATACATAATTTTAACATTACAGGACAGGGAATGGATGGGTATACTGTACGTACAGTACGTACACGTGTGTGTGTAACACATTCTGGTCTTTTGTGTGTAAATCCAGCAGAAGGTATATGATACTTGTACGTTTAGCTAGCTGCCCTGCCCGGCCAGGCCAGGCAAGGGAAAAGCAATGTTGTCCGAGTTGTGAGACCCCAGAAAAAGACATAATTTTCTAGGACATAGGAACCATAGGACTACGAGGATGGTTGATGTGGACATGGTATGTGTTTAACAAAGAATTAAAGAGGAAAAAAAAGAAGAAAAGGTTGAAGCCGTGAAGGTCAATTCGAGAGAGAGAGAGAGAGAGAGAGAGGTTAGGCAGAATGATAATTGATAGACCGCGCGCAACACCTAATCCTATACCTTTCCAATGCAAATGGTCGTGGTAGGATCGCGGACTTGGGCGTGGTGTGGTGCATGCCTGGTGGTGGGCTTTTGGGCGTTTGTTCAGAAACCTATCCAAAATTTGTCCCGTAACTCCGGCCTGGAGATACCCTAAAACATACCAAAAATGAAGTAAATATTCATTAAATCTTAATGTCCAAATAAAGGGCGCTAGTGTAGTTCCGTATCCGTTTTTTTTAGCAGTTTAATATCGATTCTTAGCAAAGGAATTTTAGCCCAATTTTTTACTGATTTTAATCATAATCATATATTGCATTTTCCACCTGAATTTAGATCGCATCCGACATCGGGAAGCCTCCGTTTAGGGCTTCGATGTCGACGTCGTCGCTTAGTACGGTCTCCGCGCTATAGCTCTGCAACTCAAACTGAAGCTATCATATCAGTCTAAAATTATGCAAACTTTGTGTATGCTTTATGGTATCGTGCATGTGCGTAATACCATAAACTATACGCGAAGCTTGCATTATTTTAAATTATTTTTCAATGTTTTTGGCTATCAAATGCTCAAAAAAAATTCATGCTTGGGATTATTTTGTCATTTGGAGTTGTTGTAGACCATGTTTGTTGATATTTAGTGCCTTTTCATGACTTTGAAATTAATAATAATGGTCTAAGAGAAGAGGCAAAACATGCGGGCCGCCATCTTTGATTATACATGTAATGTAGGCATGCCACATGCATTTATTGATCGGCGATCGGAAATTATTATCCGATCATCCCTGATCGGCTCAAGATCGACCCTCGATCTGATGATCGGTTACAGGCCTAATTATTTACCTCGTTCCCCATACGTTGATACCGAGATCGTTCGAGCATCATCATTTTTCTGGATAATTCTAACCTGTTAATTTGAGTTTTAGCAGCCATAGCGTCTAAAAAATGTGTTCTTAAACAGTAATTTTGGCTGATTTTGTATAATTTGTGAAATATTGTGATTTATTTGTATGTATTCTTGACATGTTTATCTATCGGTTGATGTTAGTTTTTCCAAGTGCGAGTGTGTGCAAGGCATGTGCGAGAAGAGATTATTGCACATGCGATGAAATGTTGCTTATGAATGTAAGCTGCCTCATGAATTATACATGATTTTATGCATGTGGTGTAGCTCAATGCAGAAGTGTTAAACTCTGTACACAGGGCATGGGATGCAAACCGTTGTGTAACCCTAACCCTTAAAGATAAAGATCAGTTCTGGTCATGAGAAAGAAACATTGTGGAATCGATCAGAAAAGGTTGAAGTATTGGTGTGTACTGCAAGGTTCTGGAATCATCAAAATGATAAGAAATTTGGCCCAGTCTTGGTAAAGTTACAAGCACCGTACACGGAAAGATAAATATGGGACTACGCACACGTGCGGGACATGTGCGTTATATCTATCAGGTCCAAATAGATATACTAATTTACCAAATATATCAATAAGTAGGCGGCTTCTTGTCAAAATTTGTATGACCACGTATTAGTCAAACAAATTCTTTCACATGATTGGTAATAAGAGCTTCCATTTCATTTTTTGAAAGGAAGGTGTTTCCAAAACTGGTCTTTACCTTTAACCTAACCCTAAACATGCAAAACTGACCGTTTTTGTAGCTGGGTTGAGTTGGCCCCTGGTCGGAGTTAGCCCAACTCCAGATTGCACGCATCCCTATGCAGTTTACGTGCATGGCGTGCTCATACAATATTGGTCAATGTTTTTATTACCAAATTGAGATTCTAACCTTTACCGCTCGTGATCTTGAAAGGGCCACTCTAACCCAACTAACATAGCCTTTCAAAACATGAATACACCTCTACTTATTAATATTCCAGCCTCTGATTTTTCAGAAAATGTTTAAATTGACCAAAAATGATAACAACCATCCATTTTTCACAGATCTCACGCTTGCTGGGCTACGCCCCTCGAAAAAAGGTAATACGGTCGAGTGGCTTGATGACGCATCACGGGCATGTCTGATTTGTCCTACAACTAAGGATCTTACAATCTCATTGTCATTCATAAATGAAACGTACTGGGATTATCACAACTACATATTATTTTTCAGATGAATGTGTTTTTTTTTCCAATTAATATCATAGTTTGCATTTTTAAAGACATTTTAATGCCTAAATCACCCTCCTTTTCAACCAGAGAGGCTCCTGCTGTGACGTCATAAACAGTTGCGCAATACAGCTCCAAAACTGGGCCTTTTCTGAGCGTTCTGAGTTTGACCCTTGAAGGTGATACTCATTAAATGAGGTTTCATATGAAAGAACAGGTTTTTCTCCATATTCCCCAAAGGGGCTCAACTCAGAACTCTAAAAATATCTTGATCAAAACAGCGATTTAAACATCGTTTCCATCGTAGCTCAGAAATTCACCACTTTCATGAATTAAGACCCCGAAGCTTTAGTTGGGCGAACTCTAGGGAGCTCAAATGCCGAAGGCATCGGAGCTCCAGAGCCTGTTTATGAAAACGATTCAAACAGCTGGTTGGGTCCAAGATGGCGGCTCGCTTGTTTTGCCTCTTCTCTTAGACTAATATTATCAATTTCAAAAAGTCATGATTGGCATTTGATATTCAACAAACAAGGTCTACAACAACTCCAAATGACACAATAATCCCAGCTATGCATGTTGTTTAGTATTTGATAGCCAAAAACTTGAACATTTTCAGCATTAAAAAAAAAAAAAAAAATCCCAATCAACTTCACTGATCTGCAATCAGAATTTATTATCCAATGTCACCTGATCGGCCAATGATCGGGTTAGTAAAATGGAAAGTTTCTTTTAAAACTTGACGATTCACATTCAATTTCATAAGGAAAATGTATTAATATCATTCATAATGAGCATAAGGGTTTTAAACTCTCCTTTTATTTGTTACCATCAGCTGTATTGTTGATATTACAGGCAAACACTTCTCTAAAGTCACTTAGCTAAGTGTTATCTAGAACTCAGATAACATCATGTATCGACAAGATAACTTACCCCTCTGAAACAATTGAGTGATGTCATCTTCGTTGGTTTGCTGCTAGATGTGAATGATAATCCGACTTGTTAAATCCAAATCATATGTCCACGGTAGAATATTAGAATGGCAGAACTACAGAAATGTATGATTATAGTTTAATCAATTTGATGATGGAGTCATGCAGTTAAATTCGCTTCTACAAACAACTTATTATATCACTCGGTCTGATTGTCAAAGAGCGGTCCCCCTTAATTCCATCCCCTGCTGTGGCAGTCCATACATGTCCTAATGGTCAGATATGATCATCATTACTGTATAAACAATACGAGGAGAGCCTCTCCAATTCTCCAGATGAGAGTGACAGTGAGCGAGAGGGGGAGGAGGGAGGAGACGCTATCCTGTTATGAATGGGAAAGCACTTTATTCCGCAGGATGGATTTAGGTGGTGATTAATTTGGGATCAGGTTGGTTGGACGAGAGAGTGTCTTCCAAAGTATCGTCTGTGTGCATGATGATGGTGTTGACAAGAAAGTCTAAAGTGTGTGTAAGGTGTTATTAATGGGGGAAGGAAGCAGGAGATACACAGGGTTTGCAGCCATGTAATTTAATTTGTTTTGTTTATAGCTATTTGTGAAGTGTGGATGTAGATGATTTCTACTTTCTAGGCATAATTCCATATTATCAACAGGAAAATCAACAAAATTATTAATCAATACTTTATTTGCAATATTAGGGCCTTATGTATAGATTTTTTTCTCTCTCTCCAGAAGTATCAGGAGCCAACTTAGAATTAAAATTGTTTAGGTACTAATTTGTATGGATCGAACTGTGGTAGAAGCATATACCACCCCCACCCCCTTCCATGTCAACAATTGACCTCTTCAAAGGCATTTTAGAGCTACACTGCTCCTATTGTTGTTTTTTTTTGGGGGGGGGGTTTGGAATTCTTTTTTTTAGAATGAAAAAAAAAAAAAAAAAAAGACAATGGAGATATATAACATGTGAGAAGATCTTGCTTTAACTTCACATTAGCAAACAGAGTTCATGGGATTGAAAATAAATTTTTTACATTCATCAAAGTTAATTGATTTCACATTGATGAGTGCACTGTTCGAAGCAATTAGTATGTGGTATATAATACATGAGTGTGAAAGCAGATGTTAAGTTCAGAATTCAATGTACCGGTACTGGGTAATCCATTTCCATCATTTTCTACCACATCTACAATGTACATCTAGGCCTTCATGTCCCCATTTCTTATAGAAAGCCTGCACATGCCCCATCAATTACTCTCTCATAAGGCAGGGGGCTGGTATCGCAAAATCCATTTTGCTGTGCGGATTACTGAGGAATTCATGTAGTACATCATAACATGAAGCCAGGGTATTCAACTTTATTGCTGAATTAATGTAGGGTGCCTCAGGGAGTGTGACACTAATTTACTCCTACATTGAAAGCAAGGCAATGTTGACAAATGGGAGAGGCATGCTGGTGTAATCCTTTTAACTCTTGTTGATAGCTTTTGTCTAGCTTTCAGGCTTTTGTTCATGGATATGGGGAAATTGTGTGGTTCACTGTTCGTGTCGTTTGTGAGAAGAAAAACGTTTTACATCAATATTGAAATGTAGTGGACTAATGGTCAAAGGGTCTAGAGACCCCTCCTTATCTTGCTGAATTATATTGTTTGAAAATGCAATAATGCATACATATATATTTGTTGGATTCTCTGTATCAATCTGTAAAGTAATAAAAGAGATTTGGAAAGAAAGACATGTTTCATGAAGCATCTAAATATGTGAAAAATTGTACAAATTGGAAGTGGCATAATGTATCTTTGAATTTAAAGAAAAAATGTTTCAACATCTTGAGTAGATTTTTGACTGGTCAGTGCACCAATGTCCATTACCCAAATATGCTGACACTAACACAGTCCCTTGGCAGGTGCATACATGTTGTATCCATTGCATTCCTATACCCAAGCTCATACATTCCATACATGTCACCATTTGTGTTGATGGATAGTCTAAATCTGCAGACCCATGTAAGGGGAATGTTATTATAGGGCTACAATTTGTGTGTAGCATGTGCTGCTGAAAGTGATACATAGTTTATTCTTGTATTTGATCTGTTTATTCAAGCCAGTATGCTTCTAAATTTTTCAGCTGTTTTCATGCACAATGTATAATGTAGCTATCCAATCCAACCGATTGCATGGAGTGGATGGAAATTAAATCTGGAATACCGAGAGGAGCAATAAATGACTCATACTTGGGCTAATGTTAACTGTGATTCATTAGAGTCAAATGTGGGGGAAAGATATTTTGAACCAACAGCAATTGATTGTCTGTTTTTAAAGAAACAGTATTTTATCTCTTGAAAGCCGCTTTACATAGTATAACGATTGTTTTAATTACTTTCTTTTTTATCTTGAATGCAGGAAGTGAAAAGGACACCTAAGGCAGTTTTGGCAGAGCCCAGTTGAAACACTTGAAAATGTAACTCAACAAGTTTTAACAGCTGAATATGGATTTCTCTGACATCTCCTTTTTAGGTAAATAGTTAATTTAGATTTTTTTTTAGAGATACCTGATGGTGAATGAGTAGGAAATGCTTTATGTGGAACTTTTAAAGATGTAGATTTCATGCAACTTGTGTTGTTGTGATTATACATTTAGGATGTATTTGAACTAAACTTACATTCTCTCAACCATGTATGAAAAAAGACATGTAATGTACATTTGTAATGGTGTCCCAACTCGCAAGGACGTTAATATTACGATGTAGCATACAGGTACCATACCTGCCAACCACCCCGATTTAGACGGAGTTTCTCCGCATTTTTCATACCAACTCCGAATTCCGAGTGCATGCCTCAAAACTCTGATTTTTTTTTTTTTTTGATTTTTTTTTTTTTTTAGTAATTTTTTTTAATAATTTTTTTTTTTTTTTTTTTTAATAATTTTTTTTTGATTTAATATTTTGTGTGTGCGTCCGCCATTTTCAATGGCAAAATGTCCATTCTGTCCCGTAAACTATCCTACAAGCATCTCTCATCAGCAATTTGGGGATGTTTATTCATACCTGCGTATAGCCCACGTGTATTTATATTACATGTGCAGTTGATACGCCGTGCATAAACACTGTATACATTGGCGTGTTTTCTTAATTGCTTGTGCGATGACTGCGATCGTGGAAGCTTGTTATTTACCGGACTTCCTCGGATTTATTTTGGATTACTACTACTATATACCTTTGCAAAATAGGGCTCCTAACTGAGGTGGGTAGTGAAACATGTAGTTTTGTGAGTGTTCACATTTCAAAAATTGTTTATGTGTGGGGCGAAAAGGTTGAAGGAAAAGGCCCATTTGCACCATTAAAATGGAGAGAAAAAAAAATAGACCCTAAAGTCCTGTGTACCCCCCCCCCCCCCCCCCCCCCCCCCCCAATCTATGGGCTACTACCCCGATCCTTCGGTGGTTCGCAACCTCGTAGTCCATCCAGAAAAATTTACTCCTAATTTCTCTTGTCTCAGGTTGGCAGGTATGAGGTACCTTAAAAATATCCCTACCGCCCGATGATGTTAACCTATTTGTTGAGGCTAGCTGATTGTTCTGACAGTAGAGTTCCCTTCTTCTGTAACCTCCATTTTCATATTTTCTCCCTTTCAAAATCTATTCTGTGACTATGCTTCATTCTTTTAACTCTACTGGAAAGACGATCGTAAAGCAGCCACTGATCATTCAGATTATGAGAGCTGAGGGCTTTTTTTGTTTACATGACAATTGGTTGTTTTAATATGTCCTTGCAAAAAGACATTGATATACTGACAATGCAAGTTAGAGCTAAATCATGAGTTTACATAATTTTTTTTTTTTTTTTTTTTTTTTTTTTTTTTTTACTTCAGTTGGTATTCTCTATCATTCTTCTTAAAAAAAACTCTGTTGAGCAGGATTATGAGTTTATTATTAAAAAAAAACTTTTAAAATGCTTAAATATCCCAAGTTTCAGGAAAATAAAGTATTCTCATGTGGCACAATTTTTTTTTAAAACCCTACTTTTAGGTCAATGATGGAAGAGCATACTATTCATGTATTACTGGCTATGAGGCGATTGAATGTGCTGGAAGACCAAAAGAACCATGAACTTGTTTGGTAAGAATGAATTCTCTTATTTTTGATGTGGGTAGTGGTAACAAGACTTCCTGAGAACTCTATTTAATCTTTGTTCACAATATGATTTCAATATATGACAGAGAGACCTTTACCAGAAACAGAGTAACCTTTAAAGTAATGGTAACTCATTTTGTTCCATATCAAATCACAACTGTGAAAATGAAAAACATTCAACCAAATCAGGTTTTTCTATAAGACATCACAGGGTAAATATCTCAATATGAACATGTATTAGTAAGAATATGACATCGTAAATCCATTGCCCAATGATGTAAATGACAATCTTGAGGCTAGCTGGTGATTCTAACGGCAAATTCCCTTATTTTCTTCATCTTTTCTGCACTCAGCTATATTCTACCTGTATTTTCTGACTTCCTTGTCGGTATTCTTCTCTTTTCTTAGTCTTTGCTGAAAGGATTGCTCTCAAAAACAGCTGATGATTTTCAGATTATGAGAGCTGAGGGCATTGGTTGCAAATCTGTAGTTCAGCTTTGTACATTCATTGAAGCAAGTACATTTTGTGTGTGCTTCCAGTTGGCGTAAACTACGTGGAAATGCAGGTTACCTGATTTTTCCCAATCACTCCTTTCTGTCTCATCTAGATGATTGGCTGCCTTCACCATGCCGGGGGATGGAGCCAAGAGATGAAAACTCCAGGATGAGGATGTGAGAGGAGACGATACAACATCACATCGATGACGCTGTGAAGTCATCAGGAATATGAGGATCTACATTGCAGTGTAAGATGGTTGGCATGGCTTTACATTTGATTAAATGTTTATAAATATCTTTCAAAAATTGATAAAAAGTATATTATATTTCCAGGATAATGCATTTTCCCCACATTACCTTTATCTTTATTCCGTATAGAGTGAAACAGAGTAAATCTGGTGTCCATTTATAGTACTAGGCCCTGTAAGACTATTTGTATTCTTCCTGAATTAAATGAGATTAATTCAAAGGTAAGCTAATTCAATTGCTTGGATAGATGCAACAGTTGCCCCCCCCCCCCCCATTGTTGGCTTCAGTTGTCCATGACAACTATGGGCCAGGGGAACCGTATTGTACATGGATTCATACTGTCTGCTGGACTTTCAACTCTGCTGTACTTTTATTTAGGTAATAATTATATATTTTGTGCCCAATGATGTAAATGACAATATTGAGGCTAGCTGGTGATTCTAACAGCAAAGTCCCTTTCTTTCCTTATTTTCTCTGAACTCAGCTACTTTCTTTCTCCATTCTCTGACTTGCCTGTCAGTATTCTTTACTTCTCTTAGTCTTTTGCTGAAAGGATTGCCTTAGAGCAGCTGATGATTTTCAGATTATGAGAGCTGAGGGCATTAGTGGTGATTAATCCGTAGTTTAGCTTTAGACATTCATTGAAGCAAATAAAGTCTATTGTTTCCACTATAGCACTTACTACTAGACAATTCAGATTATCACATTTTCATAAGCTCTTCTCTTCTGTCTCATCTAGATGATTGGTTGCCTTCACCATGCCAGAGGATGGCGCCAAGAGAAGACACAACATCACATCAATGACTCTGTGAAGTCATCAGCAATATGAGGATCTACATTGCAGAGTAAGATGATTGGCATGGTTTTACATTTGATTAAATGTTATTTATAAAGTTCATTCCAAAATTGATAAAGAATATGACATTTTTAATATTTTATCTCAAGTATAATGCATTTCCCCCCACATTACCTTTATCTTTATTACGTATAGAGTGAAACAGAGTAAATCTGGTGTCCATTTATAGTACTAGGCAATGTAAGACTATTTGTATTCTTCCTGAATTAAATGAAAATAAAGAAATAGTAATCAAAGACAAGCTTGTCCATGACAAATAAGAGGAACCATATTGTACATGTATTCATACTTTCTGATTGACACAATTTTCAACTCCGCTATATATTTAGGTTATAATTATACATTTTGTGCCCAATGATGTAAATGACAATCTTGAGGCTAGCTGGTGATTCTAACAGCAAAGTCCCTTATTTTCTTTATCTTTTCTTCACTCAGCTACATTCTTTCTGTATTTTCTGATTTCCCTGTCTGTATTCTTCCCTTCTCTTAGTCTTTGCTGAAAGGATTGCTCTATCTCAAAAGCAGCTGATGATTTTCAGATTATGAGAGCTGAGGGCATTGGTAGTGATTAATCTGTAGTTTAGCTTTGAACATTCATTGAAGCAAATAAAGTCGCTTGCTTCCACTTTAGCTACATTAGCTACATGGAAATGCAGGTTACAAATTTTCCCAATCACTTCCATCTGTCTCATCTAGATGATTGGCTGCCTTCATCATGCCGGGGCATGGAGCCGAGAGATGAAAACTCCTCAATGGAGATGTGAGAGAAGACACAACATCACATCAATGGCAACTCTGTGGAGTCATTGGGAATATGAAGATCTACATTGCAGGGTAAGATGGTTGGCATGGCTTTACATTTGATTTGCTGTTTATCAAGTTCATCCTAGAATTGAAATTGGAGTATGAAATTTCTATATATATCTCAAGGATAATGCATTTCCCTCCACATTACCTTTATCTTTATTCCGTATAGAAAGAAACACAGTAAATCTGCTGGCCTAGTAAGACTATTTTTATTCTTCCTGAATTAAATGAAAGTAATGAAATTGCAATCAAGGACAAGCTAATTGCTTGGATAGATGTACCCCCCCCCCCCCCCCCCGATTGATGCCTTCAGTTGTCCATGACATACAGGAGGTACCATATTGTACATGTATTCATACTGTCTGATCGACACAATTTTCAACTCCGCTATATATTTAGGTTGTAATTATACATTTTGTGCCCAATGATGTAAATGACAATCTTGAGGCTAGCTGGTGATTCTAACAGCAAAGTCCCTTTCTTTCTATATACTCTCTGAACTCAGCTACATTCTACCTGTATTTTCTGATTTCCCTTTCTGTATTCTTCCCTTCTTAGTCTTTGCTGAAAGGATTGCCTTTGAGCAGCTAATGATTTTCAGATTATGAGAGCTGAGGGCATTTAGACACAGACATTTCATGAAGTGAAAAAACTTTCTTGCGTTCAGGAAATCTCACTTTTGGTTCAAAATTGAATGTTCATTGTATTTTATTTGTTTTTTCCCCTGTAGATGCTGTACAGCATTTGGATTAGCTGTTCCCCCCGTCTCAGTTGCCTAAGGTTAGTAAACCATGGGCTATCAAGTTGCATTTTCTGTCAACTCAACTCATACAAAGAAGTGTATATTTACAATTAATCTGACATTTTCAAATTGAGGGGGGGGGGGGGGGGTTGTACCCGTTATGCAATTCTGAATGTAGAAGTATATTGTTTTCCTGATCCATACAAAAATATTCTGGATGTTTTATATTTCACTTCATTCTTTATTTATTTTTTAAAATATGCAAACACTAAAATATATACAAAGCATTTCAAGGTAAAATGGGGTGTGTATGTTGTGAGGCAATGTTTTAATCACGAATAGATATCTTATTAATTATACAACAGCAATATTCTTCTGATTCTGTTAATGCTGGTGACAGAAAATCATGAAGTATGGAGACTGCCCTGTGATGACAAAAGATGCCTTATTCAGAAACTGGGGTGTGAACATCCCATCATACACCTTTCTTACATTCTAATGCTACTCTTCTCCTGCTCTTGTTTCTCTTTTCTTTCCTTTCCTTATTTTCCCTCTCATTCTCTATGGGATGTTTGCAGTTTGAACCAGTTTGGTGAGAATCAATGTCTGAGGGCACATTTTGCAAACCAATTTCGAAATGGACTTATGTGCATTACGAAATATTGTAATGTGGTTATTGTAGGGACATCACTCATATTATGTTGCGACTTATGTGGTGAGATTTTAGGTATTATATAAGTCACATGAGATATCTTTGACGTTTCGTTATTTGATCATTAAATTATTTTTATTTTTCTCTCTGTCCAAAGCTTGGTCAACATCGCTGGTTCATCAGATCTGATTCAAAAGAACTGGAGGGCATTTTAAAGCTATCTGTGAGAAAATGCAAGTGGACTTATAACTCAACTGAAGACATCTAGAGGACGGCCCCAGTGCTGTAGGAATTTTAGACCTACAGCTAGTAAACAATACAACTTTTAATTTCAATTTTGCCGCTGTAAGTTGCATGGGACATACCCAAAAGTAGGGAGACTCACTCGAGTGAAAACCTGAATAACTCACTGGCATTTTGATAGTGAGCATTTGCCAAAACCAATCTTTGAGGTTTTTCATGCTTATAAGTGATTGCTTTCCAATTCCAATGAAACTCAAAAAATGTGGGAAAAACCCCCAAGGGTCTTTAAATGCATTGTAAATGCCCTATTATTTAGATGAACGCAACCTTACTTTAATGACATGTGTTTAGCATGATTTTATTATGAGTGTATGAACTGTCCAGTGGTCCAAACCTTGGCAATGAGAGGCCAATACAAAACAGATTATATTTTAATTCTTCAAAGTGTTACATAAGCAATGAAACGAGGTCTAGCTGCAATAAATGTCAGAAATCAAAGTATTATGGGTGTATGAGTCATTTTATTTGTTTTAACGGTAGTACTCTAAAGCAGGCTTTGTGTAAGTTGGAGTACGAATGATGTATACTTAATTTTGTTGCAATTTTTTTGTAGCTACACGGGATCTCGCATTAGCCATTTGGTCATGTGGTATAACCTGCAAGAACTGTACAACAGTTCATAAGTCTTCGAAATTTCACATCTATTTTCATGTTACATTTTCCATGATATATTACGAGCTTTAGATTTTCATCTTACCTTTGACGAGATTGCTTCTAGTGTATCATTCGGCACCTTTATTGATTTCACATTGGAAAATATGATTTTTGACTGCATTATTTTAGAAATTATGTACAAATTTGTTGTACTCACATAATGGATGATTCTTTCGACACCTCACTTGGTCTGAATTGTCAATGGGAGATTTCCAGTACTTTTTTTCCCCCTCAACCATGCCCCCTTTGAGTAGAAAAAAAAGAAGAGGATTCTGGGGAAAAATGGCATCTAACAACATTCCCCCCCCCCCCTTTTGAGAAAGAAAAATTGGAAAATAATGGGGAAAAATAGGGTCAGAATTTTGGCAAAGAGAGAAGAAAGGAAATCTAGCTAGTCATCCAGACCAACATGCTGGCACAAATTGCCAAACATATTCATTTACAATACCAGAGCTTAAATTCAAAAATCGGCTTTCATGAATATAATTGATTCTTTACCATGTCACAAGAATAAACAAACTGTTGCACACACAAACTGAATACTGTACATGATTACGCAAATTTTAATGATGAATTGTAACCAGGTTGTGTAACGTAGCATACCAGTTGAGAACCTAATCATATTGGTGGGACAGAATAATGCCTTCAAATATTATAAAAACCGAGAGAATGTTGTTCAATCAGTCTTATTCCACATACATTGTCGTTCAGCACCAACATCAAAACAAAACTTTCCAAACACCTATTGCTAATCCTTGAGGTATTGTATTTTGTACTACCACATGTAGTACAAAATCAATTATAGAAACCATAAAGGTCAATTCCAAGTGTTTTGATGAAATATTTAAACTAATGTGAGGTCTTTCAAAACAATGAAGTTTCATATCAACTGTACATCAAATTTAATTAGCTTTGTTAAATATTGAATGACCACAATTTCATTCTGTAACAAAGTAGATAAAATTCAATATTTTATAGATCTGATGAATGGTCGATAGGAAACACAAATTTTGTGAAAGTACCTCATAAAGGGTTAATATATCATTAATTTGCAGATTTGTATTAAAATATCTATGATATTCTCTGGAAATATCATTCCATGACACTTGGAAATGAAGTTTGAACAAATGAAAAAACTTGACACAAAGATATCCCAAGAGGAAATTAAAAGTGTATTACCGCACCTTTACACTAAAATCACTCGTATAATGCAAGTCTGCCAACTCATCTCCCACATGAGCCAAATTCCGGTACCATACCAACAATTCTACATAAAAGGGCCATTTGCATAAAACGGGTTACTTCTATTTTTCTTGGGTAAATATCATTGACAGTTTATACTTCTCTGAAACTAATTGGATAGTTACAAGTGTGTGAACCATAAGATAGTTGAAGTGTGCGAAGAAGTGTGATATCTGATGTAAATTCATTTTAAGATAAAATTCTACTGCTTCCTCAGTTCTCACACTACCTTTCAATAAGTCTCAAATTGCTGCAAAAACAAATAGATACATATCATGCATCTTATCCAGATCCAAAGTAATTTATGTTCATTATTTCTAAGCCTACTATGATACAAAGCATACATAATAGAAGCATAAATTATAATTGATAAAATTATGCTGTAATGATGATATGTTTGTAGACTCAATACCATCCTGTCAACCTTCATTATCAAACAAATGGTTACCTACTCCTATTACCTACATCCTCTCACAGTCGCCTTCCCTTCTATCACTTTTTTCTCCTTTTCTTTTTCGTCTATGTCATAACTATCCAACCTTCCATTTCTTTTTCTGTCTGCTTCTCTCCACATTTCACTTCGTAAGTACAAAATTTGAATGTCATTTTCTTGCATACTAATTTATATGTGAGCTTTAATATGTTGTAAATTCTATTTCTGTAAGTTCTAATTATGATTGTCTAGTATGCAATTGTATATTTTGTATCAATAATTTTGTTACGTATTATTTTTTTTATTCAGGGCTCTCAAGGACAGCATTTTTTAAACTGAAGTGGCAACCCTGTTTGAATAAAACTCAAAATAAATAAATAAATAAATGGTTAAGCACTGATCTGAAGGTGAAACTGGGGTTTTATATCTTGAGGTAGTAGAGCCTCTCTGTTCACCCAAATTATTCTTGCACATTGTTCATTAACCATAATTAATGGATGCATTTGTATAATCCATACAGCAACATAGATACTGGATGTCTAGTTTTAAGTAGACATGAATAATGTACTTGGCAAAGTGAAATGGCTACCGGTACTAACAAGTAAAGGACCATCAAATGGAATTTACACATAATCACATTTGTACAAAATAATCTACTCAACAATTTCATTGTCCAATGCCATTTTATGGTGTGTAGGTGGTTGTTTTCTGTTCCAACAAAACCAAAAGCTTCCCCCCCAAACAAAATCTGTCCACCTGACAAGCACTTTTAAAAAGCACAGAGTAGGCCTACTCCTACTCTATATTCATGCAAACTTTTCACTAGTCTGAATGGATACAATTTAACAACTTGAAAATAATGCAACATAGGAAGAGGAGAATGGATGAATAACCTTTAAGGTGAGCTTTCCCTAGCCAGAAATCGTCAAATTAATGCAGCGTTGGACAATTAAGTGTTCTTTTTCACGTGTTCAGTTTTGGCTGCTGGCACTTCAACTCCAGAACCCTCACAGTTCTTACATCTACAATCAATTCCATGGGGTATATTTTCACAATCGACCATCATCAGTTGGACATCGAGAGGCGGTCAAGGACCTTGCGGTAGTCCTCCAGGAGGAGCTGGAACCACTTCTCAAGGGTCTGATGCCTCTCCTCCAGACTGGTCCCTTCTTCTGCTGCCGTCAGTTCCTCGGGCTTCAGCACCTTCTTCAGCTTCTCATAGTCGGCCTTTTGTTTCTGAAAGACCACAATTAATCACACAAAAATAAGTAAAAATGTAGAAACAACGAACATAGACAAAAGATTCACATCTATTATTTCTTTACTATAGATCTCCAGTATTCGCTTATAACACCAACAGAATGCCAAACTATGTTATGGACTATGACAAGTCATTACTGATGTATTTTGCACACTTCTCCTCGGTCATTCCCTGTAACATACAATATCTTCTCCCAAACCTGTCCTTGGTTACCAAGACCATAACAATTTCCTTTTTTGGGGGGGGGGGAGGGGGAAGGGGTTTGTCTACAAATTACATAATGTTCTACTCAAACTTTCTCCTATCTCATCCTTACACCTGAAACTCTTCTCATTTCCCTTATCTTGTTTCTCAGCTGTCTTCTCTGACACATACATGGAGGGTTTTTTTCAACCTGATTTGCCCCTTCTCCATTTTCCTCCATATCTGAGCAAATGAACACTCACTTGAAAAGGAATATTGAGTCTCTTCTTCACATCCAGCCTGTATGCCTTGGCATGCTCTGTGTTGCTGTAGTCTGTTGATTTGAGCCGCAGGATCTCGTAAATCTTCCTCACTTGTTTCTGCAAATGAAACACAATACATGCTTAATACTTAATTGCATTAATGTCAGTTATGAAGCCTAGAGGAATATTAACTATTTACGTTTTAAGCCCCCAAAACCTTTTTGTTTTGGAAAGTTTTTCCTTTAATTAAGGTACACTGAAATGATTTGTAAGATACCTACTCTCTGAGTAGATTAGATTGCATTTTTTCTTTAAAAAACGTTAACGATTGTCTGTGATGAACCTTTTTTATATACAAGATTAAATCTTATTTCCTCATATTAAAGCCCCTCTGGACTAGTTAGGCATGGAGGGATTAGACCTCCCTGCAAGGTCACTAGCAGGTGGTTATCTCATCAAATCAGCTCTCAATTAAAGGGCATCATGGGGAATGAACAGGTACCGCTTAGGCAATGTTGGCTGTACAGAGGGCGCAAGTAGCTATAAGTAGTACAGTGGGGCTTAAGTGAGTAAACAAAACAACATCATACTTCCTCCTATACAATTCTAACTTTTCTTGTTAAAAAAAAAGGGATTTTTAACTTAATTAAATCTCCACTCTTTCAGATAACCTTTTAAGTACTGGTCACTGAAGAAGGACAAGTTTAATCCTGATAAATTATTCAACAGTCCATGTTCATCTGTAACTGCACAGATTCAAGAATAACCCAATAGCGGACACAGAGGGGCAAATAAGTTTTGTATAACTTTATGCCTACTTTCAAGGTATAATACTTCCAAGGTATGATAAGTCAAAAGTCACCTTGTTCAACTTGAGTTTCTCCAGAGCTTCTTTCTCCATGGCATCACACAATCCTTTGGGGAGGTTCTCCGGTGCGAAGGAAGGAAGTTGGGCACAGGCCCTGCAGTCTATGAAGTCCCTCAGCCTTACAAAATCATCAGATGGGTCTTCCACTGGAAAGGCATATAAAACAGAAGGTTAATGAAAAATGCAAACTTCAGACAGATAATAATAATAATGGGTCCTTGTATAGCGCTCATATCTGTCGGACTCGACACCCCTCCTTTAGCGTGGCTGCCATTAGGGTGGTCTAGCATTTCAAAGAATTAAGTCCTGTCAAGTTCCCATTTACATCACCTGGGTTGAGTGTGGCAAATGTAGATTATTATCTTGCCAAAGGACATAAGTGCTGCAGCCGGATTTGAACCGCAGGCCTCGTGATCCACAGTCCGGTGACATATCCACCCGACCACGACACCTCTACATAACAGAGAGTTTTAGAGGCAGAAATCACACTTACTAAGATACCCCTTCAATACCAAATGTAAAATGTAAAATATCAGTGAGAAAGCTGTGACAACTTGCCCCAAGGTACTCTTAAAAAAAATCATGCAAAGGTATCAGAATTTTATCAAACGAGAGTTTTGCTAACATGGTGTATAGTTCCAATATCTTTTATGCAGAAATTATGTCTACCATGTCAAAGTAAATAATAAAATCCAGATTCAAATCTTCTACACCTGAAAGTGATATCAAACGTATAATTTTAGTGATAGCTCGTTAATGCTCATTTAAACTTAATATGCTGTCAACAGCCCTGAAAGACGAAAGAATCATTCTTATTGTTTATTAATTTCCAAACATGGTAAAATATTCTGGCAATATTTATTTATCTCTCTTCACCTGTGATATCAAGCACTTCCGTGTCTTTCCTGAAGTCAGCATACATCGTCTCTAAGAATTGAGCTCCATGGCCTTGTCTTTGGAATGGTGGGAGGATCAGGACTTGACTGAAACAAGATCAAAATACAAAGATGAACAGTCGATAATCAAAAGACGAAGAAGTCACTAGTGTCAACATACAAGGTTCCTGAAGAACTGAGCTCATGGTCTTGCATTTAGAATGTGGGAATGTAGAATGAGGATCACAAGAAAAGCTTTAGTCTGTATTCGGTCATTCAAATGTCATAAAGAAGCCAGACTCTGAAGAAATGAGCTCCATGGCATTTGTCTTTGAAATGGTGGGGGAATTATAAGAGGACTTGACTGAAACAAGATCACATCCAAAAGACTAATTCATCATGCCTTGAAGCAATAATTACACATAGGGTAATATCCAATATTTGCCTTAAAAGCGGGAATGCACTACTTGTAGCTACTTGCGCCTTCTAAATAGCAAACAATCCCCTTTTTCTTATGTTAAATGAGGGCTGATTTGATGAGATAACCACCTGTCCAGTGACCTTGCAGGGCGGTCTAATGCTTCCTGACTAAACTAGTGCAGATAGGCGATAATTATCACATCCACAAATTTCCTGCAAGTTTCTCACTTTTTAAATTCAATGTAAAGCATGTCACAACTCTTAAGATCACAAAATTTAGCATGAATAACAAAAACTTTCATCAAATTAGTTCAGTGAAATAACATGCTTTTTGGTCAAATTTGATATCCTGCATCAACAATGCAAGTTTCAGACCAATATGAATATGAATAAGGTTTCAGTGACACAAAGACATAACTCCATATTTTGCCAAAATAAGTACTTGATATAAAAATGTTCAGAAAAATGTAGGCTTTCAAGGAAACACAGACTTAACTCCACCCAACACCCCATTGAAGTCAACGGCTAGTGAAACATAGACTTGACTCTGTAAGGTCCAAGTGCTCAGTGCGCATAAACCACTTTACTCAAAGTGGCCAAAATGGAGTTACGTCTTTGTGTCACTGACCCTTCCATATGTTAAATAATTACACGCTGCACCTACCTTATCCTTGGCCTGATCTTATCTGGATAGGCGTAGTACCTGTAGACCGTTGAGTAACCGACTGTTGAGTACCGCTTTGTTCCATCGTGGGGATACCTTTCAAAGCTGTGGGAGGAAATTAATTTAAACTTAAATGATTCATTAAAATGGCTCATTTTTCTTGTGTGTACATTATCCATCAGCGATATTGTCGAAATTGATGCAACATAATTTTTAATGTATACCTAAAAACCAGCTTTTGGGTAGTTTCATTCTCTGTACATACACTATGTTCAATGACAAGACTGAAAGTCTATATCTACTTCATTGTTTTTATCATTCCTGCTTTCATTTGCATAACTGCATTACACCATAACCAGAAGTCCAGATTCACAAACATAACACTTTACTCAAGCTATCAAGGGAACAGATTGCGCATAAGTGAGGATAATTTTTTCCTACCTCTCACTACCCCCTTTTGAGGTGGCAGAAAAAAAAGAAAAAAAAAATGTCCCCCTTCCTATATTCTAATATTTCCATATTTATTATTTATTTGTAATGCAAGATTGTATAAAGCATGGTTTATATTTCCCTTTTCCTGACACACAGGTGACAATTGAAGATGAAATCTGAAGTTGAAGACCCCCTTTTTTGCTCAACCCCCTTTTTTGCTCAACCCCCTCTTCCCCTACTTTGAAATTTAAAAAGAACAGAAATTTATGACCATGATAACATTTACATCAGAGATCCAACTCACATTGTATAGTACATCCACCTCTCATCATCAAAATCAATGTAAGAAGACGCGTCCACGAACCACCACAAGAACGTCTGCAGGTGCGAGTGGAACTCCTTGAATCCAGGGGTCATGACGTTGCACTTGTAGATCTCAAAGTGTCTCGTGGCACCGTGGGCTTCGTCTGTGTTGGAGTAGGAGTGGAGGAGGTCCCCCATCGGTTGGAAGCCGACGTCTTCGTCCAGGCTGGCGACAAACCGGTCGAGGTTGTCCATGGGTGTGATCTCCAGCTTCTCCACGATGGGCTTGAGAATGGGGTCCGCCTGGTGGAAGCATGAGAGGAAAAGAATCCACAAATATATATGTGAAACTTATTTCAATTATTTGTGAACATACTATCAATTAAAGATTACTTTCTATCTTTCTAAATAGTACTGGTGATAGTTGTCCAAATCAGAATTACGTTTAACAATTTGAAGAAGAAAAAAATAATGCCCTAATGGTTAAAGTTAAGAGACATTCAACCTTAAACTGTTCAGAATCACTGTGCCCTTGGGCAAGGCACATCTACATTTGCCACTCTTCACCCAAGAGAGAATGGAAACATGTTAAGTACAAGAGCTGTGAGAATTACGACAAGTCATTATGATTGTATATTTGCTAATTCCCTGCATGAAGTTAATGGAACACATCATGATTCTACTCCAAAGGGATTAAGGTGATGCACAGAATGAGTATGGGCTTGAAATTTCTGAAGTACAAACTAAAAGGTCCTGCAAATATCACAGTGACTCCAAATAAGGCAGTGGCTATAAGATGTGCACAATATAAATCCATATGAATCCCCACTGCCAAACATTTCAAATGCTCTCTGCCTCTCTCAGTTTTCAGAGACAACAACTTGTTGACAGCCATAACATGTAGTACCTATGATCTGAATAGTACATTTATAATTTGTTCTCAACTCAACATGTAACCAATTCAATAAGCCCAACACACAATTTGTCTCAACACACATGATTTTCCAAATATTGCATTAGATATGGTAATTTAAACAAAGGCAATCATCCTGACTCAAGTTCTAACTAATGATATGATCATTAAAAACAAATTTTGTTGCAATGAAGGCCTTATAGATGTCATGAAGACCACATTTGCTTTAAACTGTAGACAAGCATACAAATGGTCTAATGTCTCAACGATTCAGGGCTGATTTGGATTTTCCTCCTACAAGAAGACTTGCAATAGTCCTAGACTATTATTCTCAATATTGATGACTATTCAAAATATCAATCATGATGAATTTCAGGTTTTACGTTCATCTTTAAAGCTGTCGCAAATTCTTCCGAAATCGGATCACAGTCAAATTGTGTGTTGTCACTGTAGTGGGCTTATACTCACTTGTACTCCATCAAACTTCTTTGGATTGACCTTCTCCTCAAATGTGTATGTTAGGTAAGGTGTAAGCCTGGCTGCTGAAAAGTACAGCTGCACTTTCAGACCTCTGTATCCAAATACCGTTTCACTACAAATCACAGAAATGTGGGATGTATTATTAAGTTATATCATACCAGCAACTAAGTGGGCCATAAAGAAAAGACACAGTATTCATGGAAAATATGATATGAAAAATATAAGTTAAACACATTTCAACAATGACCATGGGTATGAAGGGAAGATGTATGCGTCTCACAGAAATAAACACTTCATATTAGTGACTTGAGAACAAGAATGTTCAAAAACTAAAAACCAAGTTTATGGGGATGTATTCTCCTTCCAACATGCCAATCATCAAACTGAGTTTTTAAAATATCATTACTATTCAACTCTTACACCTTTAAACAAACCTACAATTCTTTCTGTTTCATCATTAGCCTACTAGAATGAAACGTTGTTTCACGCTTCAAAACCTGATGAAATCTACAATTCCCACAATTTTAGAAGAATATCCTACCAGACTTAAAATGACTACACATAACTGAAAACTTACTTTTCACCAAAGATCTGATGTGTGAATTCAGGAGCAAAGGACCTGGTAGAATCTTCAATGTCCTCCTTAGAACGGACTAAATCCAAGTTTTTTTTAATGGAAAGATCATAGAAAAGATGAGAACGGTTCATATTCAATGAATGAATGAAGGAAATGCATGATAAGAAAGACTGAATTTTTTTATTTAATATTCTTTCTATATTTTCAATTTTAACTTGAATGGGAACAAAAATAATTTATACATTTTGATCAAATTTTTGAAATTGTTATTACAAAAATAAAAAATAAAAAATGATTTAAAAAAAACATCAAAAATCACAACAAAATATTTATTTAAAAAAAAACAATAATAAAAAAATAAAAAAATTGGGACAACATGAATACACTACTGGTAACTGCTCCATAAGGAGGGCAACTTACTTACCTAGTTTCATTTCTATGACATCATTAGCTCTAGAAATAAACTCCTCCAGGGCACTCCTCATGCTATCCATGTTGTTAGCTACAGCACCTGAAAGCAGAAACAGAACTTTTTTTTTTCATGGAAAAGTTCAAAGACTGTACACCCCATGTTATTGAAGTCTTTGGTAAGTCTACCTGTTAAATGATACTCTCTTTCAAGTTATGATACAATTTAAGTGAAATTTTGCCATCAAATTTTAGGGGCTCCCAACACTTTAGAGGGGCTTTAACATCACTGTTTGTCGATAAGGTCGTTTCTTCAGTGATTTTCAAGAGTTTGAGATCACACAAGAGCAGGACTCTCCTTCGGCCCATGCCGCTTCCGTTGCTGTTACATTTGTAGGTACCCTTTTTTCCCCTTACTTCCAATCAACTTTCCATTAAGTGGGAGGGCAATGTTTCCTGCAGGTTTTTAATTTTATGCATTGGACAGTAAACAAGCCTCAACATCAACTGAGAATGAGGTCGACGTCGATTGAGGATTGATGGGATTCTTCCACATATCAGTAGGGGTGCTGGTCCGAGAATGAGGATTGTCCGCATAAATGAGGATATCAATGTAAACGCAAACAAATTGTGTCCTTAAAAAAAAAGGATCGCCCGCATTTTTCAGACGTTTTTTTCTTGGGCGCTCTGCGGGTTTCGGTTCCCAATCCAGGCGCTGGAAATGCAACAAAAAGGATTCCGCGTAATAAATTTTGTGGGTTGTCCGCGTCTTCCCGAGAATTAATTGCTCATAACATTAAAGTCTCTGTACAAAGTCAATGTGAAATGCATCAGGAAAATCATCGCAGAATCCGTTTTTTTGCATTGCCAACATGCAGATCGTAAATTAAGAATCGTCCACGAAATTGCGGACGCTTTTCTGCAGACAATCCTCGTTTATGCGAACGATCCTTATTCTCCGACCAGCGCCCCTACTGCATATAGATCTAGACCTAGTCTAGTCTAGACTTACAAATAGGCCTAGATCTAGACCTAATTCAGTAGACTCTAGGCCTAATTGACAATTGTTTCACATGATTTATACAATCGAAGGATTTGATTTTGATCTAGACTAGGGGGTCTAGGTCTATTTGACTGGTCTAGCTAAATCTTAAAAAGTAACTGTTGCAACATCAAGTCCCCTAGAGTCTAGGCCCAGTGCAATAGACATTACACCGACTCATGAACATATTCAGTATCATATTCATTGGCTTGCCATTACCATCATGACATTGGCATTGCATCAATCATTATCATCCGACTTCCATTCCACTGCACTGCACTGCCACAGTGCACAGGCAGTGCAGTCAGCAGTCTGCACTGTCAAAATAAAACAGACTCAACAAAGAATAGCCTAGATCTAGACCTACATTAGAAGAATGTGGATATTTGACAAGGACATACTGAGTGTGCTCATAATACATTGGTATAACATTTCAATTTATTCAATGGGGAAGGTGATACGTTTTATTCGCTATCAAGTTTTATGATGAATGAAAAAACTTACCCGCCATCTTGATTTCGCGCGAGACAACTCGAAATTCATGACCCCGGATGTGATTTGCTCATATAACTTCCGTCTGCATGGAGGAGGTTACCACCAGGTCAGTCAATGTTTTCCAGCTCCGATAATAATTTCTGAAAAATGCAATCTTGCCAATAATTTTTTGATTGACGAGCCATATTAGAAATTTTGCACATTAACTGTATCATCTCACCATCATTATATCATCTTGTTTTCTGTATTACAGTGACTTCTGCCGCTACCCATCGATTTCATGAGCTGCTTGCTTCCCGCGGGGTCAGCTATCACGCACCGAGGAAGTGACAGCAACCCCTTGAACTTCGGGTGCTAGCTGAATCCAAAACGAGAGTCGAGACGCCGTCTGGCAGCTAGTGCAGCGCAGGTTCAGAGAATCTGGCACCCGACTCAGCAGTAATAAAGATTGGTCTCAGGCTCAGCTCATTTCTTTATAATATAGTAATTATTTCTGTTCTATAATCTATAGTATAAGAAGTCTTTATTCAATTAAAATCTAGCTCTAGTAGGAAGTCTCGGCCTACAAAAAAGGGGTGACCAAAGTTCGCGGACATTTTAGAACATAGTCTAGAGGGTCTAGACTAGTCTAGACCTATTACAAAATGTGATTTTTGATCTATGATTTCTCATATTCTACACAGATCTATTTAGATTTATTTCAATTATTACCAAATAAACACAATAGTTTTTTAGTACAGATTGGTTCAACTAGAAAATTTATCGTCGAAATCGCGATCTAAAGATTTGATGTCCGATTGTGCGTCCGCATGCGCGCTGCATCTAAAAAAGTTATAAAAACACCGAGACCTAACTTCACGCACAGGGGTTTACAGTTGATTTATCCTAAAAAGCAATCTATCAAAATAAGGTATTATCATAATTTACAAGGAAAGATATCATACAATCATTTGGTAGGGCCTACAACATTTTACTTACAATTATGAGGAAATCTGCTCTCAAAATTGAAGATTTTCAGACCCTTATCGGTAAGTTGATAATTTTTCGGAACGGACGCAAATGATTGCAAAATTTGCCGATCTTTCGTCAATATTTTCACAATTTTGTACCCAATTCCAAAGAAAATTTCTTCTCTGTGTAATTTTATGTGCCTCTTTCCATTGGTGATATCAGATTTTCGAAATCTTACTGATTTTTTGAGAAAGCGAACTTTGGTCACACCACCATACAATTGAAGTACAAGGCTACCATAAAAAAAATCAAGCCAAGGTTAACAATTCTTTTTATTTGTGACATAATGATTAATTAGGTCATTATATTACTACTACCATGACTACTAGTAATAGTCTTGGACTTCTTGAAAATGTTAATCTTGATCTTGAAGTAGACTAGATGATAGATCTTGTCAACTTCAACTTGTTTTTGTTATATTTTAAAAATGCTGTGTTTATTCATTTTGTGGTGTCCTACTTTGTCAAATGCCTTGCTGAAATTCTGCATTACTAGCTTATAGACCAGATAAGTACATGCTCTATTCTGATTCTGCCATTAGGATGAGCACAGCCACTCGTTTGGTGCAACCAAAAAACAAACAATATTTTACCAAACATATTCCTATTTAGAACAATTTCAAATATGAATAATGAAGATTTTTGAGTTGTAAATCTACTAAAACTGTATGTCACGTTGTCTTTTCCTTTCTTTAATATTTAGGTTGGATACAGCAGCCTACAATATGTTCTTCAAGACAGCCTCGTGTGAATCTGCATCGTCTGCAACACGTCGGGTAAGGCAACAGATTTAATCATCCACCATCTCTTATCTGGGATCAATCACTATTTTTTTTTAAATTGTGTTTAGTTTTTAGTGAATTAAGATTACGCTCAAAATAAATGGAAAGCATTTTTTGTAAGACAAGTTGATGCATTTCATTCGTTATGACAGGCACAGGAGTTCCAAACTCTGAGCTAAATTCTGTGTTGTTCATGCTCAGTCTTAGCTGTAAAATATTAAAATGCATCTTATGTTGTTTACATCTATAGGGTGATGATTTACATGTATGTGTGATAATGGACGGTATACAAATCAGTTGGGGTGATCTGTTCCCTGAATTCTCATTCTTGCCTCAATCATTTCAACATCAATTTCTTGGATTTTATGACTATGTTCTGTCCTGTAACACTTTGAAATGTCCCAGTATCGTTAACAAAGGTCTCTTAAAATGTTAAAATCATGGTCTCAGATTTTAGTATTTGGTTCAAACTCATCTTTGTTATCCCCATTAGCAACAAGTGACGATTGATACATTACCAAAGATTTGAGTATGCCTGAAGATTTTAGTAAGTTCTTAAAGCTGCTTGAGCTTAAATCATACCAACTATTAAAATAATTTCAGTGTTCATGGATATCCCTCATCCATTACACTCTCTAACATATTTGACACAAGATGAACAACTGTTTTGGACTAATCCATTTTACTTTTCCTTTTTCATAGGCACTTCACCTTGTGAAGAGAGCAGATCCGGTCCAGCTCCGTAATGTTTTCAGCAAAGTGAGTATATTATAATGTACACAAGTATTCAAACAATTATACGTTTTGTCATAGGGCTGATAATGATATGATATATCTAGTGTTGTATTAACTCCAGTTATCTTCATGGAGTGTTATTATTAGTATTAAATACTAAGTGTTTGGTTACATTTGCGCCTGGGAGGGGAAGAGTGATTTTAATTACAGTGACCCTTAAGTCTCTCCTCCCTTGTGTCACAGTCGTGTGGTGTAAACATAAAAGTTAATGTATAAAGATCTTGGGGTTGGTCCCAAGCATAGCACTTATATCCTTTAGTAAAGATTGTGACTACCTTAACACAGAGACCCACATACTTTGTCTTATCACAGAGTTGCAATTTATACTTTCTATTTCTCCATATATTTTCTTTCAGAATGCAAGCATTGAGCAGGGTGGGGAGCGTTTCATGACCCCTGAAGATTTCATCAGAGGGTACCTCAACATGCAGCCTGAGAGGAATTACAACCCGGATACTCTCAAGCTACTAGCTGGTGTCGCTGATCAAACAAAAGATGGGTCAGTCATAGATTCTTCTTAGAACCTCCAGTATTTCTAAATTTACAAGCAGTTCTGAAAAAATTCATTCCCACGTGTTGCGTTATGATTTTCAGTCTTTCAGTTTTTTTATTTGCAATGTGATGTAGGATGTTAAATACATTTTGTTTAGAATAACGTTTTAAATGCAATGCGCATTTACTACTTTTTACTATCAACATTTCTGATAAAGAATGAGATAAAATATATTTTGTAGAGGGGAGGGGGCCTGGGCCCCCTGGATCCGGATAACCCCGGCTGGAGTCTACGGAATATGCGTGTTAAACCAAAAAAGAATTGCATGCAACGGGGCGATAGGATAATGTGTGATGCAAGTGTATTTCCAATGCAGCAAATATGTGCATGTTTTGACACCCTGCATTTTAACAGTTCTTGTATTTCCGTTTTAACTTGCTGATTCCGTTTAATTAGGAGATGCTAATATAATCTTTGCTTTATATCCTTGATGCTGCAGGTATATATCGTTCATTGAGTTCCAGGCCTTTGAAGCAATGCTCTGTTCTCCTGATGCCACTCATATGGTAGCTTTTCAGCTCTTTGATACCAATGGCTCAGGATTTGTCTCTTTCAGTAAGTCCTACACGGTTCATTACAATCAGTACAAAGTAAAATTTGAACAAAGGATGGAATCAGATTGTTGTCTGGCTCCCAATATACTGTTATTGTGCATAAGCGCATCCCTCCACTCTGTTTGTGATGCATTTTCGGGTTCAGGGGAGAACACTCTGTTCCTCGAATGAAACATAAACTGGAGGCCCTGCATGTACGAGAGTCACACCCCATGTACATTAATACACTACACTTCTTGCAAAAAGGGTGTAAACTTGGTGTCAAGTGTGCCTGTAATTCACACTGGGTAAACTACATAAAGATCTTTGGGATAGGCTGCATAGAACTTTAAAAATTACAGGAAGTAGAAGAGAAGAGAAAAGCATGACTGAATGAAATAAATAAATGAGTGAAACAACAGCTACTGTTTGTCATATTTCCATTTGTTATGGTGTAATATAGAAGGGAATGTTTTTCAATTGTGGTTAACATAAAATATGGTGGTGGTTAATAATCTGAAGTTCAGGAAATGTAGATACATTTTAACAGAAATTCTCTCCCCCCCCCCCCCCCCCCACCATATAATTAACCCTATTCTAGGTTTGAGAAATTGTTAGTAGGGAAAGGGAAATTTATTTTTGTATCTTATAATTCTGTATACTCTTCCAGATGAATTCAAGCAAGTTTTCAGCCTTACAGAAGTGTACCAGAGAATCCCATTCAACTTTGACTCCACTTTCATCAAACTACATTTCGGAACGGAAAAGAAAAAAGAGCTCAGCTTTGTGGAATTCACACAGTTTCTACATGTAAGGCAAAATCCTGTTGAAAATATATAAATATATTTAGTTTTCAATATGATTTTAGATAGTAATCTATCGTAAAGTTTATTCTGTAATTTAATGCATTGTTGCATTTTATACATGCTATCATATTGCTGAGAATTTAAAGCAGAAAATCAGCTAAAGTCATTCTAAGAAATGTGTAATTATTTCTGTTTATATATGTTATTATTAACTTAGATGTAATTATACAGGATTAGAAATTCATCTGTAGGATTGTTTTACATCTTGATCTTCATAGATATTATTTGACAATGCCAATATAATATGTGCTCAAATAATTACTTCAGTCTAATCTCGATTTTATTGTATAATTACATTGATAATGAGATTGCAATCAAGGTCATACCACATTATGCTTAACAAAATTATGTAAGAATCGTAATACAATTTTGATTAATTTCTCTGTTTTAAATTTTATCAAAATTTGAATTATGTTAGAATTAAAAATAATTTGGATGAAATTTCAAAGTTATGAATATGATATTTTTATTTACGGTGATATTGAAAAGTGGGTTGTTATTACGAATGTTACTTGGACCTCTATGCAAATTTCTTTTTTACAGAACTTGCAAGAGGAGCATGCAAAACAAGCCTTTGTCAAAATGGACAAGAACAACGTAGGCATGATTTCTGCATTAGACTTCAACAAGATCATGTCCACCGTGTTGGGTCACATGCTGACTGACTATGTCCAAGACAACCTGGTCACAGTAAGTATATAGATTCTCAACTATTTCTCTTAAGTTCAACTGAAGGACAATTTTCTGAATAGTGTGTACCGATATTGTATGTACATGTATTTTATAATCATTTTCAATACGTTGTTACGCTCTTTGTAAAATGATATATTGCGGAAACCAATAAACTTTTTATCTATAATTCAGTGAAATATAACATTTTCCCAAATTCTTTTTTTTTACAACCAGAATTGCCCTAGTAAATTTCAATGATCATAATATGGTATAGTGTTAATTATAACTTTGTGTCAGGGTTATTAGTGGATATAGCTGTAATCTGCACATCATGTATACCAATCACCAAAAAATAGTTTGCTCTGTATGTAAGCGGCTCCACATTGCTATCCTATATTCAAGATATGGGTTCCAAATATTACTCCTATGAAGAGAAATTGCAAGTTTGAATACACTCTCAATTACAAAATGAAAGAGACATGTGAGTAGACCATTTGACGCACCCCCGAACGCTGGCACTGACAATCTCTCATATTTTATTTCATGTCCTCACAGCATATACATGTTTCAGACTTTGAAAAGGTTGGAAAAGGAATGTGGAATTTTGTTTTATGAAATTCTAAGAATCCTGTATTTACTGTGACTGTTGAGGTTTTGTGGTCTAGTGGATAAGTCGTTGGACTGTGAATCACAGGGTCCACGGTTCGAGTCCCGCCACACTGCACTAATGTCCTTTGGCAGGATATTAATCTACTTTTGCCACTCTTCACCCAGGTGTTAAATGGGTACCAGTAGGAAGGAATTCCTTGAATGCTGTGAGCGCCGAAATCGGCAGCCTAGCAGAGCCAGGGTAATAGTTGGAGAGCCTTGAATACCATGCATGGTGGATATGTACGCTATATGAATATCCAATATTGTTATTATTATTAATACCAGTATGTCACACTTCAAGGGTATAAAGGGTATTGTTATGAAATAACCTTTTTCATGACTCTTTCAAGGTGGCAGGAGGAGAGACCAAACATCTGGTCAGCTTCCCGTACTTCAACGCCTTCATCAGTCTTCTTAGGGACATGGAACTCATGCAGAAGATCTATGAACAGACCACCGGTGGCTCCCATACGCACCCTGTAACCAAGGGTAAGTAAGGTTACGACCTCAACCTTCAAAGGTCATGACCTCAAGAGACAAAGGTCACTGTAATCGGTAATGGGGTTTTCTCAAGGTTGTGGTGATCATGATCAACTTTGAACCAGGTTGCAGATCTTAGTGGCCAATACGCCTTTTAGGAACCAAGAAGACGGGGGTAGGGGAAAGGGTAGTATTTGGGAAGGTGCAGGGATCAATGAATAATGTTGAGGATGCCAAACAAGTTTCTGATATGACAGTAGGGGTGTGGGGAGGAGGGATAGGGATTGGGGAAGGGAGGAGTCAGTGATAGTTGAATAATGGCGAGGAAGCCATTCCAGTTGCTGAAACCATAGCAGTTATTGCAGTGCATTTTGTGGTGACACTGCAGTGTGTAGTAGATTGAGGAATGAAAATATTAAATATATCTATAATGGGATATACCGGAATTAATTATAGTAATGATAAAGTGAGAATTGTCAGGGTTATTCAGGCCTGCATAATAGTTTTTTTTTTTTTTTTAAACCTCCAGTGATGTCTACTCTTTACAGGAAAGGATGCAAAGCAAGTGAAAAGAGAATAAAAATGAATGTAATATACTATTCATGTCTAAGAATCATGTATTATCTTGAAATATTCTCTTCCTTTTTTTTTCTCTCCCTCCAGAGGAGTTTCTTCATGCAGCCCAGCAATATTCCCAGATCACCCCCATGGAGGTAGCTATTCTCTTTCACATATGCTGCCTAGAGGAATCAGTAGGGTGAGTCGAGCATCACACTGTCTTTGCCTCAAAACTCTCCTCTATCTATACCACAAAGTGAAAATACAGAATCTTATGGGATCATGATCACCCTCACACTAGATCAGTAGAATCAAACTTTAAGAATATGAAAATTCTGCTACTGTTGACAGCTGCAGGATACACCTTAAAACTTGTCTATGCTTTTCCATGTTCCCGATGGCTTTGGGTCCTGTGGTGAACATACTTTACAAATAATTGTCAATACTTGTCAACATCTAAAAAATGTTTTTCAATGTTACCCATTGACTAATGGACTGGTGTAAACAATACACATACCTTTACAATGGTGTTTTGATGTTACCTGATAGTTTTGGGATCTTTGCTGAAAATTACCTTACACATGCTTTTCAATGCTATCTGAAAGCTTTGAGACCTGTGCTAAACATGTTTTTAATACTCTCATCTTTGGTGTGCCCTTTTCTCCTTGGCTGAAGTGCATAATGATTTTCTTTGATGTTACCTGATGATTTTGGGACCTTTGCTGAACATACCTTACAAATGATTTTCAACCTTATCTTAAAGCTTTGGGACCTGTGCTAAACATCCCTTTGATACTCTCACCTGGCTTTGGTGTGTCTTCTTCTCCTTGTCTGAAGTGCATAGAGACATGGTTATGACACCTGCTGTAGAAATAGCCCTTTTACCACAAAAAAGGGGGTTAAGATTTCAAAGCACTGAATTATTTTGTAAGCTTCAGTTAAAATTTTAATACCATACCTCCAATTTGTATATGTGGATGGGGGGGGGGGGTGGAATTTTACATTACTCTTGCCACAAGACGTTGGTGCTGCAGCTGGTCTTTTTCTTACCCCTTATGATATTTCTGTGGCTATTCAATCAAACCTTCTAACAGAGTTTGACAGACCTGGAAGAGGATCAGATAAAAATTAGGAGGATAAGATAATAAAACAATGTTAGTTATATGGATGAATAAAGATAGTTATCGTTGAAAATCAGGGAATACACGAAATTAAGGTGAAATACATTACAGAAACTGAGTACGACAGAAATGTAATCTTATGATAATTATGTATGCTAATTATTTTTGTTGATTTTTGACAGAGAAGACCAAGAAAATAACAAGGAAGTAATGATCTCACTTGGGTTAGCAAATATATGGTGTAATAAAGTTTTTGTGATGTGTAATTATCTGTCCACTAAACTATGGCTAGTAGATTATCAATAGCATGGACTTTTTAACATTAACTTTGATTGAAAATATCTTAAATAGTTTTTATATTGAGTTTTTGTAGCTAATTGACAATGATACATTACAATTAATTTGTTTAGCGATATTTGGAAAATCTAAATAATTGAATGCTCCCCTATGTTTCAGTGGTAATAATATTGTAATTTCATGTTATTTTTATTGAAGTATTCAAAGAATATTTAAGCGTAAACGGTGAGTCTCGGTTATTATTGTGTATAATGAAATGAAGTTGGTGCTTATTTCATAACTAACCCATTTTTCTTCTGTATTTGTATCTGAAAATATAATAAACTTTCTCTCCTCTTTTCCACCAAATGACAGATACACATAAATAAAATTTAAGAAATTGTAAAGAATAAGAAGTATTTGACAAGTACTGAATTTTACATTTCATTTTTATTGGGAAGGGCTGTACTAGAATCATGAACCTAATAAGATTGTTGGCAGATTTACAATCGGTTATTAACAGTTTTGTGCAATATGCAAGCCAAGGCTCGTTTTCTTCTTTAATGTCTCCCACACACTCTCTTCCCTTGATCTGGCCACATTGGACAATTTTCATTCAAAATTGGCTTTCTTGTATTAAATTTGGGGCTCCTTATTATTCAGCTTGGTCTGGGAAGTAAAATCGTAGATGTCTTTTTATTTCCACCTTTTCCAGACACATCTCATGTGGTAATAAAAATATCTTAACAATTGGCTTGCTCAGGACTTATTTGATATTTATGATGTCTATTAATGCTTCATCAGTTTCAAACATTTCCCGTCAATTGTTTTGAATTCCTAAATGATCAGCTTGGTGAGGGATATACACTATAATGTGATGATTATATATTTTTAATCCTTTGTGGACATTTCTTGAAATATATCCTATCCAACAAAAATATGTATTATATCTTTAACTTCATCTAAATATGGAAGAATATCTCAATATGAGTTTTGACTAATGTTTCTGTCTGGTGTGATTATATGATGATTACATAACTACCTTTGTCCTAATGTCCTGTATGACATATGTGGAATTACCCTTTTTTTTGGGGGGGGGGGATTTCTAAACAATCACCTTGATCTATTTATTCCATATTTTTTACTGTCATTGTGGGATTTTTAGGTGTTTTTTTCTTCTAAACTAGCACCTGGTCACTATCTTAAAGGTATTACAAAGTTTTGGTATGGGGTCATGAATTTGGTTCAAATGAACATATTGGAAGCATATGCGATTCTACAACATTGTCGCGTTTGAAATTGAGTCTAAAGTTATGAAATTGTAAATAAACTCTTTGTGTTGTATAGCGCCCTCTCGAGGTCAAGATATCAATTAAGCTATAAAAAAATGTTTCTTGACTAAAATCGACCGATTTGCTATCCCCGTTTGGAAATTATATATCACAACTACATATTCCGAGATTTTCATGGTCGCAGCTACCATCGTACGGCCGTAGGCGCTATTTGAAATTTATCAAAATTTACCGGGAGCAACGGTAAATGTTTATATTCAATTTTTCTCGAAAGCAGAATTGTTTTAGGGGTTAAAATTTCTAGTGCTTATATTACACCCACAGGGGCATCCAAATATATCAAAATTGTAAAGAATCACTATCCACCCAATTTTCAAAATTTCCCAAAACTTTGTAATACCTTTAATTGCCCCTTTCACAAGGCAATATAACCTGGGCTTTTATCATACTGAACAGTAGTTATTAAAATATACTTGAGCGTTTGACCTAATAACGTGCGCACGTGCTGACATGTTCACATTTCTGAACCAGGGAGCAATTAAAGTTTCAATTGGTAATTTACATGAAAACTGGAGTACTTTTTATCTTGAATGCGTCTCCTCTCACATACACAACTCTTCCTATCTATGCATACAATAATTCTGAGAAGTTTGATGAGCAATACTGATCAGACCAGGATCTTTGCTGACCTTTCATGCAGTGTGTATGTTTGCTTTTTATACCCTTTGTATGCATAATGGATGTTACCAGTAATTCCCGAAGCCTAAAATAATTGTGTGTAGTCTTAAATGTATCACCCAGTTCTCATGTAAAATAACTTTTTTATGGAATCAACAAACAAGCGATTGATAGAGGGATGAAGACTCATGAAGGAAATAGCATTTTTTTCTTCTCCCTTTTATGAATGCAAGGGGGGGGGGTGATAACATTTTTGATTTGTTATTGGCAAACTTTAATTTTAGCACAAATCATTAAACTCGCTAATATTCTAACAAGTAATATTCTAAAGTACAGATTTGCTCGAGAGGGGCTTCAATGAATTAGGCACTACGATACATGGAATAAAAGCAGTGAAGAAGCCAGCACATGAAGACTATCTGGGCCCAAAACTTGTCACCAGTGACAAATGACAATTTTTGTTATAAGCTAGTGAAATCCTTGCTTCTGATTGGTTATCAGCAGATTTGTCACTGATTTTTGTCATTTTTCATTGAAAAAAAGGCTTTGTGAAACAGTTCCCAGGTGTAAGATACCATAAAAACATTTTTAGTTATTTTTGTGTGCATGAATTTGTGTTACAGACGAGTCACGTTTGATGATCTAGTGAAGATTACGCCACCGACCGATGTCATCAATAAACTCCAGGTGTCCCAACCCAAGGAGAAGGTGGAGCGCACTGCCATGTTAACCATCTTTGAGTCTGCCTACAGATTCGGCTTGGGTGCTGTGGCAGGAGGTAGGTGATAGTTACAGGCATTTTCAAGACAAACCTGAGGGTGTTTCACAAAGACTAAGATAAACTTTAAGTTGGACTTAACTATGGTAGGCCGTTCATTCCACTGGTTGCTTTTACTATTGGTCTCTCAATTATGATCTTTAGATAATATTTTGTCCTTCAATAATGAACTATCAAAAAATGTAGATTAGTGACCACGATTTATATGTCCCTTGATAAACCAATGCCAGGAATGGTTAAAGGAACTAGAGGCATGAATGGCCTGCTATAGTTAAGTCCAACTCAAGTCGATCTTAGTCTTTGTGAAACAGGCCCCAGATATTCAAACCGTAGATGCTGTTTTGATTTGTACAGAACTTACTCAACATTTTCAAGTGAAAATGAATTAAATCAGTTGAGCATGAATCGATCTTAAACCCCGTTCTTGGGAGGGCGATGGGTCATTTCATTTTAAATCCCTCACCCTATTTAATATCCTTCTTAAATCTTAAACAATATAAAATATTGAACACAGATATGGATATATGAACTACAAAACACAGGCCATCAAAGTCAGTTCCACAAAGATTTCATCTATTGCTAGTCATAGATGAATACAATAACATTTTCAGACCAAATTGTTCATCTGACATTGATATCATAATGCTCTGCCACATGCGGAGAAAGAAAAAGAAGGAAAATTCTCCACAAAAAGAAAATTAATTAAAGAAAAGTCTATCAGTGTGTAATTTATGTAAAGTCAATTTGTAATGATTTGTTGTAATTTTAATGATTTCAAAACCTTTCAATATGAAATTATTCCAGCTACGGGAGCCACAGCAGTCTATCCCATCGACCTGGTCAAGACTAGAATGCAGAACCAGAGGAGCGGTCAGATGGTGGGTGAACTCATGTACAAGAACAGCTTTGACTGCTTCAAGAAGGTCATCAGGCACGAAGGGGTCTTTGGTCTATACAGAGGTGAGGGCTTACAGATCAGGGGTCAAGTGCGGTGTTATAATAATAATAATAATAGCTAGTTCTTATATAGCGCTTTTCAGGACCGAAGGCCCTCTCAAAGCGCTTTACAGATATATATATTATTACCCTGGTCATAGGATTCAGGCTTACCCGCACACAATGTATTCAGGGGGGTGTTTCACAAAGACTAGTTGGACTCAACTATGGCAGGCTGTTCATGCCACTGTTTGCTCTCACCATTATGATCTTTAGATAATATAATTTCCTTCAAATAATGAATTATCCACAAATGAAAATTCTGTAGATTTGTGACCATGGATTTGTACGTCCTTGAGAGACCAATGCCAGTAAATTGTGAGAAAAAATAGTGCCATGAACGGCCTGCCATAGTTAAGTTAAACTTAAAGTCGATCTTAGTCTTTGTGAAACACTCCCCTGGTTTCAGGAATCCATATCGTTCCTGTTTTCAAAAAGTGACGGTACGGAGGAAAATCTGCATGCAAAGTGTATGTGATTTTCATTCACTACCGTCACTTCGTGAAAATAGGGACGATATGTCACTGACAGATCTTCATTGATACTTCATGCTGTGTATACATTATTTGACTTAACAGATTACATTGAAAATGTGTCGTTGGTTAAGGGTAAATGATTTCTGGGTCACCACAATCTTTATTACCTATTAGGTTTGCAGGCATTTGCCAGTCATCACCAGATGTCTTTAAAACCTTATGTCCAATGTCTTGTGTGTGAAAGAGCCAAATCAAACCATCAGTTTTTAACCTTATCCGTTTAGACGAAGTGGTACGGCCAGTCCACAAATTGATTTATGAGATACTGAACTGTCACTTGCTGGGCTTGGAAAAACAATGAACAAACGTAAAGGGGAAGCTTGACAGATGACGCGTGTCATATTAAATAGTTCATAAAACCATCTCTGAAGGCTCTAATGAGCTATTTTTTTTTCCAAACATGTTTTAATATTACTCTTTACAGGATAATGAGACTTAAAGGGCTGAGTTTTATTCTCCTTTAATAGAATAGACACTTTCAATTTTTCATACCACTTATTCATTTTCATTATTCTTGCAAACTATTATAATTTTGTTCAAAGTACAAATTTCAATGTTGTTGAAAAAAAAACATTTCATAGTTGCAGTCTGAGCATGAGCAGATAAAGGTCATTGCAGACCAACTTGTGAAATACACAGAGACAAAATTCTGGATACGTGCTCATGAAAGTTATGTAATCATTATTCATTTATGCACAAGCAGTGCACTCCATGATACAAAGCTGGAAATTTTCTTTGAAAAGGGGAAACTAAGGCTATTTATGTAGCACCTCCATCATGTTTTGAAGATCTGTGGATATTTGGGGTCATTTGGGACATGTACTAATCGTGATGTGGTCTATTGCAGGTCTTCCACCTCAGCTGATTGGAGTAGCACCTGAGAAAGCTATCAAGCTAACCATGAATGACTTTATGAGGGACAAAGTCAGGAGAAAGGATGGCACGTTTCCAGTCTGGGGAGAGATGCTTGCAGGAGGATGTGTACGTATTACTACATCAATAAATATTACATTTTTTTACATACAAAATATTCTCAGGTCAGTCTTGCTACACTGTGAGTCATGGGTTCAGATGTATGAACTCTATTCTATCAGTACCTGTTTGCTGAATATTATATATGGATATTTAATTCTTATTCTGTCTTTCTCTTTATCCTCTCTGACCTTTCTATCTATGATTTACCCCACAGTTTTTATTTTTCCTTTTTTTTTTGGGGGGGGGGTTTTCCTGTGTGTGCTCAGAAATATCTTTTGAATATTTTGTTTACACTTCGTTTTTCTTATGCCAATTTTTTTTTCTCTCAATTATCTTGAAATTGTTAAAATCAGAAAGCAGGTTCATTTTATAGTTGCTGAGATTCAGACTATTCATAGAGCATTTTGCTGATATATTTTATGTTAACCTTTGACATTTGATGGGCTGGTGAGTCACAGCTGATGTTCAACAACTGTTAGAACTTGTTAAGTTCAGACTAGACCCAGAGTATATTTTTTTATAGTTTTATGTTTCCCTTTAAACTTTGACCTTTGACAGGCTGGTGGGTCACAGGTGATGTTCACCAACCCTTTAGAGATTGTCAAGATTAGACTGCAAGTAGCCGGTGAGATTCAGACAGGTCCCAGAGTATCTGCCATCACCGTTCTGAAAGATCTTGGTCTCTTTGGACTATATAAGGTAAGAAAGGCCAAAAGCATGTACCGGTACTGTATAGACACTACATATTTTTACATATTTTTTATGCACAATAAAAGCATATAATTTCAGTTTCGCTTTAAACAGAAATTATTTAAAGAAATGGTATTAAACTACCTCATAAACTATCTTGCAGAAATTAAAACCACTGACTTGTATTTGAATTGCAATGTTCACATGAGAAATCACTATTGCAGGGTTAATATTTTTTTGCAAAAACGACTGAATGGTTGGGGGGGGGGGGGAAGAGAGGGGGAGGGGAAAACAGAGCAATAGGAACATCTTCTGCACACTCCCCTTATTATTATTAAATAGCATTTCATTCATCAAATAAGACTGGTGACCCCTTAAACAATGCCAGTCATTATGCTGAGCCACTTGCATGCAACGTAAATTGACTATCTTTGTCTTGTTTTGATTTCTTGCGTGTCAGGGGTCGAAAGCCTGCTTCTTGCGTGACATCCCATTCTCAGCGATCTACTTCCCGACTTACGCTCACCTCAAGAAATACTCTGCCGACAAAGATGGTCACAACTCGCCTCTTTCCCTTCTCGTATCTGCTACAATCGCTGGTAAGATGTCTGTCGCTCTTATCGTGTCATATGTCATGATTTAGTTGCGGGAGTTTTACATTGTCTGCCTCCTTTTTCTTCAGTTTAGATAGCTATTAAGGGGTAATATTATATTTGTAAAGCGCTTAGAGACATTTGTATTAAGCGCTATATAAAAATTTAATATTATTTATTTATTTTGAGGGATACAGGTGACATGTTCCCACATTCTCACATATTACAAAAGTCAGGAACACATCATTTTGAATGTTGCCGTCCACCCTCCCACCAACTCAAATATATCACCTTCCATTTCTGTAATTTAATGATTAGCTATAACTAAAAAGTATAAATAAATAAATAAAAAGTGTCTATTTAAAAACAAACGTTGAGTACATGTCTACATAAAACTTGTTTGTTGTTGTATGTTGGCAAACTTTAATTTATCCATAGTGTATAAAGCATCTCTGTGGTCGGAGTCCATCTTGCAAACATCAGTTGTTTTTTCAGGAAAGCTAGAGCAACTATGCTGCAAAGATATGAATTCAATTTGATAACATTAGTCTACTTGTCTTTTAAAATATGATGCAAAGTGATGTTAAAGGGATCCGGTAACTTTGTCTCAGATCAAAATCCTGGATTTAGCTCATGCTGCAATGATAATTATAAACCTTTAGGTCAGTCAGGAACCTCATGACTTTTACAAGCCGATTGCCTCTCTGAATATCAAGATATTTATGATTCGAAATCGAAACCAAATTTCGCGTTCACCTAACAGTTTTCATGACACTACAGTCTATTGGGGAAAACTAGTATTGTAAAAATTGGTCACTCAAAGACTTTTACTTTTTTAAGGCACTTCTTGATCATTTTGAAGCATGATTTTTTTTTAGGGCTTCAATATTGCACCATATCATAGACACTGATAACACATAGGGCTATGCATCTTAACATTTAACATTGTTAAACGATGCCTTTAAGAAATGTCTAGAAACTCAAATTCGACATGTTTTGTTTGATCAGGTGCACCTGCTGCGTACTCTGTCACACCCGCCGATGTGATCAAGACAAGACTACAGGTGGAAGCAAGACGAGGTCAGACCACGTACAACGGAGTGATAGATTGTGCTAGGAAGATCTACAAACAAGAGGGTTTCAATGCATTCTGGAAAGGAGGACCCGGTAAGGATATTTTATTTTTATTATTATGTATTTGGCGTCACCTGAGCCTGGGAGGTTGAAAGGGAACTGAATCACTGCAACTCCTGGATCTCTCCTCCCAAAATAAATAATTGGGGGTGTGCAGGTAGTCCACTAAACCGGGGTTTCCCCTACTCTTATACAAATAGGGCAGTGGGTTCTTAACGTGCAAAGGTGGTGACTCTCCTGTACACGGGGCCTCCATTTAACGTCCTGAGTTGAATGTGGGTGACCTGAATTTAACCAAATTTGATATGAAGGTACATGGTATCAAAACACAGCCTAAGTTCAATTTCTGAGTATGTAGGTCAAAGGTCATAGCTCATTAAATATACGAATCTGGTTTCCGATCCATAACTTTGGTATTGATTGACGGATTTTAATGAAATTTGATATGAAGGTTCATGGTATCAAAACACAGCCTAAGTTCGATATCGGAGTATGTAGGTCAAAGGTCATAGCTCATTTAATATACGAATCTGGTTTCCGATCCATAACTTTAGTATTGATTGACGGATTTTAATGAAATTTGATATGAAGGTACATTGTATCAAAACACAGCCTAAGTTCGATATCGGAGTATGTAGGTCAAAGGTCATAGCTCATTAAATATGCGAATCTGGTTTCATAACCAATTCATAACCTGGAAATGTGATTTGATCTCTTCTCTTTCCAGCACGTATCTTCCGATCATCACCTCAGTTTGGTGTTACCCTGGTAACATATGAGCTCCTACAGAGAGCTTTGCCATTAGACTTTGGAGGAAGGTAAGCAGTCATGTCTTTCTTTTCCTTTTTTTAAATTTTTATTTATTTATTCTTTATATCCAGAAGAGGTGATTTTTTAATATTGGGATACAATCTATTGTTTTCATCGCAAATTGTAAACAAGAAAGGATCACATTTAGTCACAGTAGCAATTGATTGTGCAAAATAGTAAGAGAGGGTTTTGTATTTATCATATATATTTTTTATTTTGTAACTATTTTCTTCCTAGAAAGACACATTTTATAGTTCCTCTATCCTGTTTTATAGTTCTATCTGTAATATATTGAACACATTAAATCAATCTACAAAAGAAAGTATATATATATTGATATCTTATTATATAATTCCTCTATGCTACTTTATAATTCTACCTGTAATATATTGAACACTTTTATCCTTAAACTGCCCTCATTGTTTGTTTATTCTCTGTAGCCGACCGGAGGGATCCCAAGTGAAGCTATCCCATCATCCTGCTGACCTACCTCCAGTCAACCCAGATCATATCGGTGGCATGCAACTAGCTGTGGCTACCTTCTCCGGTGTGGAGACAAAGTTTGGTCTCTTCCTACCAAAATTCAGAAACCTGCAGCCGCAAGCGACCTAATCCTACTAGTATGAGTAATGTTTTTTTTAATTTAAACCCAGCTTAGAGCTGCTTATATTCTACTTTTCAAAAAAGTATAGTTTATACGTGTATATGATAAGAGGCAAGTTGGTTTTCTTTCACTTAGAAGGCATGAACGTTGAATGTTCCAGTGCGTGTTGTACGAGAATAGAGTATATACTATATATTGAATTGATCTTTTATATACAGTACACCTTAAAAAGGGGTTTATACGAGCTGAGAGCTATTAAAGGCGACAAACACATGATATGAGGTCATAATGAATCAAGTCTAGTCACATAAACACATGGTGTTATAGCGGTCTTTGAGAAGGTTCATCACAAATGAATTTGACTGTAACTTATGGATAAACTGATGGAATATACACTATATATTGGCCTTTTATATACAGTACACCTTCAAAAGGGGTTTATACAAGCTGATAACTAAGGAGACGATGACATGGGTCATGTGTTTTGATATGAGGTCATAATGAATCAAATCTAGTCACATAACAACATGGTGTTATAGTGGTCTTTGACAAGATTCTTCACAAATGAATTTGACTGTAACCTATGGAGAAACTGATAGAACATATACTATATATTAGTCTTTTATATACATTACACCTTAAAAAGGGGTTTATACGAGCCGAGAGGTAAGGATACAATGACATGGGTCATGTGTTTTGATACAAGGTCATAACAAATTGAATCTAGTAACATAAAAACATGGTGTTAAGGTGGTCTCTGACAAGATACTTCACAAATGAATCTGACTCCTACCTGTGCAGTGAAGTCAATTGAAGGACAAGTTGCTGATAAGCGCTGGGTTTGTGCACTACTGAAATCAAAAGAAACCTTGCTACTAATGAATCGTGGACAATACAGGGCTTTAAGTGACATTGATTGCATGTGATTGAAGTTATTCACTAGTCATTCATAATTAGTTTGTTGAAAGTATATGAAATAATGTCAAAATTTACATTGTTAATGTATGCAGTTTGTTAGTTGAGAAACAGTACAGCTATCTGTTTGTTTTTTAAGCACTATTGTACGATTTGAAAATTAGCAATTGAGACTTATCTTGATATGTTTGAGATTAACTACATGAAATTTCAGGGTTTTTTTTTTTTTTTCCGACAGTATTTAAGTGTAGGAAAGCCATGATAACTCACCAATGGCAGTACATAAAGTGTAATTTCTTTTAATTCATTTGAAGTTTGCCAATCTATGCAACTATATTGTGAATTAGAAATATGTTCTTGTGGTGTACATCTTGCCTTGTAAGGGTCAAGATCAAAATGAGTTTAATGATCGCCAATAATTTTAATTTTCTTTAATTTCTTAATGCGAATGGCTGTTGAGGTTATCTTGTGATATCATTTTATTATTTGCCAAAACCTTTTCTGTGATATTGATAGATTAATAGGCACATAAAGGTTAGATCATATAACCAGAATTGGACAACATCACGGAATGTAATTTGCAGTCTTAACCCTCGTCATGTATCTCCCCTTTTCCCTGACTTTTCTTTTTGGGTGGAGGATAGTCCTCTTCTCTACCTGTCATTTTATCATAATATCTAGTTTGATATTCTACTCTCTTTTATTTATTCTTTAAAGACATTAGAAGGCTCTTTCTCTCTCTCTCTCTCTCTCTTTCTGGATATGAATGATTTCACCCATGAATAGCAGAGATCAAATTGTATTTCGATTGAATTATTAACATTATTTTGTTGATGTGTATTATTTTATTTCCTTACAGATGTGAGATTTAACATGTACAATGCATCTTGATTTTTTAGAACGTAATTTTAAGCATATATTTGCCATCCTTTTAAATTAAGTTGAAATTTACTTAAAACAATTTGAGTTCTCTGTAGGCAGATCGTCACTTTGGAGCCAAAAGTGCATTGACCCTGTGAGAAGGTATATGGGTTAACGCCCTTCTGGCTCCATACAAACAAGATGATCTTTTATAGGGGTGACTATTAAACCAGATATGAATATACCATGCTACAATGGATGTAAAACTAAAGGCTAGATTACAGTTGCTAGTTCTAATACCACATTAAAGCATGACTTTTGTTTAATTGTAGATAGATGAAATTTCTTTATTTTTTGTTAATGCCTAGGTCACAGATGGGTTTGTCATGTTTACAAAATCTTCTTTAGTGATGTGAATTCTTGATTTTTGTATTGTGTGTGATTTACGAAAGCCCTTATGGTACTTTGTCCTCCTTGCATCCCATTGGTCCTGCACACAATTGGTCAAATGCTAACAAAACAAATGAAATGTTATATACTGTAAGGGGATAGACTTAGGTGACTGACATAAACCTAACCCTTGACCCTAAAACTATGCTTGTAGGACCGATGATGAAGATGACCAAATGATTTTCACTTATTACTCTTCTATATATGGCATGTGCTATCTCTTCATTATTTTATCTCTTTGGTTCCTCCAGTATCATAACAAATTTTGATGAATAATATGTGTTTCTTGGATACAATAGTCCCCCCCCCCCCCCTCCCTCCCTTTTAAGCTAAATTGCCAAACGATTTCTAAAGTTGCAGTAATATCATAATGTTACATGGTTAATTTATTACTTCAAAGAATAAAACCAGTGATAGCTATAGTAAAATACCTCGAAACTCAGTTGTTCCCATTGTGAGGGCTGGGCCTTCCACTGTAAGGTACAATATAAGATCAAACTGTATCATTAAAATGTATCAATTTGTTATTATTAAAACATCAGTTTACTTAAGGTATCTAGACTGCATATCACGAGCAGTGTGTTACTGGTTTGACTTGGGATGGATTCAATATGATTCAAATATGAAAACATTTGAAAATATTGAATTATGAAATGTATCTTGCTAGTACTTACCGATACTTTTTCTTTCTTGAATTTGAAGGTCTACAAAGTGGTTACATGCCCAATTTTGTTTCTGTTTCATTCTTTTTTTGACACAATGAATCAGTTGATTGGGTTATTATTGTAAAGAGCTGTTGTAAACAGATAGTGATTGTGTACTACTTCATGGGCATTTATATCAGACTTTTTTTCTTTTTTTAAAATATAGATATATATTGTGATTTGAGTGTTGAGGAAATGTTGTGGCCATGGAATGTCATGGAAGTGTGCTATGTTTACTGACTAGATCAATCAGAAGTTGGTTTCATGGCCTGTATAGTTGGCAAGGAAGATGGGTCGACTTCTTCAGAACCAAAAGTGCATTGACTTGTATCGTGTCATATCACTTCAAGTCTTTACAGAACAGTTTCCAGATATCTAGCTTGTATAATGTTACACAGTCAATACCGTTCTGACTCTTGAGACCTTATCATTGTGTGTTTTTTGTTTTTTTCCTGATGAAATGCTGTGCAGGCCTCATGAAGGGTTTTACAAAGACTTTGGGCTTCCTTAGGGTATGTGTTTAATGAACTGTTGACATTATGACAATTTTTTTTTAAATTTTCAACTTCATTAAGTTCTAGATTGTATTTTACCTGGTACGAGTAGTCAAGGATTTCTTCTTAATGTTGCAAAAACAGGGCCTTTTATGTTTTAGACAGGTGTGGTTTCCTCAGAAGCAGCTACATACAGTGTACTTAAAAGCTTCCCTACATTTAATATGTTGGTGCTCGTTTGTCAGGGTTTCTGTGACACAAAACTACTTGCCAAGAAAGGATAGTTCGCAAAGCCATCGCTCTAGAACAAATACTTGTTATTTTTTGCACCAGCATGTATCCTTAAACATGTGCATTAAGTACCCCTTTCTTACTAAAAAAACCCCTAGCTATTTGGGTGATGGATTTACAGGTAATTGGATTGCTTAGACCCTATAAACCATTGGTATTTATTTAACTCCTAGTCGGGTTCTCTTTGTGTGTGTTGTGACTATTGGTGTAGCATTCTTGACAGCTACATGCCCTCTTCGAGTCTAGTCTTCATTACCTATGATGTGGTGTGTAGCTAGACCTTTTTAACACTATTGTATTGTATCAATATATACAAACTTGGATTGTTTTATGAAAATATATCTAGATGATATTCGATTCTACTACAGCAAAGTTTCTATGATGACCGAGTGATGGAAAAAAGGAAAGGAATAAATTTGCTGCACAGTGCTGTGCTCTTTTTGTACAGACTTGAAAAAAAGCTTGTAAACCTCCATTTGTTTTGAGTATGAAGAGTGTATTTTGAAGTGTGTCATTATTTTATCTTTCTCTTTTTTGTTTTTGTTGGGGAGGGGGGGTCAAAATAATGTATGTATTTGGATACTAGGAGAAACAATATGTCGGTCATATTTGTGTGTAACACAGTCTAACCAATATATTGAATTTACTCATTAAATGCAGAGCTGTGAGCCATTTTAGAGCAAGCGTCATAAGCGTCTAGCCGAGGGAGATATCGGCACTAGACAAAAAAACTATCATCATCATCATCATCATCACCACCACCACCACCATCATCAATATCATGCTGTCATTATCAACATTGTCATCATCATCACCACCAGTTATCATCATCACCACTGTCATCATCTGACATCTTCATTATAATAATCACCATCATCATCAAATAACCATCCAATTAGTCCAATACAATCAAACATGCAACTTATTAATCTGTCATATTTTGCAAGTCGAATGTTGGTTTTTAGCCCTCTCCACAAGCCTTCAAAGGCAGACTACACAAGTCATTTTGAACTTTTGTGGTCATTAATTTATTTCATTATTAAAAGGATGTATTATATATAGTAAGAATTCAAAAAATATCTGCACACAAACACCCACAAAATCATCACACACATATGCATGAAGGTAAGCCACTTTGATTTTATTCCATCTCTTTCAAGTTCCAATCTTATACATCGTTACTGTCTTAGATGTTATATGTTTCAGTATACTTCATCAACTATAGAACATCATACGATGACTGGGAGAATTTTCTCCAATGTAAAATAATATGGGGGCGAAATCAATCATCTAAGAGAATACGTTTCAAGGATTACTATTTGTTAAAAGTGGATGAAATGGTACATAATATCTTCAATTCCAAAAGTGAGTTTTCTGATTACCGGTTTGTAGGTAGGGTTCTTCTTTTGAAATATATCTTTTGCATGAGTCCCAGACTCCAAATAGTTTGCTTATGGTGCTGACACAATTAGCCGATGAACTTTTTTTGGCAGATAAACATGCTTGAGGTAGTTGATTCAATGCTTGACCGAAAAATCAATTTGGTAGTAGGGTGGTCAACAAAGTGTTGCTATAAGCATGTAAAGGGTTATATCATAAGGGGGGTGATAACGTTTCATTGCTTTATACAGCGTAGCCATGAGATAAGGTATGACAATTTTACATGAAATATTAACTGACCAATAAGATATATGAGCCTGTTTACTAGGGGTGTAAGATTTTTTTTATGGGAGGTCCCTTCGCTGTAAGGTTTTCTGGAAAGGATATCAAATTTTTTTAATATCATTTGGAACCATTATCAGTGAATAATTTGAATTTGATAATTATATGATATAATAGTTTGGTATGATAAAGAATGAAAGTTGGTAAACATTGACTGGGATTTTCATAAAAGTATACTATTGACTTAGGGGTGACACACTACAATGTCATCATGCTACAAAAGATCTCAATTATGCTTAAATAATAAAGTTGATTACAAGTCGAAATTATTAAACATATAAATCATCTGTAAACCATAATTTATAATGATTACTTATTGGGAATAAGAAATGAAAGTACTTGTAGGTAATAAAATGTATATGTACATTTATTATAAGTTTGCTTTCTGATATAACAAATATGTACATTCATATTGTTAATAACAATATTCACATCACATTTTATCATTATTCAATTCCACTTTTCAGACTACTCCTCACACGTCTTGACACCTTCTTGAGTCAAAGTTTTGATATTGAAATATTTATTTGCAGATAAATAAGATAATCAGTCGGATTCAGTCCTGAAAATGTGATATACATGTACCGTTTACTCAACTAAGAATGGCATATGTTAATGTTGATTGAAATGGTGATACAGTTTATTTCTTTCGAAGTAGAGAAAATGTGTATACAATTAGCACTGATATTTTGTTTACAAGAGTATTTTGCCTTTTGTGACAAACACATAATTATGATGTGGCATTAAATTATCAATAATCACACTCTTTAACACTCTTGAGTTATTTCCATCCATCATGGCATAACATTTCTGAATTCATCTAAAGGAATTTATTGCTGCCATGACAAATCCATTTTTTTTCTTTTGTATTTACTGTAGCATAGTAGTACGGGAATTTACTTTTCATTAAAAAAAAATATGGATAACTTAACTTTTATCATGGAGATCATCATTGGAGAAAAAGACCCTTGTTATATTAGTATTACAATCATGTAGATTACATACTAATGTTGTATGAAATTACAATGTTCACTCTATTGGCATTTTTTTAATACATTATGCAGTTGAGAATAACCTTGTTTCTTCTTATTTCTTTTTTTTGGGGGAGGGGGGGGGGGGCTGGTGAAGGGGTTTCCAACTGCTTTAAAAATTCTAATTTTTCTTAACATGACAGTTTGTATTTTTAACGTTCAAGACAATTTATATACTGCAGAGTGCAATATCGGGACCCTGTGATTATGCATTTCAGTATGGAATCATAACAAAATGACTCGTTAATTCCAACTTACATTCTGTTTCCGTCTTCATCATTCTCTCTCTCTCTCTCTCTCTCTCTCTCTCTCTCTCTCTCTCTCTCTCACACACACTTTCTGTCTCTCTCCTCTCCTCTCTCCTCTCCTCTCTCCTCTCCTCTCTCTCTCTCTCTCTCTCTCTCTCTCTCTCCCTCTCTCTTTCTCTTTCTCTCACCCTCTCTCTCTCTCTTTCTCTTGCTCATAATTATTGGTTTCAACGAATTTGCCTAATTCCTGTTCGTACACCCTCTGTTCATCAATATGCCCTCATTAAATGGAGGCCCGATGGCTCAGTGGTAGAGCAGTGATCTCGTAACTGAGAGATCCTGGGTTCAAAACCAAGTCGATGCACCAGTGCCCTTTGATAAGGCATTACTCCTAATTACTCAGTCCCTCGGAGAGGACTTCAAGCCATCGGTCACCTGGCTTCTTACTCACAATTTCTTAGCAGTCAGGGTTAAAACAAACCATCAAACAATGTCCGAGTAAACCATTCATTTAATTCCTTCTCAAGGTCCAGAGACTGCCATATATATCGCTTTCAGAGTCTTGATGTAGTATAATCCTTTTCACAGAGTCTTACTGTAGCACGCAGTAGCAATACTCTCTTGCACAAGTTGCACGCAAAGTCATTTAGAGTTCCATTCACTTCCAATTGTTGTGATTGGCTATTGTTCATTCATGATACTTTGGGAACTATACGCTCCCTTGCTTCGAGTTGTGATAAGAGCTTTTTTTCCTTCTCTTCCTCTGTTCGTTGAGGTCGTACCACTTCTGTCTGTTAGCTGTCACACCATCCAGCATAGGTCTGAACTTGACTGACACATGAACGAGAGACTGTATTGAGGGGGAGGAAAATAAAACAGAAAGAATGTGTTAGTATAAGTTGTGTCTCATTACGGAGATACATTTTTTTCACAGGTATATAGTCAGTCACCTGCCTTGGCTTGAACCATTTTGTTTACAGATCCAAATGTTTTAAAACAGAAATCGGTTATCCGTTGCCTCTCCCGGGGGGTATTTCACAAAGATCCTAAGTTGAACTTATCTCTAAGTTGGACTTAACTATTATTATGGAAAGTCGTTAGCATCTTAAAGGTATTTTAAAAGGCATAAAATATTGATTCAAATCATTCATATTTTCTATTATCAAGGAGATGCCATGTTCTTAACGTGGCATTTACAAAAGTCTAAAATACTTGAATTTTCACTTTTGAATATATTTTATTTTAAGGCTACAAATGGTTCTCCATAATTTGTAAGTCCAACTTAGAGTTAAGTTTTACTTAGGATCTTTGTGAAACAGCCCCAGGTCTATCAAGAAGGCGACTGGAAGAGCTACGCCCACATCTTTGAGAAAAAAAACAATCATGTTGGGGGAAATATTATTCCTGCCTCCTCCCTTCCCAGGCCGGACCTAAAATTTCTCATTTGGCGGAAAGAATGAGACCCCTCCCCCTTTATAACAATACTAATTCTATATATCCCAAAGTCAGGAATTATAACAATGTCTGGACCATCGCATCAACGTGAAATGCTACAACAAAAAGCAAACAAACAAACAAACTATATTTAATCTGGGCCCTGTCTTACAGAGAGTTGATATTAATCGCAACTTATTTTCGATTGATATCAATCGCAACTATGTTAATAAACTTGCGATTAATTGGAGGACTTGCGATTGATTTGGATCCATCGCAAATCGTTATAAGCGGGCCCCTTGTCTCATTTGAGTTTCTCTTGTTATCTCAGGGCGAGGTAATTGAGAAAAAAAACTATAACCTACCCAGGCGCGTACGCAGAGGGGGGGGGGGGGGGTTAACCTCCCTCAATTTTTTTTTAATTGTTAAAAAAATATATATATAGCTCTTTCCCCCCCCCCCTCGCTTCTTCAGCGGCTGGCTGAGTCGTTGCGAAATTTTCGGCGCGATTTTCAAATTTTAAAACACCCCCTTGAAAATATCCTGCATATACCACTGAACCTACCTCATAAAGTGGTATACAGACTCCGTCAATGAAACCAAGCTGCATTTCTGGGAGCTCATCTTTTCTGCTCCGGTCGAACATAGACTGAAATAAAAACAAGATCGTGGATAAAGCATTCAAAGTAATTGTTTTATATTGCTTTTCTTTATTCGTTAAAGTTAAACATGAAAAAAAAAATCATACAATGATAATAAATAACAAATTACACTATTAAGAGTAAGCCTTTGTTTCAAAATTTCTCAGTCTTATATGATAATACTATTAATACTGAATTTCTTTTAACTTATTCTTTAAGATAAAATATTAGTTTGACGGTCGAAACAAACTACAATGTTATGTACTCACAAAATAGAGGTATATTATATGCAAGGGTTCTATATAGAACACCTATAAGCACCCCCAGTCAACTACCCCCTAAGACAAATACCCCCTAGGACGACTCCCCCCGGGACAACTACCATCCGGTCAACTACCCCCAGACAACTACCCCCTAGGATAACTACCCCCAGACAACTAACCCCTACGACAACCATTCTCTAGAACAACTACCCATCGGAAAACTACGTGATATGCTTGAGCGCAAGTTACTTTGGAGCTCGACTACAACTAGGGTAATATAATATGTACAAGCGCCGTGAGCGTCAGAGCCTGGCGGATTTCCGGCGCTAACAAGACAGTGTTCATACATGTTTTTTTAATTCATTTTGTCCACAAAATTCACCAATGCTTACCGTGGGTTCGATTTTGAGTTCCTTCCGCTCCATGTCTCCCTGATCAAAGAACTCACTCGTCACCAGTTCGGCAATCTAAAAAAAGAAAGTGAGAGAAAGAAAGCGTAAAGATACAACATATTATATACTACTTTATGAACGGAATGTTTCAGGTAAAGTCTGTGTTCAAGACACGTTGAATGTAAATTGTTCTTGGCAGCTTTCGTCACAACTTAAACTAATAGGAGATGAAACGCATTCAGGATTTCCAAGTAACGGCAATACATTAGCCAATGAGATTTAACAGCAGACGATATATGTAATTCATTCGGTGACATATCCAGATAAAAAAATATGGGGGACGATGGAATCGCAGATATAAGCGGGGTGGGGGGGGGGGGGGGGGGAGGTTGTAGAATAAACCTGGGCAGTCCCGCGTGCAGAAGACCAACTATACAAACATTCCCTTTTACCGGGCGTCAATTTATATAAATGGCTTCATCCTATATGGTAAAAAAATAAAGTACTTTCAATTAATATTTTTGTTTTTCCTTATGACTCACTTTCTGTTGTATCCTCCATGGTTTCGTGCTCGCAGCAACATCACTCGCCGTCATCAATATCGACCTGCATGTCGGTATGAACAAGAAATATTTTCTTTCTCAACATGGTGTGATAGACCTTACATTAATAATAGCCTAATAGTCCACTCCAAATTTTATTAAACCGAAACGGAAATTCTTTTTGCCCAATTGATCGTGAGCCCGGCAGCCATTGAGCAGCGCCAGATCGACGTTGCTCTATCCCTTATTGTTGAACGCCAAACAAGGTAGCAACAACTCCCATCTTTTAACGTCTTTTGGTATGACGCTGCATGCATTAAGATAGAATATGACATTAATAGTACTTTGATCTGAAGGAAACATATCAATCTGAGAAAGGGATTGGTGAAAGTTTAATTCGGACTTAGATGAATAAGGAAAGTTGTAACGTTCGACAGCTACTATCATATTTTCATAAAATTTGTCTGATCTGTTTCTCTGATATTTTTTCTTTCACCTCTAAAGCCAACTTGGTTAGTAAACGTCATTGTGCTTTACGTTGGGCAATATCATACTCTCGGAAGAAAGTTCATGTTTCAGGGAGAAGCGTTGGCTCGTTTTCTCGTCCCAATCCTTTCACGCACTGCTACAATTCTAATCCTCTCCCCCACAATTGTTATATCCAGAGATTCAAAAGATACTTTAAGCCACCGTTGCATTTATTTTCAAAGCTTCTTTTTATCAAAAGAAAAAACAATGCCGCTAAGAAGTAGGCTACAGCATATAATTACTCTAAATCGTACTCTCTATGTTCTAAAGGGATACCATTTCACTTGCAATTCATGTTAATATTTTGATTCATATGAATATTTCCAAGCATGTAGAAAAATTTTATCGGCTTTTTGTGTGTGCATGAGTTTTGTTTTGGCTAATACCTTTAGATCTTACCAGCGGTATATAACGTTGTGTCACTGCACACTTACCTGAGAAGTTCTTTGTTTTGTGGTGAATTCCAGTTATGGGTCTGATTCCTTATCATCTCAAAGAATTGGCCCCGAACTCTGAAAATAAATTAATCACACAGGAAATGTGAAAATAATTCTTTATTGACTTAAAACTGTTATGAACTTCGAGGGTCCATGTACAAACAAACAGAAGCGCCACTGAATTAAGAAACAAACTTTGTGTTCACAAAAAGAATGGAGAATCATTTTTCATGTCCTACAGATCATAGATAATTTGATATTTTGTTAAAGAAAGAAAGTTAAAGAATTGTTGTATTATACAGCTGTCATCACACCAATTGTTTCGGCAATTTTGACCCATGAAATATTTAAAGAAAGTTGGCAGCTGCGACTATATTACAAACCTTGGCTTAAAGCCCAACTACACTACTTATAGCTACTTGCGCCCTCTATATAGCAAACAATGCCTAATCGGTAACCATTAGTCCCCATGGTTCTCTTCTTCTTAAGTTGAGAGCTGATTTGATGAGATAACCACCTGTCAGTGACCTTGCAGGGAGGTTTAATCCCTCCTGGCTAAACAAACGCAGACGGATTTTAAAGAAAGAAACATAACGCTCCGAGAGAAACAAGAGAAAATATCGGGCATTTCTGTTTTAATTTGGCGACCCTTGAGCGGTGGAGGAGATGAGAGAGACTTACTTGAAGTGGAGGGCGAGGTCGGTCGAGATTATCGAATGCTTGAGGATATTCATTGCCTCGCTATACTGCTCAGGTGACAAGTTCCCGAAGATGTTGTGACCCTGAAGAAGAAAAAAGAAAATCGAACACTTGGGTTTAAAAAGGATTCAATTTCCATCCCCGGGCCTGCTATACTTGAGAAGAAACTCTATTAGCTACTTGAAAAATGCCATTGACGGTGTAATGGTAATCTCCAATGTGATGTGGATAAAATTATAATGGGTCGGTATTTTCCTGTGACAGTCACTATGGAAGATTGTGTTAAAAGATAAATGACTCTAATTATTGTCATTGCCAAGTTGTATTCCATTATAATTACTACCATCAACACAACCACCGCAATCCTGAAAAACATCATCATCATCGTCCTCGTCACCAACATCGGAAACACTCATTATCATCATCTTCATCTCCGTCATCTTTATCATCATCCCCTTCATCCTTGCCATCATCACCTTAATTTTCCACCTCATCAGCCTCACTATACTCTACATAAACATCCCATTCTCCGTCCCAACATTAACATCATCTCTTTCGGTTTCCATGGATCATAATATTCTCATTTGCCTCTGTTTTTTGCCGACACCTTCGCTCTAAACAAGTTTGAAATGTTTTTCAGGCTGTTATAGGGCATGGAGAGAAAATACAGCAATACTTGTATTTTTTCTCTCTTGTTTGTCGACTGTTACTTAGAAAAGAGACTTACCTGGCTACTAAGAATCATGACTGCGTGGTTGAAGTGATGATACTCCATGGTAGCCTTAGAACCATACAGCTGAGCTAGAGGTGACTGAGACCTACCGAGAGACAAAGAGAGAAAACACCATTGAGAATTATTAATATCATCACTATAAAGTTGTTAATATCATCACTATATCATTATTATTTTCATTATTATTATAAGAGTTATTAATATCATCACTATAAGAATCATGAATATCATCACTATAAGAATCATGAATATCATCACTATAAGAATCATGAATATCATCACTATAAGAATGATTAATATATGGGATCGTTATCACCATCACCACCATCATTATCATCATCATCTTCATCTCCGTCGTCTTTATCATCATCTTCTTCATCCTTCTCATCGTCCTCTTCGTCGAAAAGAGTATTATTTCAAATAAAACAATAATGAACCGACAGTCTGAAGAGGGAATATTATAGACATGTAAAGAAATGCAAAGAAATGGAAAATCATTATATTTTTTATCTCAATCATAATTTTTCATATAAAAGAAATCACGGTATAAATACAGTGTTAAATATTCATAGATCATTATCACATATTTGGATCAAACAGAATATAATTGAAAAATGTAAAGATGATATTTAATCAGATTACAGCACAACGCGATATCTTTGAAGATGCTTGCATTTCTCTTGTTCGCTCTCTGCTTTGTTTTCAAACCAAATACCGGCAACTTAGTGCCAGTTGTACACCGTCAAAAACATTTGTTTTTCTCGCTAAGCCAAAGCCAGCATACACAACTCCTCGGTTTTCTCATCATTATGTAAATTGTATCCAAGGTAAGCATCCCTATATCTGTAATACTTGTCAATCGAACCATCTTACTACAAGCCAACAACATACACAGCCACTCCGGTTTCCGTATTTTTTCGCCCCGTCCAGGGAAATCCATCGATTTTCACCTGAAACTTTGTCTACTCGTATTTCTTTTTCTCACTCGTGCGTTCCAGTTAATGAGTAACCCAATCCCAGGAGAGCCTCGTACAACGTGTATTTATGCATTAGGCTTTTCGCTAGAAGCAGCCCACGACCTTACTATACCCTATTCAAGGAAGATCGGACAGAATTTGGTTTTACACGGTCAGTACTGGTGTCTTAGGAGGTAAATAGTTTAGACAATGAAACCATTTCCTCCCCCCCCCCCCCCCCCGCATGGACATGATTATAAGTTACTGTAAACCTCTGGGCTACAATAAACCCCATGGGCTCACTGTCGTGATGAACTATTATCAAACACAATACTAACAATGATGCAAACGTAATGAAGAATCGTTATTTAGGCCTACTGATGAAAACGTTGTCACTACTTCGAAACAACGCAATTAGCCATTTTTCAAAAAAGTGGTGTGAGAGTCACTGGTAAAGTTGTGATGTGTAAAAATTGTATCCATTCATATTACGTAGCCGTCGATGAAACCAATATAATAATATCAATATTTGCAATAATTCAATGTTGCTACAAACCTCACCCCCGTCATGAAGTGATATCACGTGAAATGGCATTGTATCAGATGCATATGCCCCCACGCATAATCTTATGTAGATATGAACGTAGCCGATCCAAAGCTCCCATACTTGTTTTTGTCGTGAAAACTAATCGAATGCCCCCCATGATTTTGTATGGCACATAATTATTATAATAGGATATTGAAATTGTCCAAGGGTTATTTTTACAGAAAGAAAGCGATCGTGTTCTATTCAAGGCTCAAACTATTTTCCAACACAAAACGAAAAAATAGGGCCTAGTCGCCTGTATACAGATGACTTTTTTTTTGGGGGGGGAAGGTCACCATTATTTGTTCTGTTAGTAGCAGAGTTGTGCCTGTGGTAGTATTTTGGGTGAGTGTACTCTATCGATGAGGCTTCTACCGTGGAAGGACTTATCTTGTTTTGCTCTGATAAAATCTTTAGAAAATTCTCCTTCAGAGGTAACTTTGGGAGTGTGAGTTAAAGGGGGGTGTGATTTCCTGGTTAAAGCGAAGGAATCGTGATTATTCGTAGAATTGTAATGTCTAGCTCCAACCAATGGCATTTTCAATAACCTTGTACGTTGCCTATTGAAGTGTGAGAACATGAGTAGAGTTATTACGTAATCCACACATTCTATGGGATGTTCTTTTGTACAATATTTTATTGGTTATTGAAATCGCTCAAGAGAAGAAAAAAAAATCGAAAAAAGCGATCGTGTTCTATATATTCAAACAAAGCTCATACTATTTTCCAACACAAGTTGAAAAATAGTCGCCGATATACAGATGACTTGTGGGGGGAGGGGCACTTTGATTTGTCCCATTCCTACTATTATTATTATTATTAGCAGAGTTGTGCCTTGAATACGGGTGAGTGTACTCTATTGATGAGCCTTCTCCACTGGAAGAACTAAACTCGTGTTGCTCTGATAATCTTTAAAGATTTCTCCATGAGAGGCAATTTTGGAAGTGTGAGTTAAAGCGAAGTCTAACCGCCTCGAAAGGTTTTGAGAGTCGAAAATAGGAAATATTAGGAGAGCGCATTATTGGTAATATAAATATGAGAAGACGCATTGGGTAAAATGTATATGTAAAATTCTGCCTTACGTCCGCAATATACTCTCGATTGACCGTTGCGTTTAAATTCTTTCTATTCTTTTTTAATAGTCTTTTTATTTTGTTGTTGTTGCTTGTTTTACGCTCCTCTTATTTGACCGTTTGCTTGCAATCACATTAATTCATAATACATAATGAATAAAACAATTTATTGTGTCTAAAAAATCATGCTAATCAAAAAGAGCATGCATTGATATTTTGTAAGTGAATCGTCACTAATATCAATGGACGAGTTAATCGAATCCAACAGAAACTAGGAATTTTCATGATATGTCCCTAACGCGGATTGAGCCGAGTGAAAGCTCCTTTAAAATCCTTTCAAATGACGTCTATAAACCAGAAGACTAGGCGGCAACGCGTGACATTTACCTGCCGAATATCTGCCCCTCAGGCGGCGCGAAATCCGACTCCATCCGATCCACTCATCTATCCGTTCATTTTGAACGAATCCCGAACGCCAGGGCACGTATCGCCCGTATACACATTCGCCCTTCTATAAGACTCGCCCTTTCAATACACTTTGCAGCGAAGACCCGTGCGCGAAAGTGTTTTGGCAGGTTAATTCTAAAAGAAGGGGGGGGGGGGGAACGTCTGATTTGCCCTCTTAATGCAGGGTCCTCGGGATTTCTTTAAATAATTAATCGTGACCTGAGAGGCCGGGTAGAACGGATAAATCTGAGAGTAGGGGTACGTCCGTCCACAAAAAAAGAGGATAATTTGAGCTCGAGACAAGTAGGCCTACTGAAGTGGATTAGTAAGGTCAATTATCTTGAATAGGAAGGAAAAAACACAAAAGGTAGGTCTACTGTCGAGACGCTTAATCGTGAGACTTAATTTGGATGATCCCAAGGCACCTGAAATGAACGACGAATAATAAAAGTCCCGGTTGTGCTTTGTATTCCTGCACTTTGGTTTAAAGATGATACATTTTGCTCATTTTTTGCGATTGGGACAAAAACCGCTCCTTTCTTAACAAATGGAATCGTTTAACTGCATTAGTGCACTTGTTGACGAATAATCTGATGTAGAAGGAGATACAGTGTCTTATGAATAAAGGATTTCTTGATACTTGGACTTATTTTTTGTAATAGAAAAATACAATTCGGGCAGGATTTTCTTTGTGAATTAATAAACACTTTCATCCTCTCGATAAATCCCAAATCGAGTACTTTTCCTCTTTGTTTAACTAACATTACCCTTTCGACAAGAGTGACTCAATATCCGAACCCAATTACTACAACATCCAAACCGTTTTAAGATGGTAATAATAAAATTGGAAGGACAAAAATTGCTACGACGAAATAAAATATTAAAATATTCATAAGAGAGGGCCCTCTTATGCAAGGTTCTCTTGCAAATCGGTTTTATGCACTTAAGTGACTACCATGTATAAAGAACACAGAATAAATAAATAGATGAATAAACATATACGAGGATTCATGATAAAACAATCCACCTTGTACATCATAGCATTTGTCTAAAAAAAACATATTTTTAGGTGATTTGTGCATTTCTCATCCAAGTGCTTTCGTGAAAAAGAATATCCCCAGGGAAGCACAGAATATATTACTTTGATGGTAAGGAAGTTGAAAATGGAAGCCGCAAATGTTGGTGATGTATTTTTAGATCGTTGGAAAACATGAACAGAGCCAGATAGACAAAAAATATATTGACAGAATCAGGCAAATAAAGAGGTTTGTTCTTCTTTTAAAGACAATATTAATGGAACTTCCTTCAAAGTGAATACATTATTCAGGGAGTTTCGATGGATCAACCCACTTATTGACTGATAATTATATCCTATAATCCTACAATGATGAATACATGATAGAGCAATATTCTGAGGATTATCATTGGTAAAAAATGAGAGTGATCCGTGTTATTATAGCCATGGCAACAGAATTAATCCTCTTTATTTCGTAATATATCGTATAAATCAGGTATGCATGTGGAAAGGATTTTAAAACATATTCTCTTAAAAGAGTTTAAACAAATATTATGATTGAAACAGCAAATTTCTTGGTTTGAATGCTTCTTCCAAAGAGTCAACGTCTGTTTCAGGGTCTTCATTAGACTTTTCCCAGACGAGTTTATTGAACTGTGCACCTCGGAGAAATTATAATCCCCACTCATTCTTCATTGTGGGATGAAGTACGTTCCACCTCACTATAATTATCATATATACTCCGATTTATCAGGGATTCGAAACGATGAGGAAGGAGGGGTGTAGAAAATCAATGCACTCGTCTAGAACAAGACGAGGTACTCGTAGTCACTAGAGAATGGGGTTGGCACCACACCCTTCGATATTAAGTATTGTGGATCCCCAGAAAGAACAGAGCCATTTTACGCTCTGAATATAAACTATCCAGGCATTTCTTTCAGTTCTTAATTCGTATTTTGATTATTTTTTTGTACCCAAGTATTTGAAATTTATGCACCAAACCAAATCAGGTTGCAAATGAAAGGGTATTTTACTTTGTTTTGGAGGGCTGGGGGGGGGGGGAGCACAACATTTGTCGATGAATCAGTACCGACGCCATACATAACGGTTCGAAATATTCTCAGCGAACAGCCATAGCCCCTTCCTTCACTTTCCTGCCTTCAATTTGAGAGTGTTCGATTTCCTGTGCAAACATATTTAATGGTTGAAAGAAACGTCCTCTACCCGAGACGGTAAGACAACTTGTTGACAGAGACTCATATTACTCAGGATACTCCTCCGTGCAAACTAATGTGCCGTGATGGGCGGGAAAATATATGTATCGACGTTCGCGCTCGACGAGAAATGCAGTCAAAATGGACAAAGCAAGTTTGCTCTTCATTTTAATGGCACCTGTATACCAAAGTTAAACAATATAGTTGCACTCTTTTGCTCCTGTACGGCCTAGACAATTCCCTCTCTCACGACCCCAATCCCCTACCTCCCTCTTTTTCTTTCTTTCTCTTTCTCTCTCTCTCTTTCTTTCTCTTTCACTCTCTTTCTTTCTCTTTTTTCTCTCTATCTATCTCTCCCCAGTTTCTGCCTTCCGCTATCCATCTTTCTCTACTCGATCTCACATTCGTTTTGTACTTTATTATAAAAGTGATTCCATACGGTAATGGCATGCAACACATTTTTTTCTTTCTTCTATAATTCCCTCTCTCAGTCTTGTCATAATTCTGACGGATATCACAAAATTATGCAAATCAGTCTAATTAAGGCAGCTCTTTTGACAGACACGTACTACAAGTGGGGGGGGGGGGGGGTAATATAAGACTATCACCGATGATAAAGCAGATCGGTACAAAAGGTACTAACTTTATCGTGTTTGTGTTCGCATAATACAAGTAATAATATGATGATAAGCTTCAACGAGATATTATTTTTATAAGATGGACAAAATAAATCCCGGAGAATCTTTTTTCTTTCTCTCTCCGGTTTAACCGGAAACAATTTTCATCAAAATATTTGCATGTTTTTTTGTGTGTGGTAACATCAGACAGCGGTTTCCCCTTTCTGACATTCAGAATTATTATGCTCTGTCATTACAACATTCTTTTTCTTTTAGTCACAAACTAATTTCATGTCGGCATTCATCATGAAAATTCATCTAAACGTGAATATCTTTCTTGTTCACTCACTAAGCCGGTGAGCTAGCGTTCCCTCATCGTAAATTCACGCTGCGTTCACTGTCATGGGCGAAATTACCGTCAAAACCCAAAATGGAAAAAGCCCGGGGCTTGCATATAGAATAAATCAAGTAACACTCATAATTCCATTACCCCCTTACAAGACAAAGTCCTATGTGCTTACACATACTCAGCTAGAGGCAGAAGAGTTTTTTCCCATCCTCCATTCCTCCGTGCTACTTATTTGTATACCTTCCAAGAACTGCGAGGGATGGTGAAGATTCAGGGTCAAAAAGACAATCTAATTTTAGCTGCTGATATCTGCTGAAAGGCAGAAGGACGCAGACTCATATCATTTTACATAGAGTTAGCGACCTTAATGTGATCAGCAGACAAGCACAGTAACACATTACCGTTAATAATGATTTATGACAAAGATTTGGCTAAGCATGTAATATGAAAATGCCCAGGTGTGTGAATTAGGTGTGAGCAGTTTTTTTTTAGAGAAGGAGTTCACACGAGGAAGTTATCAGGTATTCAGAATTTAAAATTCCTCAACATAATATCAATCAAAAAGAATGTCATCGAAGGAATATAACCAACATAATAAACAGGAAGTAAAGTGCCCTTCCCCCGGAAATTAGTTTCGTATAGGAAATCACGGCGACTCCACTACATGTTTTCTTCGTGCCTTTTTTGCCTTGAATTGTGTTCTGATTTACACTTGGCTTTCTCGTGATATCTCTCAAAGCAAATTGCTTTATACCGAGATACGACATACGACAAAAATATCAAGCTATTTTTACATTCCCATCGTATTGACAAAGCCTCTTTCGAAAGATTATCAATACAAAGATGCCTGGGCGAATTCTTTCCGAAACATGAAATCCTTTCATGCCGATATTGTGACCTCTAGAAGGACTTTCTCAAGAGACGAAATAAAAACAGTATGAACACGGCTCTGGATAATAATAGGCCTGTACCTGTCGAAGCTAACTTACAAGGATTTGTCCTTCGAAAAGACATACGCATTATACGCTTGTCTTAGCTATCTGATCTGTAGAGCTTCTTAACTTACGCGTATAACCAAAGGCCTTGCTTTACTTGTGACCTTAACATTTCCAACAGACTTCATGAACAACTTGAGAAAAAAAAAGGACTTCAAGCTATTCTGTCTTTCTCCTCAATGAAATTCGATGACGGCATGGCGGCAAACCTTAAGGATTCTAAATGTAGGACATGCCAGTGAACGTCCTTCGTAAAGGGACATGTATCTTCTCCATTTAGACACTGTGGAAGAGTGATTCCATACAGTGTTATTTTCTTCTTTAAATGTGTTGAGCTGTCCATACGGTATTAAATTTCACGCCGCGTTTAGTGGCGCGCCAAAATATTTTACATAGCGTTGATTGCATAATTTCATCTCAAGACGCTGTTGCATCACAAGAAAAACGGCGTGGGAGATCAACAGCAGAATATTATGATCAAAATAAAGGCCTCTGTTGCTTTGAATCAGGAAAAGATCACCGTAAGAACACATACTAGCATGTCTATGACAAACGGTTAATTTATGTAAATATTCCTCTCGGGAGAAAATGTAGTGCTTTGAGGGATAATCCCGAGACATTATTCGGAGCGCATAATCGAAAAGATTATGATTTATCCATTTCTAAGGGGGTCGATGGATTTACGTTCAGACACATACTGTTAAAAGATTGATTGTGCAACATAAATCTCTCAATTATTCATACTCATCGACAAAAGCATGCATTTCAATCGAATAAAAATCTTCAACAACTCGCCCATCAATATGCTGCTTATGGAAAACTTTTATACATGTACAGTGAAACCTGCTTACGTGACCACCTGTCTACAAAGAGCACATTTTTTGTTTCCCTTGAAAATGGTTTCTTATTGAAACACGCACTTAAGGATCCTGTCTACAAATATCACTTTTTGTGTTTCACTTGGGTGGTGGATATAGACAGGTTTGAGTTGACTGTAGTTCAATTTGAGTCACTTGTACTGTAAAGTTGAAAGAAATGACAGTATCTTACTTTTCTTGGTAGGCATTATTCGTTCCTCTGTGATCCAGGTCATGGCAGAGACACCCTACAAGGAGTGTCAGCTGTTCGATATCCGACAGGTACTTCGCTACCCCTGTATTCTGTTAATTGCAAGAGAGACATTTTAAAGAGAAGGTTGAGTTCTGGGAAGTGGTGAAAATTAATTTGTGAGCGTTATCATTGTTATTATACAAGTATGGAAGAACATCAGATAAAAAAATGTTCCTCGACAAGCATGGCTCTTCAAATACCTTAATATTCTAAATGTGGCATGTAACTGGATAAAAATCGGGACGGATTTTTACGCCACATGTTCGTGTAGTCCCATATACATATTTCGGTGTACAGTGCTTGTAACTTTACCAAGACTGGGCCAAATTTCTGATCATTTTGTTGATTCCAGAACCTTGCAGTACACACCAATACTTATATGCTAGATGATCAACCTTTTCTGATCGATTCCACACCATTTATGTCACAATGCAATCGCATGACCAGAACTCAACTCTATCTTTAAGCTTTTTTATTTGATTGTAGTGCGCAGTGATGATCGAGGTCACATGCAGAATAACATATTTATTGAAAGTTATACAAGACAACACATTTCAGGCACTGCAGCATGTCCAAGTCGAATAAAAGTTATATACTCATATTCATAGTATTACATAAAAAGTATATGCTTGGAAAAATTGGAAACGTATCCGGGGTGCTGTAAATTTAGATTTTATAATCATTTCTATTCCTGGAAAATAAATAATAGAAAATATTTGCTTCGGTTTAAGATAGAAAGTAACATTTAATCGTACTTGTCAGAGAGTAGAATTGAAAAAAGATGTACAACACCATACTATTTAATGCTTGTTCACAGGCTATAGTATAGCCAATAATAACGAATAGTAAATTGTTTTTTTTATGAATTCAGTTGGATAATATATCTTTCAATTCTCAATCGCGATTCGTGACCTACATATTATGACCAGAAGTACTCCATCGATTTGGTTGAACCTATACATTAGGGATGAATTAGATCAACAAACTGATGAATACACAGATTGTAATTAACTTGTTTTGATGTGGTGACATAAGTCGACATTGCTCGATTATATTTTCTAGGGCATTATCGGAAACGAGGGTAATTGGTAATTCAATAGAGAGAGAGAGAGAGAGAAGCACTGAGCACTATTCAAACATTGCTGTGTAAATGTCAGAATAACAATCAATTTACATTGTTCAATCGTTCTAAGCTGCATATTCCGCAATACCGTGAATGGCTGACGTGGAAATAGCTTATGAAATAAATAACTCCCGCTTATAGACAAGACAAACCCCTTTATTCCTAATAACTAATCCTAACTATATGAATATTTCAATTTCATTAACTAAATTGATTTAAGATTAGAAAGTGTAATAAGGATATGCTCACATACCTGTAGTATGGCAAACATGACTTGCTGAACGTTGAAGGCATGTCTAAAGTTGTGGTAGGCAACAGGCCTGTAGTTCTTGCGTACTGTCAGCAACCATCGACTCAAGACCTGCAATCGTAGATTATTAGCATGAAAAGTAACTTCAATAAGTGTATACTCCAATAATACTAATAGTCGACATGAAAGTAAACTAAAACAGTTACAATCAAGACCAAGCAGCTTCCACAAAAAATGATTTAAAAATATAAAAAATGATTAAAAATATAAAAAATAATATACATGTATTGTCGATCATGTCATCGGGGCATTTGAGAAATGAATACGACTATAAATAATGTCTGTGTATTTACAGGAATGGTGTTCTTTGAAAGATAAATGTTCATGAATGCACATTAAAACATAAATATGGGAAGATCAAAAAATATAAGAGAGAGAGAGAGGGGAATATATCACAGAGAGAGAGAGAGAGAGAGAGAGAAAGGGGACAAAGCAGAGAGTAAGTGAGCAAGAGAGAGAGAGAGAGAGAGATAGAGATAGAGATAGAGAGGGTGGATTAGCGACTGCCTGAACTGAAATTGATGACTGCCAAAATGAAAGGTCAAATTATGGAAGTATCAGCCGTTGAGGGTCATATCTAATTAAATCTCAATAAAGCGCTAATCAAATAGGACTTTAATTTGATAGGTTATTAAATGAATGGCAGTCTCTGTTAGATACAAATGTATGAAACAACTGGGTGCATCATGCCTACAGGCATATTACGTAGCCCAGCAGTTCAGTAATGTAGAATGTCGTCATTGAATATCGTGTTTCTATCGGGATTTTCCAGTAATAATAATAAAAAGATAACTCTGCGGAGGTCAACATTAATGAACACTATGTATCAATTATGCAAGAGAAAAAAGAGAATATGTTCTTCTTATGGAGCATGCACAATACTTTTTATATCGACTAAATTAGCCAAATAATTTCCTGTTATTCCTTGAAAGTGTTTTTACTTCTTCTATATAATCAATGCGATAACCGCATGCACTATTGCTGAGGATAAGCAAGCATACTAATTTTATAGATCGTTTTTAACCACTAACATCACAATCTTTTGTAAAGCAAGCAGCTGCACCTAGTCTTTCTAACAACAACTGAGATTTTAAGTAAACTGAATCTCAGGTATATTAAAGATTTAAATGACATTCATTGAAAAGATGCAAACTACAAACAATTATTGGAAATTTAATAATTGTGATTAACAGCACTACGATACTAATAATTTCACACTGATTAACAACAAATAAACAAAATAAATCATGAAGAGAATGGAATAATTCTTATTCCATTCCAATGATCTTTAACAAAATAAGAGCTATTCCCCCGGCTCACACGAGGCGTTATTTTCTGCCGTAGGACTGCGTCAACGACTGGCGTGGGCTTTGACGCACCATGCGAATTTGACAGCGCACTAACAAAATGAACAATACAATCACTGAATTGGAATTACTGACGCATGCACTCCTTTCCTACATACGCTTGATTATACGAATACACACTGTCTTGAGAGGCTCTGGTTAATATGGACGCAAGGTGACTGCAATAATACGTGACTACAATACTACTATTGCAGATAGCTTAGCGCAGATAATAATGTTATCCAATATTATATACCTCACTTAAGAAATCCAGCCATCTGATTGGTCGAATTGCATTCATAAACTTCAACTGTTCCTGTAAAATTCCCGGTAACCATGCTTAAAACATTTCAATATTTTTAATAACCATGGTTATTAAAAAAATAGGTCAGTCTCCATGGTTACCCCATAGGTTTACATGTTAAAAAATGGTTTGAGCGATGGAGGATACCATACGTGTGCGAAAAATTGGTCGGCAATTTCAATACAATTGAATCTCGATCGATCTTACCGACAATTTTATCTTGCATTGTTGACATGAAGACGAAAATTAACTCTCAAAAACAAAAAAACAACATCTGCCGATAGATCTTGATCTAAGTTCGTGCCAATATGCATTGCAAAAGTAAAAGAAGGGTCCGTTTCATGGAGCTTTTGCGAAGCATCCCTCACGCGGAGCCGTTTTCAATCCATTTTAATGTATATATTGGAGAAAACTGTTAAGCATGGATAGCCGAGTGGTCTAAGCGTTGGTTTTCGATACACCTCTTGTTGTACGCAAGAGTTCGAATCCCGTCTTCGACAAAAATGTAAATTATTTTTTATTTTTTATTTTTTAGTCTATTTTTTTTCGGCATATAAAAGTATTAATGACTGCTTTAATATTCGAGAAATAGTTGTTTTCATACGCTCTCGGGAAGGTTACAATTGGGCTATTCCCCTCGGCAAGCCTCGGGGAATAGCACAATTCTAACCTTCCCTTGAGCGTAATAAAACAACTATTTCTCTCAAAGCAGTCATTAATACTATAACGCAACATGCAACAGGCATATTAGGTGGGGTGATCCAGAGGATATATTTGTAATACTCATATTCCTTTACTAGCGGATGCACTTCTGTCCCACATACGCTTTATTAGCGCAAGCGATAATGCTATCTAATGACGCAACAGGCAACGAGCATATTCGGAGGGGTGTTCCAAATAACAAGATAGTTTTCTTTGTATACTCACATCCTGGCTAATCTTGAATTTATCAAGGAAGCCCGTCTGGATATACATCTTGAGGGATGCTTTCAACATCTCGTCTGCTTCTAATGAGAAGTCATCGAAATCAAACCTAACCAGCTTAAGCTTCTTGATGTCTGGAAGACGTGCATCCTGTAAAAGAAAGGGAGAGAGTTAGATAATCCCATATTCATAAAGGCAGACTAACTTTAGTCCGAGTTAAAACCCAGATCAAGTTGGTGTATGGTATGGGGCGCTAAGTGTCGACATTATAATCCGTAAAAGATTACTATAATTATGTAACAAGGTAAAGCAAGATTGCATCAAGACATGATGAAACCAATTTATCATTTTCACGTCATGACTTCAACAACAACAAAAAACAAAAAAAATCTATTTTTAAATTATATTACAGCAACTTGAAGGGGGTGAAGGTTTGAGACCAGGTGCTTTATAATCCGTTGAACGATGTTAAGGTGAAACCATACTGCAGGCTTTCATTCGATTCTTCCTTCTCCCTTTATCGTTTGAATCGTTTGTCAATCTCTGTTTGTCTCTCTTTCTCTTTCACAGTCTCGTTCTATAACTTTTCCAGCCTCCACTTTGTGATTTAACAAATCCAAACGACAAGAGCACAGATTGCCTTACACTTATTGTTCTGAGTTTTAGACCTACCTTTAAAGCTCTGACCTCTTGCTTGGTGGTACATGCGTGATAAGAGAGAACTTCCAATGCAACCTGTTGTTTGGCCATTGCCTTGGTCACCTCGTTGAACATGATGGTGTTGTTGATACCCAGTCCGCAGAATATTGTGAATGCCTGTAAATGAAGGACACGATTGTGCCAAATTAATTCCGTTGCATGCGCACGAGGCGTCAATTCCTGACGCAGGACTCCTGACGCAAGGCTACGTCAGCGACTGAAATGGTCTTTGATAGGAATGTGACATGGTACAAACAATACACGCAAAATGAACAGTGCAATATTATTGTGTTGAATTTATGCGACACGCACTAATTTGATCACTAGACTTTCATCAGCTTCGAATGTAACAACGCAACGGAAATGATGCATCGTGTTCAACATGCTTTAGAATGAGCAAGTTGCGTCAGTTCTTTGCCAATACCTTATTTTGACAAGAAGGTAAATTAAAAAAAAAAATCATGTTTGATTGGAACAGAGTTATTTCTGGTCATTTGTGACCGCTTATCTCATTCAAAATATATCCACGATGTAATATTAGTTACATTATTGCAAGCTTTATAGAGAGAACACATAATTTGCGGTTCACCAAAAAGAATATTGATATTGCGGCTGAATATAACATGAACGCTCAGATAATCTTGCGGTTCAGTCATGATTTATAACTGCGGCGATGGTATACAAATTCGGATTGATGCTTTTAGAGGTAGATGACATTATTTTAGTGAAAGTGAAAGAACCATAAAGTTGAGGATATCTCCAGGGCATGAGATTCTTTCGGAAGGTTGGAAAAATAATTTTGTTTTCTTTCAGAGTAGATGATTTTAGAAACATCCCGAGTATCAAATATTTTATCCCTGATTTGTAGACGCTGATAAAGACATGAGCAGGAGATAGGTATAGTGGCGGATCCGGGACTTTGAGATGACGGGGGCTCATGCTTCTGTAGGACCAAACTTTCAGTACAGACATGATTCAGTCAGTCAGACTGAATGAAATGAAATCAGAGTCGGTTAGAAGACAGGGAGCGTACGTGCGCAACTTCTACATCTTCTATAAGAGACCGTCATTGCAATGAAGTTTCACGATAGAGAAAGAGAGAGAGAGAGAAAGAGAGAGAGAGAGAGAGAGAGAGAGAGATAAAGAAACAGAAAGAGAGAGAGAGAGAGATTAAGAAAGAGAGAAAGAGAGATAAAGAAAATAATAGAGAGAGAAAGAAAGATAACACTGTTTCTGTCAAAGAGAGAAAGAAAGAGGCCTAAACGTTTCAAAATCCAAACTAAAACGCGAAAGTAAAAGTCATTTTCGCGCCCAGTCAATTTCATGCTGAAAGACAGATTCATCATACCGATCTACAATGCGCCACTTGAGATGTTGAAATATATAAGCTCACTATGATCACACTTAAAATGTGCAAACCAATTCGTTCGTCATTCAATAATATATCACTTGTAGTTATAACACGAACGGCCATGTACCTCAAATTATAGATTTTGCATAGCCTAGAGGTTCAATTACGTTTGTTATCATTTTGATGTCGAGATGATCTTTTCTATATACCGGCCTGCGTTGCCTCTCTAGATTGCTTCTAAATAATTCCTGAAGGTAATCTTGCCGACAAATCTAGACGACATGTTGACTGAGGCAGAAGAATAAACTGCGTTGACATGCTTTAATATCCACCGCCGGCGAGGCGATCATACCTGCTTTCGGTGGGACTTCCACGAAATTCAATAATGCTTAAAATAATGTCGGGTATGCATGCCTGCATGCAGAAACGTGCGCGGGCCAAAAATTTACAAGAAACTGGGTCATGGAATCATGCCAAAAGACGGCGCACTTCATTCTAAAACGTATGAAGACAGAAGCATTCATTTTATGAGCTTTGGCGATTTGATAGGGTCATTTTGTCTCATTCAATACTGAGAAAAATGAATGAAGAATGAGGTTTTTATATGAACATGGGAGACGAAGGTCATTTTGGCGTCATGGGAGTCACTGGAAGATCTGTGTAAGGATCCTTTTACGAAAAAACAATCACGACGGAGTTGGAAGAGAAAACTTTTCTAAATCCACCTGACGTTTAAGTAACGATGTAGCGTCTAAACAATCATTAAAAAAAATATTTAAAAAACGTTAATAATAAAGCAATTCGGAGAATTTCAATTATCAACCTTTTCTAGAGATGGGAGGGGGATTCCCTTTAAAAACCCACTTCATAATAAACATACAGCGAGTTTTTGTCCTCTCCCCTCTCCACCTTTTGTTACGTTTCTCTATCTCTCTATCTGCTTCGCCATCTGTCTCTTTCTTCATTGTGTGTCTGCTCCCCCGCTCTCTCCCTCTCCCTCTGTCTCTCTCTGTCTCTCTCTCTCTCTCTCCCTCTTTTTCTTTCTCGCACTCCGTCTCTCCATTTCTACCATGGATTTGAATCTGTTTTCTTCATCGCAATATCTTTTCCAAAGCTGATTATAATAGAAGTTTCCTATGCCCTCATCTTCCTTTGAATTTTTTTCGACAACGTGCCGCTGCCTCTCCCCCAATACCCTCTGTCTCTCTTTGGTAATTTGTCTTGGATGAAATAGATGGTTTTCCTATCACACAATGCGCGCCCACACTGTCTAGACCATAGCATCTTTGATGGACTGTAAGGGTCATCCACTTGTATAGAAGACGGTAAACGAGTTACCAAGGTAACGGGAAAATCGAAGAGGTCAAGTGGGAAATGAAAGAGAAAAATTAAGAGGATGCATCCCATAATCTAAGTGAATGAGGTAATAATCAGCGAAGGAGTGGCCATTCAACAACTAAAAAGCCATTTACATCAAATAAATTGCCCAAAAGGGACTCAGAGAACAGCTTGACGAGACAATGAAAATGCAGACAGATAAGATGTCAAAATGATGTAAGCATTACGGATGATGTTATTAAAAACTCCTCGAGATACCATCTCAGATATCCTACAATATTACCAAGAGAAGAAGAATTCAGTTCCTCTTACAGTTCTCAACTTTCTATAAAGCAAGGCCCAACATGAATTGACATTCAAGAACAATTTCTAGACATTTACATTAATTCTATGTTGCGTGAACGATTCTGTTTCTTGAATAAAAAGAAGCTTTGCACGTTATCGTATTTCTCCCAAGATTGGACTTGTAAAAGCTTAATGCTATACTCCAGAATCACATTTCGCTCTTCATAGTTCCCTACGAGGGAAACAACATACCACCGCCATTTCTCAAAATCACTTTGCAGTACATCACTCATTCCTGAATGAGAGTCAAATGCGTTTTTTCTGCAACCATAGCATTATGCATGCAAGCATACATTTTGCTCCACTTCAGAATCTGTAAATCTATTCCGTGAAATATCAGTTTTATTGCATTAACCATTCAAACATCCATTTTGCTCCACCGTAAAATATCAATTTTTTGTACACCACCATACATTTCTAAACGGACATAACACGCATTTTATCAACCATGAGACTATACTTGGTTCCAGCGCATAGCTTGCTTAACTTAAACATGAATGTATAAATCTATTCCGTGGAGGATAAAACTTTCACATCGGCATTTCTCGAAAGAGATGAGATGATAGTATTACTGCCCGATGTTTCATCATTTCAATGGCAACACAATATTCCCCTTGACGAGGTTGGCAATTCCAAAGTGCTTAAAATGCTCCCGGTACCAAACTGCAAACTCCTACATTAATACAGTTTTAATCCCCCTGTGCGTGATAACTATGGAGGAAAATCATAAATAAATAAATGTTGCCAGACGTTGCTATAATATAATAAAATCATCTGATACCTCTCTCTCTCTCTCTCTTGACGAGGTTGGCAATTCGTAACAAACATAGAATCGTATTTGGTTATCCATGGATTTATAGATTCAACCAAGATTTCTCAATTTCAAAGTGCTTAAAATGCTCCTGGTATCAAACTGGAAACTCCTACATTAATACAGTTTTAATCCCCCTGTGCGTGATAATTATGGACGACATCCTAAATAAATAAATGTTGCCCGACTTTTGCTATGAAATAATAAAATCATCTGATATACTTCTCTCTCCATCTCCCTCTCTCTCTCTCCCCCCCCCCCCCCCCCCCCCCCCCCCTCTCTCTCTCTCTCTCTCTCTCTCTCTCTCCTCTCTCTCCCTCCCTCCCTCCCTCCTTCACACTATCTCTTACTCGTATGTCCTTCCCTCGAGTCCCCAGTCTTCCTATAAAGTACATGTTTTTGTCAGCATTGTAATGGATGGTGGGTGATCAGCCTTGGTAGGACTAGGATAAGGGAACATTTTCCTGTTAGGATTGTAATAACGTGAATCAGAAATACAGTAAAAGGGAAAATGAAAGACATACAAGCTCGAGAGAGGGGAAATCCCATTTGAAAAGAAACCCGAGCTCACGTCTCACTCATCAATAAACTCGCAAAGCAGAACAAGAACAAATTGTAATGGCTCGATAATTACGGGCACTGTTCACCCCCCCCCCTCCCCATATAGACACTCTTTAAAGAGTTGAGGAGAAATCATTACGACCCATGCCTTGTTATACGTGCTCTGCATACCTGCCGGCCACAACCCTATTAATGCCAACATTGATTGAAGGAACCATTTGCAGTACATTAGCCTAAGGTTTCTCGAGCTATACGGGATGGAGAAAAAACAGGCATATTCGATTTCATTATTATCCAGTGGACATTAAGTGAAGAAGAAGGAGAGATAGGATGGGCTACTAGAAGGTGGAAAAGAGATGACATAATAGCAATACGTTTTGTGGGATGAAAGATTTTTTCGTTTATTTCGCCTAAAACCGCCCATCGTCATCTCGTATAATGGTATTGTGTAGTGTATGTTGAAGAGCATCACTATTTTAGCGTTAAATATCTTAATTTAATGCAAAATCAGTTTCGCTTTTCTTCAAATTTTAGAGCCTTAATGGTGGCAAACTAAACTTCGATGTTCTTGTTTGTTTATTACTTATCTATATAATAGGGATCTATCAAATTCATTTAAAATGAATATTGCAATATATCCCCCAACAGTGTAACATTTTCACTGGATTTGGGAGAGGTTTATTTCTGCGATTATCATGAAAACCTTAACAAAAATATTTTGCTTTCCCTGGAAATATTGTTATTAACATCTCTCAAATAACCTTAAAAGCAATGTGGCATTTAGAAATTCCGTAGTTATATTTGATGAAGTCAATAAATAATAATAGGCTCAATTTTATGATTTGATTAGCATTGAATAAATTGTATTGGTGCAAAGTGGTGGTAATTAATAACGCTCGTGTATCTAATAACATTCATTGGGTGCCATTAAATATAAGTGAGTATACAGTTGAAAGAGAGAGAAAGGGGGAGAGAGAAGGAGGTGAAGAGAGAGAGAGGAGAGAGAGAGAGAGAGAGAGAGAGAGAGAGAGAGAGAGAGAAAAAAAAGGGGGGAGAAGGCAAAGAAGAGAGAACGGAAAGAGAGAGAGAACACAAAATAAAGACGAATAGAGAGACAAGGAGAGAGAGAAAGAGAACGGAGATAGAAAGAGCGTAAAGAGAAAGAGAGAACGTGGGCATAGATACAGAGAAAAGAAGAGGGAGAGAGAGAGGGGGGGGAGAAAGTATATTAAATTGAAATGCATGCATCGGGCAGTCATAATGTTAGCTCACTGCATGTTTTAATTTCAGCGAATATTGAAATCGGGAATGCGATGTCCTTGATCTACTCTCTCCTGCATACATTATGCAATGAATTAATCAATCTTTATAGCCTATGTCTGCTTCGAATTTCATCAGCCTAACCACGTTCGAGCGTTGCTAACTGAACAACGATCAATCGTTAATTACAGACCAAACGATAATGGACGATAGGTCGATTCAGATCATTAACTTTCGCGCGTAAAATTTATTACAAAATGCTAACTGAGCAGTCGTCTGCTCGTATAATTGGTATTTATGACTGAATTGTTAAGAATTGTTTGTGCGTTCTCAAAATATTGCTCTCTACGTAAAATAAATATAGAGCAGACAGTTTGTACACAAATCCCACGCACAAAGTCTGATATAGTCTTTCATATGTCTGTTTAAGAGTTGTACCGTGCTGTCTTATGAAGATGGTAACACAGTCGTATAACACTTATTAAAGTGCATACTGCAATACAATATGTATAGACAAGAACAAGAAAATGCTTTCCACGAATCTTGTTTGAAGTAAAATTCCAACAATTTGTTCTTGAGGAGGAGTATAATTGTACTTTGTTTAATGTAGCAAAGCTTGTATATACGGTGAGCGTGGTAACAAAACTAATGAAGAACGTGTCCAAAATCTTTTACAAAAAGAGGGAAAAAAGTTATCATTTCTTTCAGAGTCATTAGTTTTTCGACAGTGGAGAGAAGGACAGCACATGCTCAATACACGCGTGCATTTTGGTTGGGTATACCCCTGTGATCCCCCCCCCCCCTTCTCTCTTATCCCACAACGAACCTGCTTATGACAATTACTATGATAATAATTTTTTTTTAAATCTTACCTCGAATAGCTGCTCATCATTCTCATCAAATGGGAAACCGTCTGTCCTATTCAAAACCTGGGCGACACCTGTTACATCAAATGAGATAAAAGCTAGAAAAGTTAACAAACCTGACAACTTCAAGGCACAACGCAAAACACGGAAAATGATATGAAAAAGCTATAACAAATTCGTTATGGACTTTGGAAATCAGATAGCACATAGTTATCTAATCTTCTTTATGTAATATCATGATGTAATCACAATTATTTCGCTGGGATTCATAAGTCAACTGAATTATCATCATAAAACGTTCTCGACCTCATTTACTTTACACATGGGACGTTTTGAATTGACCTCTAATTTCCATAATGCGTTATGCGTCTAATCCCTACCATCACTCTCTCTCTCTCTCTCTCTCTCTCTCTCTCTCTTTCTCTCTTTCTCCATCACTTATCTCTGTCGCTGTCTCCCTCTACCCACGTGGTACCTGTCTCTCTTCTCTCTCCCATATGTCTGTCTGTCTCTCTGCCTCTCTCTCTCTCTCTGTCTGTCTGTCTCTGTTTCTGTCTGTCTCTCTCTGTCTGTCTCTCTCTCTTTCTCTCTCTCTCTCTCTCTCTCTCTCTCTCTCTCATTCTCTATATTTTCCTCTCTCTCTAACGCTCTCTCTCTCTCTCTCTTTCTATCTTTCTCTTTCTCTCATTCCATCCCTTCCTCTCTTCTCCACTCCGCTCCCATCCATGCACTTTCTCTCGCTCATCCTCGATCTTCCCACCACCTCTCTCCCAAAGTGAACCAGACGAGCGCGGGATAACTGGTATGATCCCTTAACTTCCAGAATGCACTTAGCGCGGCTGACGGCAAGCCACTGGGGAACAATCACACGTAATCTTGGAGTGGCCTCGACTAATTATTGGTGAGTACCCACTAAAGGGCTCGTGTACTTTACCAATCAGCGTTATTTGACTTCATCAATATACTGTACCTATGAATTACTGTTCATACGTGAACAGTGAAGGCAGGTATATAGATGAATGTATAGGCTCTGCCGGTGAGAAAAGCTCCATTACCATATCTCAGAAGGTCATTTTGAGAATACACCTTTCTCTATATTTTATTCAGTCACACCCGAAGTTATGATAACACGATCGTAGAGACTTTCAAGAAATCAACTTTGGGGCAAATTCAATGCTCTATTGTATTAGCCATAGAATCATGATCGGATGACGTGATGGCATTTAATCTACCCACACTTTTAAAGGCGATGCACAAGGCTATTGAAATTGATTATTTAGTTATCAAAATTGATGTTGATTTTTTTTAAAGTCTGTTAGATCGTGTTATTACGAATGAAATCTATACTGATTTTTAGCCAATCCTAAATGTTATAGATTATGTCCAAAGCTTCGTATAGGGGTGAAGGATCATAAGATTTGTTAATTTTTAAAATCAAAGAACGGGGGAGGTTTCTTCACGAACCAAGATGCAGAACCACTAGATATGTATGAATCTACTATCCCACGGCAACTTCGATAGATAAACACAAAATAGACGCTCTTTAATTCAATGCATGTATAATGTATGATCAGTTCTATTTTTGTTAAGGTAATGCTGGTATATTTGATTTATTTTGACATTTTATTTAGTTGATTTATTTTGACCATGTTGACGGATACACTTGTTTGTTTTAATCCGAAAATTGCAAATGAATATCTTTTACTTTAACTAAATTTAATACCGAACCTGTCTTACAATCAACCACGTTTTTCAATAGCATATCAATCTAAATACTCAAATTTTAATATTTGTTCAATGAAATGAAATGAAGCATCTGTATCTATATATCATAAATGCCGCAGCCTGTTTCAATATACTATGTAAATATAAATCATTCGAAAGCTTTATTGAAAAGCCTATTTTATTAATCAAAAAGTTATCTAAATCTGTTACACTGGTCAGAAACGGTTTTCATTACTGAATTTGTACTTGTATACTGAATTTCATCACTGGTATTATAAACATATAAATTGTAAATTCTTATTTTACTATCAACCATGTATCCTTCTTTTTTTCCTTCATTTTTCCATATTTTTTTTCTCTTCCTTATTCTTCTTTTTCTTCTTTTTACTCATTTAATATGAATTTCTCTACTGAATGTCTTAACTTTATATTTACCTATTTTATATCATACTATTGGCAAGTATTTTATATGTTGCATTTTTATATTTAAATTCAAGATTTTCAATTTTCAGCAATAGACCTCGTCAATTCAATTCAATTCAAACTGTCCTTGTTCATTACCTGAAAGTTCTCGCTAAAGTGCGAATAACTTGAGAAACAAGGCTCGAATTCTCAATTAATAATAGGTTTTTAATACTAGGGTAATGACTACGGAACCTAATGACAGCAGGAGTTTGTTAAAAGGTCATAAGATATTGGATAAAATTGTAATTTACTGTGAAATTGCCTCGGGTGTCGGAGCGTTTAAAAGAGTGAAGGGGCGTTTGAAAGAGTGAAGGGCATTGTTATTAAAAAAGAGACATTTCCAAAGACAAGACATGATGCAAAGCTATGTAAAAGATAGAAAAAAAAACGATTGCACAAAAAAAAAGAAAAACACAGAAATAGAGAGGGGAGATCGAAAGGCGGATATTAAGACAAATCCAGACAAAGATATAATAACGATAATAATAATAATAATAGTTATTTCTATAGCGCCGTCTATCTAGAAATTCATTATGACTTACCTATCGTCTGGCACTTGTTATCTCGAATGGGCATGCATAGTAGTGAATTGGTTTGGAAGCCTATCGACTTGTCTAACTCCTTGTCGATCCTGTCAAAAAAGGGAGAAAATGTCTATTAAATATTCCACTATCATAGCAAAATTAATAGCAATGTCGTTACAAAAGTACACACAAAAATCGATATCAAGATGAGGTCGTAAATAAGTTTATAACTTGTAAAATCCGAGAGAAAAAAAAATGTCATGTATTCTTGCTAAGCTCATATACTTTTTACGGTGTACAGAATTTTTCTTTTCATTCTTTTTGTTTGTGACTGCGATCATTTTTTAAATCGTGAAAGTTAACGCCCTGTATTATAGTCACCTTCTTATTTTTTTTTACAAATTCAACCCCCTCCCCCACCCCCCCCCCTTGGTGAACCAATGCTTATCTGTGTCTGATGAGCATATTATTCATGAACCGTGGCATACATTGTATACGAATTTCCAAATGGGTCTATTGAAACTACAATTACATTTAAAATCATCAGCAAGTATATTACGTTGAGAAAATAGTGAAAAGAGTTCGATTTTTGAACAATGAACTTTCGAAGAATTTGTAATCGGAATTATTCGGAATAACTCTATTAGGAGGCACTGTTGCATTATAATCATCCACCGGTACCTGTATATTTCACTATGTTGTCATTCCATCGATGATACTTTTTGTTTTCCTCTCTCATAAGGAAAAGGTGTTTTTAACACCCCCGTACACTTGGGAAATCGGATTTTTCCCTATTTCTCCAAGTACTCGTAATGAATCATAATCAACACGACATCAACACCAAGGTGTTCCATCATTCTAAAATCTTTCTTTAAAATTCAAAGGGTTTTACGAATATATCCATATAAATGCGAAATAGAATCGGCTGTAAGTTTACTCATTGCACACTGCAAATAGAAAATGAGCTTTCCCTGCATGTGATCAGGTAGTAATATGTCTGCACAAGTCATAAAGTTCAACTGAATTATTGGAAATAATTGTCCTAAAATTGGATTGTTCGTTTTTCAAGTCTTGCACAGCTTAAAACCTCATGGTATAAACCAATACTTATGTACTAATCCTTTCCAGAGTGTTTCCAGAAAAGTGTTTTAGTGCAGTGTAATCACAAAATCAGAGCTCAACGTTATCTTTAACATCATTCAACGAAAAAAATACAAAGGTCTTGTTACCTTGGATCATTCTGTCCATCGCTGACATTAACACTTTCTCCACTTATTGCCACTTGTTCAATTATTCCATTTGCTAGTTTGATATCCCCCGATGCGAAGGTCGGGTTCGTGTGCCCGTTCGATGTCGACCCAGGAAGATCGAAGACTTTCGAAAACGTGATCGTCTAGGAGACGAAAGGAGAAGAGAGAGAAGAGGATTTAAACAAAGGTTATTAACATATACCTGAAAAGGAGGAAAATGCAATCTTTGGTATTCATCTCATCGTTGAATGAGAAATTTTCAGACATTTTGATATTGTCAAGACAGTCATGTCAATCTCCTGAACAACACAATACATGATTGCAAAGACTATTAAGTATTATTACAAAAAATCAACCTTGAGCAATTTTATGGCATCTCAAATTGCCTTTTTAATATGTAAGCACTACAATAAATAACATACCACATCATCTTAACATTATTTTCATAGGCAATACAGTAGTTCATCGAAATTTCCCTTGATTTGATTTGTTATAATAGTCTTTGCATTTGTGTTACACAAAATGTACTTGCTTTGGGCCTAGTTTAATATATGGGAAACAAATGCAAAGGATTTTACATAATTATGTTTCTTTACTGGTATAGCATTCTTCTGCAGCTGTCAACTGAGGAATACACAATAAAACAGAACTATATGTAATGCATCAATCATAGTGAAGTATTACTAAAACACTAATCACACTAAATAGAATACATCTTCATTGCATATAAATAATGATTTAGAAATGAAGCTACACGAATAAATGTGTTTGGTTTTATGCATTTAAGTCTCTTTACTCTTTCGGTCATCTAAAGACGAATATACTGCCATGCAGAATGAAACATTCAGTAATGACTATTTATACCCGTTTATTTAAGGCTCTCAGGCAGTTAAGTTACGGTATATGATCATAATAAGTCGTTGCGGTAATTAGATGAGCTACGTAAATTCCGTTACAGTATATAGCTTTCAATCAAGCACGCAATGCATGTCCGTACAAAATAGAAGCTAAAGTTAGATTGCTATTTAAATCCCCCATTATACGATTCGTGCCTGCCGTGTATACAAACGTGAACCAAAAGAGGAGTCGAACAAAATAATACAGGGGGTGGTCAACAAGAGCTAAAAACAAGATGCTGGGTAGCAAGGAAATGAGAATAATCCTTCGAGTATTAAAGTCCAGTGGAATCGAATCGAATTAAGATCCATCCATTTGATCCTAATGTAATACTGGACATGATGGAGGGTCCCATCGGGGGCATGTAACATGCATGAATCTGGAGCGATTAGACTTTCATGAGACAGGTCTAATCTCGTAGATTGTGCGAGATGAGGTTTGCTTCGTATACAGGTCGTTTCCAAGACGATCGATTCTGCAATAAAAACCCGACTCAGACAAAATGATTCGGAATATTTTCTACCTTTTCGCTTAAAAAGAGAAAAGGGATATTGTTTCACGAAATGAAGAAAAAAGCCCAACAGGCAACTCCACCTCTTGTATGTATAGTACACACAATCTAAAGTCTATCAGTAAATATGGCATTTGTAATTTATGCAACTGTCTCCATGAGTATTTTTATTAATTTCGCTGAGCAATGCTCTAGCGAAAAAAAGCAATAAAAAAGAGAAACTGTAACAGCACGGGTATCAAATTATTTCAAAACCCTTGAGGATGTGTACACAAAATGATAATAGTAAACATGGGAATGATAATTCCCTTTAACCTTTGATAAATGTATTTATTAATTCAATCGACTGATAATCAGGTGTTTCATGCTTTCAATATTTCATCTCACTTTCTACTACGCGAACGTTCATTGCAAAATAATAACTTCAAGCTTCAAATTTCAAACTACATTATAGTTTTTCTGAGCATTATACAATCTTGCTATACCAAATGTCTACGTATTTGTCTTACATCCAGAGGACTGCAGATTGAAGAATTGACATGCGATTAATATAAAAGACGCGTTGTTCTTTCACATGTATGATGTTAATTTTAACAAAGTCTATTGAATGCACATAAAAAAGAACGCACACACGGAACGACACATTCAATTTTGGGGGATTTATGAGAGGAGTATAATTTTTTGTTGTTGTGCATTACATTTTTGGGGTACAAAATGCATAGCTCTGTATTAACACAACAACAACGTTGATTTTGATATTTTACCCCACTTTTGTGATCATTTAATTTCTCGCTCGTCAGGCGGCTCATTTAACATGTTCATGTATTCATTCTAATAAATTGATATACAGGATTGTAAGAGCAAATTTTGTACTGCTTTTATACCTCTTTTCAGTTCATGCAACAAATTCATGAGTTAAAAAAAACATTCTTAATATACATCCAATGCTTTCTTGCATTAGAATTGTACACAATTATCTATGTCAAAATGTCTTAGAAGAAAAAGGTTGATAAACTGTTAAATATACGTCACGATGGGAATAGTGTTAACGATAAAATGTCATAGCTCAAATTATTTACAGGGAACCTGACATTGAACTTATGATTTATTTCCAGCAGTCAAATATTTTGATCTTCTGAAGTCCCTTTTGATTCTCTCGTGTATTCCAAAGACTCTCAAATGACCAATTTTAGCCATCAAATATACGTTTTACTTATTTTTCACATTTAAATTCCCTCCAGTGTGATTCTTCAAACATCACCCCATTAAATACCAATAATTTAAATCACTACTAAAGGGTGAGAAAGAGCGGGAGAGGGAAAATGAGCATCCCATCATTCTTTATTGTGGAAATTGTTTTCGCGCCGAGTAATTCCCTACAGACCGGCGTGTTAAAAATTGTCTGCTTTAATTTCTAGCTCTGACACGAGAAAGTATATATAGCCATGTAAGGCTTGGTAGTCGTTGGAGTTGCGGAGAGCTAAAAATACTGAACATCTTTACTTCTCCACTTATGGGGCTACCTATTTCTAATTCGAAGGAAATTTCAATTTCAAATCGAGCCTCCTGCTTTTAAAATATCCACCCAGGTCACCCTTTGTTCAAGGATTTACGGACATTACTCGTCGACATAAAATCGTCGAAAGACGAGGCCGAAGTAGTTTGACTGAAAAAATAACGGTATCAATGACCTGTACGCTGGATAAGGAGTCAGACTGGCTGATCTGCTGTACTATGCCAGTGCATTGTATCACGTCCGATGGCGAGGAGGGAATGGTATTATTAAACGTATCCCCAAGCTACCGTAGATCTAATTAAACAGACTTCCCATAATTCTATCCCCGGAGTGGTCTGCTTTTATTTCCCCTCGAGAGGAGATATATTTTGTCCTCAGCACCACAGATCACATGCCAGACACTTGTAGTAGAAAAAAAAGGAAAGAGAATATAATAAACCGCGATATGATTTGTCTCTCCATGCGACTCCAGAAGGCTGTCATAATAACAAAAATGACAGTTCCTCGTAAAGTAAATACCATTGCGTCAAATAATAACACGGTCTGAGTATAATTACAGGAGACAGACTGACATTTTGGAAGGTTTGTGAACTGCTTGCGTATGTTTTCTTCGCCGTTTCCAGGAGCGTTTGAAACCACTTACGTGGTCAGTTCAATCATGATATTTCTTGATACATAATAAATAGAAGATTCTTGAAAAACTTCTTTAAAAAGAAGCACTTAAGATAAAAACAAATAAAAAGGGGCTTCTCCTATTATAGGAACCTTCCAAGCTAAAATATGCATCTTTATTTTCCACAGAAAATGATGTAAACACTAATAAATGCAGATCAAAATTGTTTTCCCCTTTTCAATATCAAACGGTGAGTATTTTTCTTTAAACTTCCTTAACGGTGTTCTTTCATGTCCATACTTATTGATATAATTATATTAACAACTTTTATGACAATGTCAAATAGTTATACAAAAACTTTAATGTCCCCAACCATAACCTTCACGTGTTAAAACTTTCAACTTTTTTCAGTGGGTGTACATACGTTTATTGATTTCGTCTCGAGAGTGAGATGCGTATATCAATATCTCTCAAGAGACAACATAATAATTTCAGGACATCGTCTTCAAGAACGTGGATTGCATTTTCTTGCGCTGAAAACAGAGAGATCTGAATAGTCACCATCTTTTAAGCGCCGAGCTACTTGTCTCTTTCAACACGTTACACTTTCCATTTCCCCAAAAGTCTCTTCTCTACTAGTAGTGGTTCAAAATACATACATTATTCGCACGCAGTAAATCAGGATGTGACCAGTGCACAAGAGGAGTCTTCTGCTGACGTTACGCTGCGTCAGCGACTGGCGCAGTCTTTGACGCACCATTGTGAGAGTAAAATCGTACACATGAAGAATGCAAATTACGTTAACAGGTTTGATTGACGTAGATCTGCGATTTTCGGCCGGGGTGCCACAAGACAGCTTTAGGGATGCAGCGAGAATAATTCAGTTAAATTTATATAAAAAAGTTGTTTTGGAATAACACCGATTTCGTGAAAAACAAAAAATAAAAAGACTGCTAGAGTATGTAATTTTATGAGGAAAAAATCGTATGAAAACTAATAAAATGTCTTTCCTCGCTCGCTGGCAACATTTAGAAACAGGATAAATCTGGGCAACGAGATGTCCGAATATCCTCATAATTGTGCATCAAGGTTATGACCGAAGTTTTTTTTAAAGTCTTTTTTATTACTCATAAACATTCGACGGCGAGGTGCCTGCATACATTACTTTGGATGTTTTCTAGTCATAGTGTCGACTACAAAATGTATCTTTTTACCATTTATTCTTTTTCTTCTTTGGTTTCTCGCTCGCTTTGCTCACTTGCATAATTGAAAATCAGATATGCCCCTACGTGTGTTCAAGGCACTTGACGAGTGCCAGAGTGATGCAAAATGAATATTCTAGGATAAAATTGGAATAGGGCTGACGCGAAAGATGTAATTTTTAAAAGGGTGCCGAGACTAACAAAACGTTGAAAAAAGCTGACTTAGATAATAACGCAAGCGAAATGACGCAAGGGGCATCAGAGGGATTCTTCATTTCATATTACTGTTTTTTTTTTTACAGATGCATCTCCAACCGTCGTTTAAAACATGTGTTATTCTCTTTCTCGTAAACATACAATGTTATGACCGTACAGTCTCTTGCCGTTTCTCGCCGTTTCTCGCC